CACTCCGCGGTTCTCGTTTCACTGCAGTGCAACAAAGCGCGGCGGGAAGCGCACTTAACGAAGTTAAGTAACCCTTCGGAACCGATTCCGAACGTGAATATAATACGAGATTTCTCAGTACAGGGATGGAAGCAGGCTTCAGCCTCTTCCAGCAGGTCTAGGAGCAGCAAAGACGTCCATATGGAGCACTTTTGGAGCAGCTCAGGAGCCACAAAAGTCAAGTTCCGTTGCAGTAAAGCTGGTCACGCAGGTAAAACCCGAGGTTATAAGCACAGAGGTGTTTTTTTCTAAATGCAAAAATACCACAATGATAAAATCATATCCACGTGCTGTCCAACAACCATTTGCGAGCATGCAGTTTCCTTAATTATAATCCAGCTCGTGCCATAAAAAGCAAACAGCGTAATTGCAATTTAGCTGAAACGAAGTTACGGGAAACGGGAGTTCTGCAATATTTATGTTATGGATATCGAGCCCAAATAACACGATGGGCGATTTCTCGGGGACGGGCGTTCCTACGAGATTTTACGGCATACGCGATTTAATACGTGCAATATTTTACACTGTGCAAAAAAAAAAAATGTTATCGACGAACTGATGTTTTTGGTGCTTCTCCCGAAGCCACCGATGCGTGCCTCATTTTCAGAGATCAAACACCTACATGCCGTTGTTAGCCGAGCTGTGGCACCGACGGCACAAAGCAACGCGCCCAAACACTTGCTTCGAAGAAGGCACTGGTACGGCCAACGGAAATGAGCACGTGACTTTTATTGTGCGTTGTTATTCGTCCAAATAGGGCATATTTCTGCGCAACATTGGAGTTTTCGGAAACCGTTTTTGCACATCCAACACCGTGTTCAATGGGCCCTCCGGTACAAACTGCGCGTATGCGAGCCTTCTGTCGCAGCGCATGCGCAGTTCGAACCGGAGAACCCATCGTACCGTATCGGGTCTTCAAAAACGGTTTCCTAAAAAAAAGCTTTTAGCTTTCCTCCCGTTCGAAATACACGACTTGAACAACCAACTCGTGTGGTGTTCTTCCCCGTGCTGCTGGTGCTTGACTGCTCTTGACGGACTCTGTCCATTTACCTGGTTAGGAATAGTCATTCTCGTCAGATGAAAATAGGCACCTGGCGCCTCTTTTCAATCAAACGAGAATCTGTTATCTCTAAGACTACTTGAAGGCAAAAGCCCAAGTGCCTACGCATTAAAGACAGACACATGATTTACCCACCGAGTCATCCCGTTTAATGTGCCGAGTCGTCCTTTTCAATGTGCTGAGTCACCCTTCTCAATATGCTGAGTAATCTTAATTCGCTTAGTCATCCACTGAGTGGTCACGTCAGTGTTTTGGTACTTTTTGAGTTTTTACAGCACTATTGATGGCGAGATTTATTTGAAATTCTGCGCGCAAAGTCCATGACGTGACGGGTCATTCCCGAATGACCCCATCTCGCGCATTCGCTCTTTCCTTAAACGTGAAGGCGAAACCGATCCACTTCTCCACGCGCCCGAAATGACGAGAAAAAAAACAAGAGGAAAGGAGGTAGATAGATAGATAGATAGATGAATACGGCTGAGCCCTTTGGATCGGGCGGTAGCTTACGCCACCTAGCCATTTTGTTTTACCATTTAAGCTTAGAATATTTAGGTGACTGCCGACTAAATCGCCATCTCGCGCCGTCTATATATATATATATGTATTTTTTTTGTGTGTGTGTGTGTAAAATTAATTTTTTGACACGCGTCTCTCTCCAGACCTATTTTTTTCTTCTTTCTAATAACTTTCTTTGACGTTGACACGACCACGTCAATATGTAGTAAAAAAAAAAACTTGTTGGCTAGTTTTGGCGCAACGTTTGCGCTTGTGGATTGGCGCACGATGGCACAACGCTTCCACCCCTGCGAGCACAGTCTGTGTTTGACACAGAGATCAAATCGAGAAAAGTACATTATTTGAGGCGACAAACGAAGGTTCTGAAAATTCATGCAAGCTCATCCAATGATCCGGGCGTGCGGTGGGGCCCAGGCTATTATATTTTTAGTATTGTCGAGACCGGTTATAACGAAATAGCGGATATAGCAAAGTGATTTCCGATTCCCATTGACTTCGTTATAACCGGTCTCGACAGTAATATTAAAGCGAAATTACGTTTTGGCGGAATGCTGGTGCAAATTTATCGTATTTTGGCGAAATGTAGCAAGATGTAGCAGGGTAAGCACTTTGGCTCCGTTTGGAGCAGCGATCACATCACTACATTATACCGAAAGCGAGCAGACGGTCCAGTTGTACAGAGGAATCCATCTGAGGCACACTGGCAGAAAGCAAGTACACACCACGGCAGGCAATTTTTTTGTCACCTCTTTATTCCTACAACCAGCGGCACACTAAACAGTGTATCTCCTAGAACAGAAATATAAACACTGCAAGTTGCTGATTTGACACCATGTTTTGTTTTACTTTTTTCTTTTTTTTTTTCCCTCAATCTTTCCCCTATCCCTCCCCCATGGATGGAAGCACACTGCGAAGAACAAAGCTTACGAGTATGCGACGCGAACTGCGTACAACGCAAACCTCGCCCCCCCCCCCCCCCCCCCCTCCAAAAAAAAAAAAAAAAAATCCAGTTGTTGAAACACATCCAACAAAGCAACAAGCAGAGCATTGCCTATGGCAAGACACATGTCACTGTCACCCTTGTTTCCCACTGAACCCATGCATGCAAGTTGGGACAAGCCAAAACACTCCGAACTCGGGGTGAATACAAAACAAGCGTACTGGAGGTACAGCATGCGGCAATACGAGATGACCCAGAAGCATTAATGCCGTGGTGGCAAAAAAGCCTTGCAGGGAAAGCCATGTATGTAAAGCAGTTAAAAAAAAAAGTTGGAATGGACTGGAACATTTTCTATTACAATGTGGTAGTCGGTTTCATTTTTTTAGCATGTCGGAGGCACTCCACCCCTTTCAGATAGCACTAAACTGGGCCAGCTCACATTACCGCCGACTGTACCGTCGTATACGCACGAGAAAAAAGTGAGACGAGGGTACCCGGCCGTTTTGCAAGGAAAAATAGCGCCGCAAGAAAACGAAACAATCCCAGATAAATTCAGCTGGTCACAAGGTATGCGCTCAGTTTAGAAACAGACGCGCAAGTGTGAACACATACACGTGCGCAGTAACCACGTTTCAGATCGACAAGATACTGCGTGTGCGCATGTGCCCCTACCTGCCATCGGAGTACAATAAGTGTATCAATCCGACAGGAGTGGGTGGACTGCTCCTTGTTCGTGCATGCAGAAGTTCACGGAAACCCTAGCAGTCCCTCAAAGAGACTGGCGTTGCGTCGGCTTGAGCAGCGTTCTGTTTGTCGGCGCAATCTCTTTGCGGCAATATTCTGGCGTACAGCTGCCCATGGCGAGGCTGGGCTTGGCCTACAGCCAAACGGAGCAGGGCACGATTTGTCCAAAGAGCCACCGCCGCTTCTATGCGACGTCGACTGTGGCCGCTCCAGCCGCAGTCTCCCCGTGTCGATCCTTTTCATTGTCCGCAGACGATTGTGCCACTTGCTACGTTTAAGTTCATTCTTTATTTACACGATTGGCATCTTCAAAACATGCCAACTAACGTCGGTTTGTCCCGAGTTTCGTATCTTAAAGAAACATTAGGTTACCACATAAAAAGAAAATCACATTTTCCTCAAAAAACTTTTTAAACCAGGTTTTAGTAATAAATTATAGGCAGAAAAGCCAGCACCAAGACATCAAAAGATGTTTCAAATAATCCACAAGTGTGTACCAAGGTTGAGGATGGTACTAGCCAGAAGTCCTCTATTGAGATGGTCCAGATAATTTCAGTGGCTCGTCGTTCAGAAATAAACCGGTGATTACGAAAAGTACCTTATCATTCAAATGCCTTTATAAAGATCACCGATCATGACTGCTAAGAAAGGGGTAAACATAAATATGGGTCAATTTTTTTTTTAATGTACAGTAAAGTTTTTTTTTTTTTTTTTTTAAATCTAGGCGAGACTAAGCCAAAAACTATTCCTCGCTACGATAGTTAATTGTGCTGGCATTACTGCCCAAGGACAGCTGTGGCCTTTTTTTATTTACGATGCAAGACACTCAGCTTGCCAAGTTGTTAATTTAGTGGTGCTTACAGATTAAACTGTGTATAGTGCATTAAAAATAACTGCAGAACTTATGAGATGCTTTTCATTGGTTCATCACATTTAGAAGTATTCAAACTCATATTCTTGGAAATAATGTTTAGATTGTACTAGACCTTGAAGAGACCCTGCAAAACTTATCAATCTATTTCTGAATTTGCATGACTTGCACATAAACTAGGAGTGTAAGACAGGGGTAAAAATTAATATGCAGTTCATAATTACCAAAAAGTATTGGCAAAATGGGTACTTTTTGTCCCCATTTTGCCAATATTTTTTGGTACCACACATATCCCACCAAACTTTGTTTTGTGCTGCCATCTACGCATTGGTTTCTAGAGCAAAATGGGGGATAGGTGGTGCTTCCTTGAGTGCAATCAAAAGAGTGAATGTTTAAAGACGCGCTGCCCAAGACCAAGCGAAGGATGGCGCATGTATGTGGACACCTCTAGCAAATACATGAGCAAGGATACCACACTTCAGAATGGGTATGGTGCACATTTTGAACCAATCCTGCTTTTGGGCGCCATTTTCGTGACTACTTAGAGCTATTTGTCAAGGCCGTCTCCAAAATGTGATGAAAAGATTTTGTCTACTGCTGGTCCGTGCATCATTCAAAACAGTGTTACTTTTCCTTCTTTCAAAGCTCTCATTTGAACTTTAAGAAAATCTTTGTAAGAAAATTGGCCCAGCAAATCAATGTAAATGCAGAATTGCATTCCCAATCAGTCAAGCTTTTGGTCAACATTTCTCGGTCCGACGTGACACAGTTGGAGTTCCAACATGGCCACAGTTTCTAATGAGCTTCTTTTTTCTGGATTTATAAAACAATGAAGTTGTAGAACTTTTATTGGGATGCTGTCAGAGAGGGTTATGATATGATATCAGTATCAAAGCAATGTTCCCAGAAAATTGTCATAAGAGAAAACATTAGGTATTTGTGCGCAAGGCCATCCGACTAATTTCCTGATAATTTGACTAATTTCAAGCTTGAATTCTCAGGTGTGACAAAACTGTCTAATTCGAACTTGTAAAATGTTTTATACTAAAAAGTAGAAAAAAAAATATAATGAAGCACAGAAGTCCGACAGGTAAAAAAAAAAAGCTGGCAAGACGATTTGACAGTAACAAGTTGGTTTTGACCACTTTCATAAAATTTTTCACATGGCACCTTTAGGGCAATGCAAGCGTAAAGTGAATCGCATACACCGGTGACAATGAATGGCTCATTTCCCCCAGAAAAACTGCAAGTCCAAAAGGAATGACTGCTTTACAGTTACATGGTGGCCAGAATAGCTTGTAAAAACAGCATAATTCATGGAACAATTCAAACATGCTGACACTATTGTAAACTTTTAGCCTAAAAAAAAAAAAGAAACAGCAAAAATTAAATTTTCAAGTTCAATAGCTTTGGGAAAAGTTTTGTCCTCATATTTGGGTTATTAAAGTTCATTTATGTTAGTGCGTTTATAAAATTTCAAGGCAAATCGGAGACCACGAAATAAAGATGCCAGGTGCCCCTCTAAGCACCATTTTGAAACCATGACAAGATGTCCCACATGCCAATTTATGCAATTCAAATTTACCCTTTCAGCACTTCCCCAGGTGCCACACGGTCGCGGCTTAGGAAGACGACACCCTCTTTCGCGTTTTAAACGCAAGACTTGTGTATTTATGCGACGAGCCGTGTTGTGTTCGCAGAACTCGCAGGCGATCAGTCGGGCTTTTCTCGACTTCATTGCGTAAGTACAGCTGAGTAAGTTTGACTAGAGCCGCCGAATAGGCTATGCTTGGAGTATCGACGCCTTACTTCCCAATGTTCTTGTGGGCACCGCCATTTTGGTGCCTATTGCAAGGCAGGTACAACCGACAACCGTCGCAATCGGAAAACGCAACCTCCCAAGGTCTAGGTATGCTGACAGGAAGCTCAGATGACATCGATTGGCTTCATTGCGGACAGTCTTAACGTTTCTGGAGGACGGAACACTGTCTCCTGCAATCTCAGATAAATATTCAAGTTACTGGCAATTATGATTCTAGGGCACCAAAAGGGCTGAAACGTCGCTATTCTAAAGCACAGTTTATGCTGCGGCTCCAAGTTTGACAAGCGAGCACTTGGAAGCAAACTCGGGGTAGCGGTAAAAAACAGTCAACGCTCTTGTATGATTGGGCCTGGAGAAGTATGCGTTTGTCTTTTTCTTTTACCCGAAGTGAAAAAATTTTCTTCAGCCACAACCAACCTCGACAGATTGGAATGAGTCGCAGGGCCAAAGAAAACCCTACTTGGACAAAACAAAGTAAGTTGGCACGAAGCGCAAGTCGCTAAATGAAAAACATTAATGTTAAACACAGGCAAAACAATCTAAGAAACTCACAACTCTCATAGCTGGCATTTCGTCACATAACCACCTTTTAAAACCCTTTTTTAAAAGTTCAGTCAATACCACACTGAAGTTTCTCAATCTAAAAGCAAATTAAGAATAAAACTAAAGAAAAACAGAAAAATCAGTGAAGGTATAGTACCATAGTGAAAAATTCACCTTTTTTTGCACCGATCAATACCTGCCAACCAAAAAGGACAGGTAATGCAGGAGGGGTTCTTTAAAATAAAAAGTACAAATTAAAGTAACCTAAAAAAAAATATAAGAAACCCCACACCCGTCTGCACCACATGCAACGATGGAAGTAGTTGAACCACAATCGAAACTTACCCACCCCGCGTCGCCCCAACCCCATAAACCTACGTCCCAACACACCCTATGCATGTACAATATGTATACATTTCTTATAGTACAGTACATCATAAAAAACAACCATAAAAAATTAAAACGCCAGAAAAGCAAAGGAGAGAGGGAATGGGTTATGTACAAAAGAATGGGCGAAGACGCTGCCACCAAATCGGCAACATGCTCGCTGTACGCCACCAATCTGTCAGCCACATGCTGGCATTACGTCGGCGACACGCCGGCGGCACGTCGATGGCGCGCCGGCAACGGGCTGGCAATACCTTGGCCACCCGTTAGCCTGTCATTCGCTCTCCTCCTCGCTGTCGATGATGTCTTTTAACCTTGAGAAGACCTTGCGTGATTCGTCGGCAACCATCGACGACTCTTGGGAGATGTCTGGCGCCGCGCCATCCGTGAGCGGGCCCAGGGAACCCCTTGTGGTCCGTTTTGGCCTGCCCTCTGCACGGTGTTTTAAGCGGCTGTTGTTCGTGCCGCTCTTTGATTTACGTCCGAGCGGTGAGGTAGCCCGGTTACGACTGAAACGTGTCTTCGACTGTGCGTTTAGCGACTTGAACTTCCCGGGCGTCGAAAGTGGTCCTGAAGAGGCAACAAATGACTTGGAGTGTCACGCTGTTGTATGTCGCAATCCTGACAGTCGGTTGCGAAAGTTCCGGTAAAAAGTATGAGCGAATGCAAAAGCCGCTGCCGCCGCGATTTGGTGTAGAACAGGCGTCTGCTACATCCACCACTGCTGCCACAGCACCACCAAAATCGCAACCGGTGACAGCATGACACGTTTATGACGTCATCAGGCGGAAATCGAGGGACCACTTTTTTGGACGCGGTAAACACACCAGTCGGAGACACGTTCCAGGCACCATAATTTGGCTAACAGTTTCCCTCCAAGCGGAACGACTCCTCTTGTGATGTAACTGAACATTGCCACAGCCGAAATGTAACAGTAATTCCTCGTTATAACGAAATCGCTTGTTTTAAATTATCGCTTTTATCGAAGTTCAACGTGGTCCCGACCAAAACGCTTGCATTTTTAACCGGATCATTTGAAGTGTTTTGGTGGCCGACTACACTTCTTACAAAAGCCGCGATGCCGAAAGCATGCAAGCCTACATGGGGTTGCTTGGAGATCCTTGCGTTCCCTTCTCTTTCTCCAGCGAGGCCAACGGCAAACAAGAAAACGGAAAAAACAGGTGATGGAGGGCAGAACGCACAGAGTGCCGCTTTCAATGCCGATGCGCCGACGCGGGCAGGGTGCAGCAGCGCGGCGGGAGCAGCGTCCCCGTTCCGACGCTACTCAAGGCACCTGCAACAGATGCTGCCAGACTCCTGTCAGGATCGCGTCAAGGGAGCAATGCAGCCTGGGGGAGATCGTCCCTTCAGGAGCCCGACGTGTGCGCCTGCGGCGCACTACACACACACACACGTGCGTCGTATGGCAGATTGAGAGCGTTTACCGAAAGTCGCTTAGATCTGCGAGATTGAGAAAAGTGGCCGACCCAGGTCCGAAACCACCAAAGAATTCGACATTCCGGCATCGGCTGTTCGGCACTGTCCACCATTTTGCAGAACAAGCAAGGCGTTGGACGGGTTCAAGTAGTTTCTCATGCAAGATAAAGTGTGCCCACGATCCAAAGACGAAAGATAGCCAACTGCCTTGCGACCGTCAGATCTTCACTCGCAAGCACGCTTGCCGAGCAAGCGCACGATTCCCAGAGCTGCAACGATCTCTACGGGAGTGCGTGAAAACATGCTCGCAAAGCCACCGAGAATAACTGATTCGTTTGTGCTTGTCGATGCAGACGTTCCCGTTGTTGCTCTTGCCACGGCTGCTGCAATCCTAGACCTTGCGTGCGGCCAGGGTAAACACGAAGCAACGTCGGAGAGGTACCTCGGGAAACGCCAATGACTGCGGAGACGCAAACCATCCTAGGGCTGCTTCGAAACAAAGGGAGTGCAGCGGCGGTGACCGTATTCTTCCGATGCCTCCGGGCATCGGAAGAATACGGTCACCGCTGCTGCCGTCCGGGCATCGGATGAAATTATCGGCAAACTCCATTTAATTATTCTTTTACTCAGTAAAGCTGCTGCGAGATGTTCGCAAGTAAGGTTTGTTTGATTAAATATACGATCAGAAAAAATACAGTGGCTGCTGCCACTGCTTTTTTTTGGCTCTATCGCTTTTATAGAATTACCGCTTAAATTGAATTTTTTTGCCGTCCCGTCGACTTCGTCATAACGAGAGATTACTTTACATACTACAAGGACAAAATAATGCATTAACAAGTGCAACTCAATCTACCAACCAACAGACCAACCACAAATGTATGCTACTGAATTTTCTTGGCTGTCATTACACTAAGTCTGCAGAATCTTTCGAGAAGATATACCTACCGCAAAACACCGAGCTTGTGCCAACGTCACAATAAGCACCTACCCGATACTTTTAAATGTTCCAAAACTAAGCAAAGGACATATCAAGCGCCTAACCAAGACTTCTGATCCTACCTGGATAACTCATCAGCCACTTCTCTCAGCAACCCGTGCAAAGCAGTGAAGCCTTCCCTATCCCACGTTCCTTCCATTTTTGCTCTTGAACCTAACAGGCACCTATTTCCTAGTTTTTCTAGGTGACTTCCAAACTTTTGGTAAACGGTTGCTCCGTATTTTACGATAGCTAGACTGCAACGTCCTCGCATCTCATTTGCAAGAAACACTAAGCATATTAGCGCAATAGCCAAGAGTTCCCTGTAATAAGTCATGAAGCCACATGATCGCTTGGCTTCCAGGTTCTCACGTTGTAAATCCTGGGCTAGACTATACTTTATTCACAAAAAGGTAGCGTCAGACCCCAGTAAATATGGCTATATCTGCAAGCCAGCACTACAGAGGTATCCCAAGCAGTGCGCTATATATCTTAGAATGTGTGCCAAAACCACCACTTGAAAACATGCAAAGCCATTTCCCACTCATGTGCAGACGTTACCAGAAGACACTTACGCTTTGGGGCCGCTTTGCTATAAAACAGCTGCAAGTACAAATGCCAAAGGAAACTTTGCTTTAACATGGAAACCAAGAAAGGGGGTTAAACAAAACTGGAAGCTCTAAGAGACAGACAAGTCGAGAGCGTCCACACAAAGGACTAAAACTCCCCACATGTGAAATCAGTTAGGGTGGCCCAAACTCAAGCTATAACTATTTAGCTGATGACCAGTTCGCACTTTCCACTTTTCCCCCGCTTCCTCCTCTCCCTCCTTCTACCCTCTCCACCGTTGCAGGAGGATCTTCTGCCTTGCAGAATCTCAGATCTGGTCGTCGGCGTTTAAGTACTCATATGCTCTATTAAAAAAGCCTATTAGTTGTAATTATGGCAAGCACCAACAAACCCAAATGTTAGATAACTAGCAAGTTAGTTTCCCACACCTATGGCCAAACAGGTCTCTTGACCCAAACAATGCACTGAGCAACGAAACACTGGACGTGCTATGAACCTCTTTGATTGCAGCAGCGTTTTAGAGAGTCGTTTTTATAATATCGCCCTTTAAAAATATTCCAGAAAATTGAAAACGACAGATTGCTAAAGCACGTCTTTCGTCAACTCACAACGGCATTAAGAACAGCTGCACTCACGACTACGATTGGAAGCTTCACACACGCCTCCATAATACATACACTCTCGTAGTATGCATGGGCGTGCGGCAAACATTTAGGGAGATCTTTACCTGGCAGCGAGTCCACAACATTGGCTTCGTCCAAGCCTTGCAGAGCCTTGAGTTTCCTGCAGTTCTTCAAAGTCGGCTTGCCTGCAAATTTTGCACAACGCCGCTGCCATTTCTGACCGTCGCGATTACGAGGTCCTTATTTATTGCATCTTCAATGTGACTGACTGCCACTCCTCTCCTCAAAAATCAAAAAAAAAAATTCTTTAAAAAAAATGTTTTTATCTTTTTTTCATTTAAAGAACAGATTCCAATCCTTGCAATGTATAAAGGCTTGTTCAAACATTTGTCTCTCAGGGTGCCTCAGCACGATGCAACCCCCTGTCCCCCTTACGACGCGAGAACGCGCTGCCACAATGGAGCCATCTACAAAGTATGTACAGTAAAACCTCGTTATAACAAAGTTGAAGGAGCGATCGTAATTATTTCGTTATAACCATTAGTTTGTTATAGCCAATGTCTATTTCTTCCCTATTAGCATGCAAGGAGAATTATGATTGCTTTGTTATATCCATTAGTTTGTTATATCCCATTTTGTTATAACGAGGTTTTACTGTAGCTCTAGAACTGCCTATAACTAGACCGAAGGCTTTGCAGTACCATTGATGAGAATTAAAATTATCTCGAGCCCTCAGTGAAAAAATGTTCCTGAAAGGGGTACTCCGGCGTTTCCTTCATGGTCCCCGATCTGCCTGAAAATTTCCTAAACACACAAACACGCACCGCTGAAATAGTAACCCAAATATTAGGCCAAAATAATTTTTTTTTTTTGCAAAGTTACTAAATTTATAATCAAATTGAGGCGACAACCAAAAAGTGCTGCCAGCGGCAGGCAAGGTTTTTTCCCAGCTGATTATGAGCAGTTTCATGGTGTCAGATTAATATCTTGGAAGCTCGCTCCAGCACCCGCACAGCTGCACGATGTTCAAAGGCTTGGCGCATTTAACTTTTCAAGACCACCCGCTCGACCGGCATCCTTTTCATTTGCCAATATCACAATAACTGTTCCGAATTTTGCGATACTAAATATGGCATACTCGAAATGGTAAAAGCCAGGGATTCTGAAAATATAGTTAGTTGGGGCAGCTCAAAGAATCGCCGCAGTACCCATTTAAAAGGTATAACAAATTTACGCACAGATTGTACCAGTGTGCTCTCCCGTCGTGTGCGGTTACTACGCAAATCTGAGAACCAGCCTTCGGCCGCCCTGCCGTTAAACGCGACGTAAAACGAAGATTAAACTTTCGGACGAGTCATACCAGACGCCACAGATGCTTGCCACCACTACGGTGCTTGCAATGCGTCTCCGACTGGTGTGCTTTTCAAAAAAGTGCTACCTCGATTTCCGCCCAATGACGTCACACGAGTTTCATGCCGTCACTGGCCCCAATCCTAGCAGATGTTGCTCTCCAGCTTCACAAGCATCAAAAGCTTCGGCAGCCAGAAGTAGAGGTCAGCATTTCAGGTCGCCCTTGCGGAACCTCACCCTCACAGCCACACTCACATAAGCCCCTCACTCACCCTCATCCTCAAAGTCACTCACCTTCAGCCCTTCACTCGCCCTCACTGAACCTCACGCCCTCATGGCCCTCACGCACTCAAAACCCTCATATCCCTCACGCACTCACTCACAGCCCTCACTCACCCCCACACTCATGAATTCCTGAATTTCCGGGGTTCAGAAACTCACTCACCCTCACCTCACCTGTGCAGATGAGGGTCAGTGAGGGCTCTCATGAGTGAGGTTTGCCGAGGTATGGCCAGGAGTTGGAACTTCATGACGACGGCGACAATTGCATTCGTTGGTGTTTTTTGTCGGGACTTCTACGCCCAAACGCCGGGGCTACGACGTCAGACAGCGTGGCACGCCGGCTTTCGTGACAACTTCGGGACCGCTTTCGGCGTACGGGCGAGGTGGGACGCTAAACACACCAATCGGAGACGCGTTCCACGCGCCGTAGTCGCCGCTGAAGCGTTTGCCGCGAGTTTCCAGGAGGTCACCTTTGAGGCCCGCCTTCTCGAGAACATCCAGCAGCTTCGCTGCCTTGACCTGCACAGAGTCCGTTGGTTCCAAGAGCCGAACGTAGGAGACCCGGAGTCCCGCCGCCGCGATGCACCGCATCAACCTTGCCACCTGCGGTGCCTCCGCCGACTGCGGTTTGGATGCCGGCTAGACGTCGGCGAGAAAAGGATGCGTCAGTTATTCTTGTCTTGGTGCCCATGTAAGTATACGGCGCACTTTCAACAGACCAAACGTGCAAGGCCGAAAGAAATGGCGGGAACAGTAGCTACGGATCCGGCTGTATAGTACATACTACGTCGGACAAAGAAAGGGTAGCCCACCTTCCGTCGTTTTTTGGCCGGTGCTCCGTCGCTTCGCCGCCTCTCCACGTCTTCCAGCTTCCGCTCCAGATCCGACAGGGTGTTGGTGTTGTTGGTGCCATCGTTGCCCTCGCTGTTCCGGACGGCCGGCGGAGCCGCCGTGGCCGCTCCGCGATTCCGTAGTTCCGAGAGGGGCTCGTCGTCGCTCGAGTCGAAGATGCTCTTCGCCGTGACCTTCTCTCTCGCCTGTAGGCCCGACCGCGACAGCGGTGCGGGTGAGAAGAAAAGGAAACGAACACCCTTGTCTTCAACATCCGCCCATTTCTGCCTATAGCTATAGCCTGTATCAGGTTAAAAAAAGGAGGGCAACCCACCCCCATAGACCTCTCTGCTAAATGATTGGTTGTTTTCTCCTGTCCAGCATTCACTTCGCTAAAACGACAAAAGTAGAGTCCTTTTTTTTTCTTTTTTCTTGGAGCGTGGCCTACTTTTTTTTATCCCGCAACAGACCGTAGGGTTCTGTGAGCAAGGGGTTTATTTTTCCCCGCAGATTAGATGTTGTTTCCCCAACATGTGTATTTGGCGTAAACAAAAAAGCAGTTATTGGGGCTTATGTTGAAGAAAACGGCACACAGTCGTGGGATTCCTAAACTCTCGGGGAACATGCGCGTGAGCAGAATGATCTGAAAATGTCATGGCACTGATAGGAGACAGGAATGAGACAGGGGGTGGCATTCCCAAAAAAAGAATCAGACTCGCGGATAGTTTGGCATGAGCCGTGCTGTGGATAGGAACAAAATAAGGCTGTACTGTTGAGACCGGTTATACCGAGGTCGGTTAGAACGAAATAGCGGCTACAGTGAAGCGATCACAATTTCCCATTCTCGTTTGCACTTTTTGAATGCATTTGTGTCCGTTTTTAGCGAAGGAAATTCAGCGGCTCCCGCGGATACAGCGAAAAGAAATTTTGTGATAATTTACAAAAATAATAAAATTCGGAAAGTTTACTAGGTCTCTGACCACCGCACTTTGCTGCCATGGCCAAAAAGCCACCCAGAACAGGCTGCAGAAGGTGCTGGAAAGGCCACTGGCGGCAGTCTCTGCAACGTTGTCTGCTTCCTACTCCCTATTTGGGAAGCGGCTTTACCGCACTGCACGTGGAGAAGCCGTCACGGAATGCCGATAGGGGCGTTTGGAGCGCTAGCAACAACGTTCTGGCGGGGATGACGGAGAGAGCCTAGATTTAACAGAGGAGCAGTAAGTACGCCTGCATTTGATTTTCGCGTGGCCAGTGTGGCGAGGAAACTGGGCGGAGAGGCGGACACGTTTGCAGAAGGTGAACGCTTTTGAGTTTTTACTCCTTGTATGCTGCAGCTCGTATTGCAAACGCGGCCCCCAAACCACGTGACCCCGATCAAGCAGTTGCCCCATCTCTTAAATCTAGGCTCCCTATACCGACGACAAACAAGTTTAAGCGCGAACTCGGTGCCGTATGCGCTTCTTTGTTCGCTTCGTGATCCATCTCAGCGACTGGTCTTTGAGGTCGCCTTGTGTGGAAATCTACTTCGCTCAAGCACCGATTCAGCGAATCATCGCCGCTCAATGATGAAGAGTCCTGGCACTGCCAGCACCTCAACGGGGAAGACGGAGGCAATCTCTTTGAATCAAAAGCCAGCCATCCTCGACGGAGTGCACATAAACGTAAAGAATGCCGCCCTCGACGGCGCTTTGGGTGCGGGTTCTACCTTGTTACAGATAGGAACCCCTTACCTTTTTGGGGGCAACGACACGCCGTCTCCTCGTGGGCAGCCGCTTGCGGGGGGTGGCCTCGTCGCCCGCGTCCGAGTCCTCGCTCCTGGGCCGGACCATGACCCAGCCGCCGGACTTTGTCTTGGTGAACTTGAGCGTGAACAGCGGCATGTCGTCCACGCTCTTTGGACCCTTGCTGTTGTTGCTGTCCTCCGGGGAGGCCTTCTGCCCGCCTGCACAGCGAATGCCTTCACGTGTGGACGGCCGAACTACTCCCGCGAGTTATGTCTCGACGCTACTCTTACTGAGGAAAACAAAAAAAAATGATGCCGAAACGGCCGTTGTGGTTACACCAATTCTCGACGAAATGCGTTTGCATTTGGCACGGGGGACTCTGCGAAAAATGGGAATTCCGACCTCACAACATTCCGCAAACTGCTGTCTTCGGAGAGCGGGTCTGTCCTCCCGGGCGTTGGCGGTTTCAGATGGAGCCACCGCAGCTTCCCACGATCGCCTTCTCATTTAGCACTTAATTGGGCCCATGCTGCGGTGCCATGGTGCCGCTAACAACATTAACTGCAATGAGCCCTTCTTGAAAGCGAGTCAAGTTAGCCTGACCGAACACACCGCCCAAGAAAACTGCTGCAGACCGCGCACGAGCCACGGCTGTATGCAAGCGCCAGTCGGCAAGCGTGCTGACAAAGCATTTAAAAAAACTCAAAAACATTTGAAACCAGGAATAAACAGAAAGTGTAACTAGCACCTTTGGCATCCTATGAAAGCACTTTACTTTCTGCATCACTAGTGCTGTTGACCGTACGTGGTAAACCAACCGTTGCAAACAGTCCGAAACTAAAATTGTAAGCAGTGATAGGGTGCAGGTGAGCTGGTAATTAATCAACATCTTGAATGGTGTTGAGATTTTGTTATGTTCGTCCGTTTTTTTATTGTTCCCCATCTCAGGGTCTACAACATGTTGAAACTAAAGATTTGCTATGATCGCACGATGTCTGGTACCAAAAAAATGAAAGATGTTTACAATTCTCTGTAATGCGAAATTAGAGTGCAGCTCTTGAGGAGGAGGAGGGGAGGGTATGCCCCTTCTCCCCCTCCCATCTAGAAAAATTTTTTCGCTAAATTCCCTGCTAAATTTAGCAAACATTTCTCACTATATTTAGCGGGGAAATTGACGTCACGTGACCTCAACACTAGGTTTGTGCGAATATTCGAAATTTCAAATGGTAGTCTCGAATAATACACTATTCGATATTCGCTTTAAGAAAAACTGCACTATTCGCGTTTTTCGAAGTGTTGATTGCAGAGGGTTAGCCCCGTCAAGTGCGCTTCTTACAGAGCACCGATGCACTGTGGAGAAGCGATACTTGCAGAAGTGAGCTCCGCGGGTGTTGCTTCTCTGCATTACATCGGCGCTCAGTAAGAAGCCCACTCAACGGGGGAACCCGCCGCGTCGTAAAGGTAAAGGCAGAGCTTGGCAGAAAACAAACGTAAAAATGGTCAAACAGATAATGAATTCCAGTAAACATGAAGCTGAAAACTTCACAACCTATTATCTTCCATCTATGTAGCATCAGATTTCGGCCGTAAACTGCAGGAAGCACTGGCTAGGACTCATCCACACAATCTGATTATTTAGCAGCCTAATCTAAGAAACCCATCCAAATCATGTGCCCTAGACTTCGCAACTCTAAGGAGACATACACAAACTAATTTGCGGCAAACGGTTCTTAACCACCCGCGCCGTCTAAACAGCCGCACAACAAATTCGAGGCTTCCACTTCTACTCACGTTTACTTTTCGTGCCCACGTTGCTGTTGCTTGCACCGGCGGCTTTGCTGTTGCTTTTGCCATTGTTTTTTCTGCTAAACTTCCGTTTGTTGTTGCTGTTGCCGGTGTTTTTGCCGCTGTTGCCGACGCTCTTCGTCGCCGGTGTCTGGGCGACCGACTCCGTCTTGGCGGCGTCTGCGGACACGCGGCTCACGTCCCGCTGGTCCTCCGTGAGTCTCGAGTTAATCTCTCCGTCCTCCGAGGTTCGCCGCGGCGACTCCGCGGAGACGGGCGACTCCGCGATCATCAGCTTCCCTTCGGAGTCAGAGTCGGACGCGTCACAGGGAAGCTCCATGGTGGGGAATACCAGGGGCCTCGGGGGCGTTCTGCACAGTTCCAAGGTCGTTCACACAGCTCAAGGTCGTTCACAGATTTCTACGCTCGAAGTCTCAATCAAAATGACCCAAACCAGCGATAACCCTCGCCAAGCACTACCGATGCGACAAATGCACTAAACCGAAGACTGTTGTAACCAAACACAATAGACCATTTGCTAAATCCCCCAAGCGCTCCGGCCCGCACTCGAGGAATCATGGGAATGGTGTTCCCTCAGCTCCCTAGTGATCAGTAATTTCGACCAATTCCACGGTTACACAGTTGTACATGTAATTCGGAGTCACCCTGAACAAGCGTCATAAAGAGCCCAAGGACCTGTCATAAACATTTTAGCATTTCTTGTCAATGCCAGTGTTTTCGATACCACCCTTCAACCTGGCTGAGCTGCAGAAATTTTACATTATTATGATTCTCGTACAGCTTCAAAGACGCTGATATTAAGTTAGAAATGCTAAAAATGTTATAAACAGCTCCGCTGACTTCGAGCTAAATCCTGGTTTTGGTTGTTGAGAATTCTTGCCTTTTCGAGGAATTCCTGCTGAAACAACAATCACGAGAATGATAATATTGTAAGAGATTTCCGCAGCTCAGCCAGGTTGAAAGGTGGATCGCATGCATGGTATCGAAAACGCTGACATTAACGAGACATTTTAAAAGTGACATGACAGGTCCTTGGGCCCTATACGACGTTTGTTCAGGGTGACTCCCAATTACACTCAAAACTGTGTCACCACGGAATTGGGTGAAATTAAGGACCACTAGGGGGCTGAAGGAACACCGTTCCCATGATTCCTTGAGTGCTCGCTACTTGGGGGATTAAAGGAGCTGTGCAACAATTTCAGGGCTTTGCTTAAATAATTGTGGAAGTTGATGCCTGACACTTCTGCAGTGAACTACAGAAAACAGATTTTGCCTGGATACCCTAGTTTTTACTTAAAAAAATGAAAAAGATCCAGGTTTTTGCCGCCTCTCAACTCGTGCATCGTCTTCCGGGTCACGTGCACAGTGACGTCACTAGAGTAGGCGCGGAGTTCCGGAAAAGTTCTCTCTTTAGAGCCATCAGCGAGCAGCGAGAACTCATCCGCTCGCGAACGCGTGACCACCCGTCCTTGCCCGTCCGGCGCTGTCCCCCTCCTCCTCCGGCTTCTGGCGGCTGTTCGCGGTTTTGTAAACCTAGGATAGATGGCGCCACTAAAACTCCGTATAATAAAAGTTTTGTCGATGATACCAGGGTTTTGACGCATTTATATATATGTTGGAACGACAAGATTTATAAAAAAAGTTACCTTTTATCGAGCAGGTATTCGCACAACTTGCTATCTTTCTTACAACGACCCAAGTGACGTCACGCCGCTTGTTTCTCATGGCCGCCGCTCGTGGCTGCAGGTCGGGAAATATTCCAAGTTTTGCCTCGCTATTACGCGGTGGAATCGCAACATTGCGATGAAAGGAGGTGTGTTTTCTGCCATTTGTAACACAGTGAACAATATCAAAAGCAGAAAATGCCAATTCTTTCAACGTTAAAATCGTTGCACAGCTCCTTTAAGCAAATGGTCTATTCATATGAAAATTTAGAAAATTCCTTCGTCAACAATAAATAAAACACATGTGGCTTTGGTGCCAACTGCTCCTGCGCTCGTTTTGCCAATTTTTTTATCTTCTCTACACATCATGATGTGTACGAAACTACTAAGGCTCATAAACTTCCGAATTTTATACATTCTCCGAAATTATTCTAAATTTCATACCAGCAAATATGAAGCAATGAAAATAAATAGCATCACCGAGTACATCTAGTCAATACAAATCCAATGGCAAGTATATGGTAGTGACCTCAAAATAGCCTTCCTTCCCAAAATATCAAACCGAGCAGAAAAGCACCAGGAAATTTCTGTTTACCTTAACTTGTAATAAGGAAGGTCACCTATAAGGTTCACACAAGGGATAAGTCACTGTACCCTAGTTTTCTTTATACTCCACATCAACTATATTGCACTATGTTGTCAAGGCTAGTGTGGCTTCCACGATGCTACAACATGAATTTCTCTAGCATTCGCACATGCTCGCGCAAAAAGCTTCGACATCATCGAAGCACTGCAAAAGCCACGTCAGCCTCGACAACGTAGCCTCACGAAACAGCCAGCGACGAGTATGGGTTAGGCGGAGCCGTCAATGCTAAGGGCACTCGCCAGGTGGCCCTAGCGGCCACCCAATTCGAAGGACTTGACTATATTCCAGCCTCACTTTCGTTCCTGCGCTTGAGGGGACCTGGGCTTGTGTGTGCGCACCCCTAGCGTCTCCTTGACCGCACGGATTACGTCGTCGTCGTCGGAATCGCTGCTCGACACGACTGCACCCTGCGTGTTCCGTGACGCCGGGCCCTTGAACGGGGAGTCCGCATCGTCTGGGCGGCAGTTCCCGTTCTGCGGGGGAGGGGACGGGGAGCACGGGGAGTAAAGGTCCCCCTCCAGGGCCTCGGACACGTCGTCCATGCGACCAAGCTTGTCGCAGTCCTGCGGGAAAGAGAGGAGGGCCGACATGCTCAGAGGGGATAGCGACAAGGTTCCTTTTAAATGGATACTACAACAAAATTTTGGCGCTTATTTCTGTCTATTCGTGTTCAAGGGAGCAGTATCACATCAGACGTGCCAATCTCTCGTTGAAAAAGGCACGAAAAGGAATTTTAGAATTAATCAAACGATTAGCAAAGAGCACCTGATGAATGTAGCCGACACATCATTTGTAATGCCCGTCTAGGGACCTTGACAGGTAATGACGATGTCTGTCTCGCCACCGGCCACCACGACAGAAGAGGGGAAGGTGGAACTCCCCTCTTCCCGAGACTCTCTTTTGTGTATCTCAGACGTCGCTATAGTCCCTTACAAGGTTATAGAAGGTTAACTTGTCACTGAAAATTCGTACAGAAGCAGCTTTGGGGTTAGTTGTGGTGGTCCGATCGCTGGTGTGCTTCGGCCGCTTCAATGGCTGGAACAGCTAGGACATCCTCTCGAGGTAAGCCTTGCCGCAGCTTCGCTCGTCCTGAGACAATCTACGTCACGATTGCGGCAGATGTTAGGTTCTCTCCGTTGGCCGCTCTCCAAGCGCTTGCCACAGTGGGCCGTATATATAGAAAAATAGAGTCATCAGGCTCAAAATACAAACGTGCGATTGTCATTTACGGATATTCTGGATCATATTCAGCCAATTTCATCGAAGTGTCCTTTTAAAGGGTTGACTCAAGAGTTTCTGTGCTTGTAGTAAATATTGCTTAGAATTACCTCTCGACATTCATAACCTATGAAACATGTGTTCTTTTTTTTCTCTCCAAGCGATGGCAGGCACAGAAAAAACACTGAAGAAACGAGCAACGTTCACCTCCTTGACTCGCAGCAAAAACAAGAGACGACATGCACTGAAGCCGATTAAAGGGACACTGACACCCCCCCAAGAAAGTTGTTTTCATTTTTTGCCAGGCGATTTATAATGGTGTCGGAATACTACCCAATTAATATTTTGCTACAGAGTCCCATATTTTTTTAATAAAGCCAAAAAACGCAACTGCTCGAAACTGAAACCGAAACCCACGCACCGCACCGAGATGTGGAGAGGAGAGAGTAAGTGGCGGAAGCCACGTGGCTACACCTGACCGTGCGTTTTTTGTTGTTTCTTTTTTCTCTTCTGGGTACAGTAGACGAAATGCGTTTGGGATCCATTCGCCATGCGATTCCTTTGCAGTTATGTTTGTTCCGCTCGCTGTTCTGTACTTCAAGATTAGTTGTTTTGCACATTTAAGTGTTGGCAATTAGTAGTGAGTGCCCGTGGGGAATCCCGGTGATCGGCCCCGAAAAGAATACTCCCAAGGTGCCTTCACATCTGAAAGTGGCATTGTGGGGCAGAGGTGTCGAAAATGGAATCCGACACCATTTAGTTCAGCATGTATCGTCCACAACAATTGTTTTTTTTTTCAGTGATAATTGTAAAAAAAAAAAGAAATGTAAACATCGCAAAATATTTGAAAAAAAAAAAGAAGGTACGCCCACACTATGGATTGAACCCGTGTTCGCTGCGTGTGAAGCGGACGTCTTTCCACTGAGCTGCTCAAGGAACTCTTCGTTCGTAGTAATGCATCCGGTCGACCGTATTTCGGAAAGTTTGCTGCCGATTTCCCTCCAGTATATGCATTCCTGGCTTGAAGTCGGGCAGCACCACGCATTGGCCACATTCGCACCAAGTAAAGAAACCGTCTTAATTACAAAAGCGCGAAGGACAAGGACAGGACAAAGAATGAACAGGACAAGCGCTTACTAACAACTGATTGTTTAATGCTTAATAAGAGAAAGACGACAATGAGAGGAGATTTAATAAATTAAAATTCCAATGTTTTCCCACGTAAAATGATTAAAAATTATTTGAGAAAAATTAGGACTGATAGAAAATAAAATTAAAGAAACCGTACGCGTGCGTATTCAACTCAATGTACGCACTTCATGCTTGACGTTTGAGCGGGCGATGTTTTCAGCCACGAGAAGGAACGACAACTCGGCGACATCTTCGTGCAATCGGCTTGCTGGTCGGGCGTGTCGTACGGGATGATATCAATTCTTTTTATCGGTCCAAAATTCCTCTTTCGAAGGAAAACAAAATTTGCCGGTACTGTGAACAACAGTTCTGAAGTAGAGGTCCCACGCCCGTCGTCCGCTGCCACCCGCTTGTCGTACGGAACGTGAAACGACACTTTGTTGAGAATTAAGCAGTGAACGCACAAAATGCTTCCGGTTGTCTGTGCAACCTTTTTTTTTTTTTTTCAGTCAATGTATTTGCAGCTTTTTGGAAGCCACAAAAAATGGGCTTCATATTTTTTCTATTTTTAGTATTGACTGTGTGCGTTCAATGGCCCACGACTTTCATTAAATTTGGTGGTCGCGTCGAAACCTTTGAAAACGGCCCGTGAACACGAAAAAGAGAGTGAGCGCGACTCAAACCGACCAGTTCTCGATCGGTGGTTTTCGGGCGGAAAGAAACCGAATTTTGAGCCGCAAATTGTGTTCTGGGTAGTTGGGTTCTCATATGTCACATACAACTAAAAATCTCGGCGAGCATAAATACTCTGTCAGTGTCCCTTTAAATGCTGCAAATTTTCACCATAGCCATGGCAAAGCACGGGACACGTGCTGAGTTCCACATTGTTAACGTTCTGCCATTCCCGTCACCGCTGTGATTGGGCACGAGCCACCACGCGAATGCGTGTCGCGGCATTAATTATTGCGAGCCCAAATCAAATGCTCGCGAAGTGCTTGTGCCCACTGTATGAGCGGCGTTTAAATATCGTCACTGCGAGACTAGCAAAACTCGATGACGAAATCCTGGGGATCGCATTGTTGACAACGCCAAGGGCGCAATTGTTGACGACGCCAGCAGCACAAACATCTGTTGCCGTTTGTACCGAATGCGTCGTGGCATCTCCAATGATTACACATGTGCAGCAGAAGCAGATGCTAAAATTTGCAATAAAAATTTTGCATGCCTGCACAAAGGCAGTGTCTTTTATGCATGTCTAAAGTATAATGACATCGTTAAAAATTTAATGATGGAAAAGTTTAGAGAGGGCTTCTTGTATAATGTACGGCGTGACACGCGGTTTGTAGCCAGTGAAAACAAAAGGACTTTTAATATGTGTGTGGCACAAGAACAACTATTGCCTTTTGCAGGTTAAGAACAGCGGGGCAAGATCCTCCCCACAATGCGCTCAGTTCTTTCCACTTCAGTAGAGCAAATGCTGAAGGAGTAAACCATCAATCGTGGCAGACAGCTTTCTGGCAGGGCCTTGTTTTGCCTGTTATTCTAAACCTGCAGCAGACTATAGTGTACAACAGCTATCTGATATACAGACAATAGGAGTTGAAACACGGGATCCAGACTTTTGCGGCGTCCGCGGTCCCCCACAAGCTTCATCATCTCTCAATTTATCAAATAGTCAAAAGTATCGAACCTCAACTTGGCATTCCATTCCTAGTTTGGACCTTTCCAAAAACCTGCAGGTATGCCAAAGAAGCACAAAGGACTGTCTCAGCCCACACTGTCCGCGACAGTACATCCTTGGTAGAATGTAACATGCAATAAAGATTGCCGTATCAAAGCAGAACTGTCCGACCGACCCAATCAAAAGGCACTGTTTGTGACGGAAAGCACGGGAAGCAAACAATGTCATCACCTGGTCCGTATTGCTGCAGTCGACCACATTCTCAAATTCCTTGAAGACGGTTGTGACGATGGAGGCAAAAACTTCGCGGTTTTCGGAAGACAGGTGTTTCACTTTCAGCTCGTCCGTGTAAAGCGTACGGAGCTGGCGGATTGTGAGCATGCTGCAAAAACACAAACAAAAAAAGCATTCATCAGCGTGACTGCACAGCGTGCCCGAACATCAGTCCACACGCAGCAACCGACCAGCATGACGCGTGGTAGACCGCGAACGTTGTAAAAGGAGACGTTCATTTATGCAGGTACTGTTAAAGAGTGTATCGTTTAGACAGCCCCATTAACGATACCAGACAGTGATTCTATACGTACACAAAGGCTCCAGCAGGGTATCGGGTATTGTTACCAGAGTTATCGGAAGAACCTATAAAACTCTCTATTGCGCTTAGCATGAAGGACATTCCAACATCTGCAAAGCTGAAATAACTGCAACGAAATGAAGGGCAGTTTTCTGGCTCGCTCAATAAGCACACATCTTTCCAAAATTACGCCCGACGGCTCTGATCACCCGAGCGCATGGTACAGTCGGCTGTGTAGCTGGCAGTACTGATGATGACCTGCCACAAACGTGAGGTAACTTTGCTACAATGACCCTTAATTGCTTCTATGGGCCTCCACAATCACAATTAAAAAACTGATGCATCATTCGATAAGACCTATATCTAATAAGCTACGAACCGGGCGCATTCTGTAATGGACTCCACAAAGTTCCCTTTGAATCAGACAGAAATGCCATCGTTGACTTATAGCTGTCACCTGCCCCTTGGGAATACGAGTTTGCTCTGTTGGCCAATGATGCTGGCTCAGAAACCGAAGGACAACGATCACTATACCCCGTTCACCCCTAAGCTGACAGTGCGGTGTGAGCTACAAGCTTGTTGCACCACTCAACCACCTCCTTTCATCACCAGACTCAGCTTCTGGCATGTGGGTATGGGCAGGAGCGTGATCATGTGGCGGAAGATAGACATACGACTGCTCCAATCAGCACATAGCGTCTACCACACTGCCAGCTTAAGGGTGAACGAAGTATAGTACTGCTTCTGCAACAGTACTGGTGATCAATAGTTTTGAAGCAAATTGGTGTCAAACAAGCACAAGTGTTAGAACTGAGAAGGACAGTTTAGGTACATTAAAGCACCGATTTTTGACGAGCTCAGTGGGAGACCTTTTTCCTACTATTACAAACTAAAGACTGAAAGTGAATTTTTCTTTTTAGTAGAAAGAAAAAGATTTTTGAAGGCATATATTATGCAACTGTCCACGAACAAAGGCCAACCTTAAGCATGGGTTAGTCCTTTTATTTTTTCTCCTATCACAAAGGTGATGAAATATGGTTAGACAATGCTCTAGAACGTTGTTCATTTTTTATTTTATTATTCTTTCCCCTCCCACAAAAATCATGCTACCTACGTGGCTACGTTTTCTCGCGTTTGACGAAAACAAGCTCGAACAATCTCGACAGCTCGAACCCCTGAAAAAACGCAAATGCTTGATCGAACGTTCTGGACAAGCGAAACCTTTGAAGTCGTCACGATAATTAGCATGCACGCTTCTTCAAAAGAGTTGGCGTCACTCCCGAAAGTAGATCAACACGGAGACAGCTCACGACACAAAAACCACGCACACATATTTTCCGCCCGTTTTCGCAGGTCTCTAAAGTTAGAGCATGTGGGGCCAGCTCATGAATCGAGGTATTTGAATAGATTACGTTAAAAACACGAGTAACATCGCACAAATCAACGTTAAAAGGAGCGATAGCCCCAATAATGCCAACATATGAGGCTACGCGGTTTGGCGGCTGCTCGGTCCGTATTCGGACACTATATGCGCACAAGCACTAGGGTATTGAGTGGACACTTTGGATAAAATTTGAAAGTAGTTTGTAAGAGCGTTGTTCGTACCCATAGTCGCGTCGTTCCCGAAAAATACGACGAACAAATTCTAGCATACTACTGGCGCTGACCGCCGCCATTGCTATTCCCGCGCAAGGGACATTATTCGCCATCTATTGTTTGATAATCGCTTGGCAGCTAAGTGGGGTTTTACTAGAAGATAATAAACTATACATTATTTCTGTACTAAATAGAAATGTCGATTAAAGTTTGAGTTTTTAATTTTAGACAAAAACACACCGTGGTTTTGATTTGGCAAAAGGTGGCGGAACCAGCGGCACTGGTTCGAGGTGGGTTTTAGTGATCTAAGTTTCGGTTCCGTTTCTTACGTGGTCTACGTTGCTCGATAAAAAAATTGTCTTAGTAACAGTATCCTTTTTTTATTTGTCGTACTGAGAGCCTAATATCAGATTGTTGCAGACGAAAGTTTCATTCCAACCCCGTACGAGAAACGCGCGTGACAACTTGTCAAGAACCATCTAGCAACGCTGAAAATGCGTTCGGAAAGGTAACCTTCTCCTCTGTAGTGTATGCAGAGTAACAACGCACGTTCGAAATAAGCTGGCCATGTGGTTGTGTGTTTGGTGAACGAAGCAAATTTTAAGTAACTCTAGAGTTTGCAAAACTGACTCTCTGCTCACCGAAAACAAAATAGTAACAATTGAACGCGCAAGTGGCGCAAGTAGCATGGCGCTTTCGACAACAGCGTGGAACTCAAAATGTGTACTGACCCGTTTTCCTTTAACGCTGTGAAGTCTTTAACGCTGGTTCAACGCCAAAGCAAACAAAGCGCAGACAACGTTCGAGTGCGTCAGAGGAGGGAAGTGACACTGGATGCAATGGGCAGGCCGTCCAAAATTGCGAGAACGTTTGCTGGCGTTCAAGCGGTATCCGAAATGTGCGGAACATTTGAATGCGTTACTATGCCTTTCTCACATTAGGTACTACAATGAACGAACTGCCGAAAGTTTTGCCCATTTGGACGAACGCGGCTGAGCAGGGTTTAGCGGATCTGAAAGTCTTCGCCGTCGACTCAAGACTGCATCCCGATTATGGAGGAGCAGGGGTGGACGTTTCGGTGGACGGGCGCGGGGACATTCAGTGCACCGCCCTCAAGCACCACGACGCCAAATCCACCCGGTTGTGCGCCAGGAACATTACGTTACCGTTTGGTCTGCCGAACACCGGTAAGTGTTTTTTTTGTTTTTTGTTTTTTTTGTGGAACTTGTCATTTTGTTGAAACTCGTTTCGTGGACAACTCTTCATGGACACACGTTTCGTCGACACGATCGTTTCAACGATACTCGTTGCGCGAATTGCACGCTGTGGGGAGATTTCGTCACGCGTGTATCACTGGGATCCGCGTTCACCCCCCCCCCCCCCCCCTCACACACATGCACGCACGCACGCACGCACGCATAAAGAAGGGGCAAAACACTCTTTGCAAGGTGTGTACCTTGTTTGTTTTCTAGCATTATTTTGCACAAAAACACTGGCGATGTGCATTATGCAAAAAAAAAAAATGTATAAAGTGGACGAGCATTTGACCAACCTCAACTCTTCACAGCAAAACAAACTTGCCTAACTTTTCGTCTACTTTCGTTCGCCTCTCATCTGTCATTCTCTTTCTCGTTATTTCTCTCGAAACTACCAATGTAAGCGCTTACGATTTGCCGCGCTCTGCTCCCGCCTTTAACCCCCTGCGTGACCCTGACGCTGCCACGCCCTCTGTGTGAGAAGCTGACGACGGTCTTGCTTGCTCGGATTGGAGGGACAATGTCTAGAGGCAAATGCCGCCAGCCTTTAGACCTACCTCGTACCCTTTCAATCGGAGCCCAACACTCTAACGTCATCGCACCCTCTGCGTAAAAAGTGCCGAGACCTGTTAATTTTCCTAACACTCGTATAAAATCATCCATTAACTGAAACTCTACGAAAGTAAAAAAATTCAGAATTTACCGCTCGATTCCAAGCCCAATGGCATGCAGTACCTTTGTTAGACATGTGGGAAACCGGCATTCTTGTCCGCATCCCTCCATCGCATGTGCAATTTTGGTTCTCCTGTTTGTGAGCAGTGTAGGGTGGTTTCACGTGGCATACTTCCAATTCAAAACCGTGCCAGATGATGTATTGATGAACTTTTACCTTACGTCTTTGTATGTGCGGAAGGACTGTTTTCCTGCTCGCTTGAGCCCTAGTGTGTTGTGATAGACTGCGTCTGCCGGAGTAGTCGACGACACAAAGGAACATTCTCCAATACTCGAGTATGGACCGGTCTGTATTCGGAGTGCAGACGAGCCTGCGCTCCAGAAGTCGACACGCATGGCCAAATTTGCCTCAGTAAATGCCATCAGAACGAAAAAGACAAACAATAGAATGTGCATGGGTTTATGTGGCCAAAATACATCTCCGATAGTACTCACTGAGTTATAGAGTTGTGCAAATATTCAAATTTTTGAGTAGTAGTTTAGAATAATGAGCTATTCGATATTCGCTTCAAGGTGAACTGATATATTCGCATGTTTCCACGTGTTGATCGTGGCAGGTTAGCCCTGTTGGGCGCACATCTTACCAGCACTGGTGCACTGCATGGAAGCAACACCTGCTGAGCTTGCTTCTGGGGCTGTGGCTTCTTTACAGTGCACCAATGCTTGATGAGAAGTGCACTCGATGGGGCTAATCCACAACAATCAACATTTAAAAAGTACAAATATTGCAGCTGCTTGCTTAGTAGGAAAGCTCATTTACAAAGCGGGATGGTGCACGTGCGTGCCCGATGTATTCAAAACGAAATGCAAGCTTCACGAATGTTGATATCTACATTGCAGTCAAATTTTAAATATTAAACTGGCATGCATATGTATATGTTATAGGGCCCCTAAAAAGAAGATACTTTTTTTTTAAACAGTCAGATTGGGACACGTGTGTCAACACATAAATTTTACGCAAAAAAAAAAGCTAAATTTTTAGAGCAATATTGACGGCACGAGACGTGATTTAATCGGTAGTCACCTCCTTTCCACTTGTTTTCTCTTTCGGCAGGAGAGGTAGAGTGGCTTCGCCTTCATGTTGAGGTCGAAAGAGCAAATGACCATCTCATTGAGCGAATGACCATTCTGTGACATCATGGACTTTGCGCGTAGAATTTTAAAAAAATCTCGCCGTCAATATTGCACTAAAACAATTTTTTTTTTTTTTTTGCATACATTTTTTTTTTTTTTTTGACACGTGTCCTTATTGCACTTTAAAAAAAAAAAAAGGAAAAAAATTTTTTTTTTCATGTGCTTTTTAAAGGAAAATTGAATCGGTTTTGTATTTGAGAAAAAAACACTTAACTCATCTTCATATGACCTTCAGGATCACGATTGTCGAGAATATTTTTCAATTTGACGCACGGCTGCATAAATGAATTTTCAAGGTACTGCTGAAGCCCCTCCTTTCCGGGGAATGACGTCCTATTAGGAGTTTTCGGAATCTCCGCTCTCGCGCATCTTTAGCACCTTTCAAAGCTGTGCACGCGCACCCTTGCTCTTTTCAAAAAGGTCAGAAAGAGACGTCACGACTGGTTTCAGTGCGGAGGAATATACCCGGCAAGCTTGCAATTGCACACGCTGCCCACACGAGCGACAGGCATTTGGCGGCCAGATTCTAGTATGACATCGGTTTTTCGCATTTTCTCGCTTTTAGTTACATCTTCGGAGAAAAAAACACATGATATTCAGATTCACAGGATAAAAACACGCCAGACTTCACCTCTATCTCGTTTTTTTTTCAAGAAGTGTTTCAGCTTCCCTTTAAGCAAAGATGCCTGACAACCTGCGTTAATCATACGTGATTGAAGGATATATATTTACATATAGCGAGAATATTTATAAATCCGTTCGATTAGGCATAGCTGGGCATCTCTGGAGGTTTAATTTTATATCAAATTTGTCATTTACTTGCCATCCCAATGTAGACATTGGACTTTCGGAGGCCATAGTCGATAAATATAGTTAGATTAAAATGAACTTATCTCAGAAAGGGACAGGTGGAAGCTTGGCAACAACCTTCACGAGTTCAGCTGGGTTTTCATTTAAGCATGTTGCAGTATTGAAAGGATTAGAGAAAGAAACTATTTGATATTCTATTTGAAAACGTTCGACAAAAACCACCATTCGCTTTGAACTCAGCATCCACTGTTCGCACATGCCTACTGAGGTACATTGTCGACGGAACCACTTGCCAAGCTTGTGCCTTCCGCCAACGCCAAAACCCACGGCAGTAATGTAAGCTTACTAGGGTATGTTGTTGGGCTTGTTGGTTCATCTTAGTAAAACATATAAAATAGCGCAAAAAAGACAAGGACAAGAAGTATACAGGACAGGCGCTAACTTTCAACTAGTTTTATTCAGGAAAAGTAAACATATATATACACACGACAGGCAAAGCAGCACCACGTAAAAGTTGATTAATTTTTTACCCAATCACTCAAAACTGAAATTCATTACAATGAAGCACAATAGCATTGTCCCTGACACATGCCGTCCCACTTTTTTTTTGATAAAGAAAGCTTCCAATAGCTCTCGAGCGACCGTCTCTTGGCTTCTTCCTAGTATCCTTATCTGCTGAAGTCGTGGAACACAGCCACACGTGTTGCAGTGCGTTGGCAAATGCGAGCCATATTTATTTTTTACTGATAGTGCATGCTCCCGTGCTCGGTTCATTGATGTGCCGCACCGTCTGGCTGATGTATACCTTTCCACAACTCGGAGGGATTTCGTAGAACACATCGGTCAAACGGGACGGTCAGGGACACTTCTATTATACTTCATTGTAATAAATTTCAGTTTTTTGAGTGATTGGGTAAACAATTAATCAACTTTTACGTGGTGCTGCTTTGCCTGTCGTGTGTATGTATATGTTTACTTTTCCTGAATAAAACTAGTTGAAAGTTAGCGCCTGTCCTGTATACTTCTTGTCCTTGTCTTTTTTGCGCTATTTTATGTTTTACTAGTATTGTAAGCGTCTGCATGCAAACCATTGGGGAAAGTGGCAGATGCGGTTCATTATTGTGGCTAAACGTGGCCTACCTGAAGTGACAAGATGCTTCGTGGAACTGCCCTATTGTGAACATTTGAAACATTGTTTGACTGCAAAGTGTGCTACGGACGAAAGGCTCACTCACACGCTTGCGACGCCTGATGACAGTGTGCGTTACAACCTCTTGTGGTCTCATGACGAGAGAACACGCTGGTGCCATCTATCGAGTGGAACGCTTGACTTTTCTTTTTTTTTTCTTATTGGTGTGAAAATCTTTTAACTATCTTATAAACTATGGTATCTACATCAAATCTTCCAATTACTGCAAACCCTTCGCTCTAGTGAAATTAAGTTCCAGGGCCAGCTCATGGATGTGTCCAGCGTGCCGGTTTGTAACGGTCGTAATGCACTAGTCGTAATCAGCCGCAAGTGCGCGAACCAGCCTTGACGTGTATTTTGCATGACATGATGCAGTGCTCAGCCTCCAGGAGCGCTGCCTGCAACCTCAGTTGGACCTCAACGAACGCATCGACTTCTACGAGCTCTCGCTGCTGAAGGATCGTCCATGGGCAAGGCGTCAAGTATGTACTGCGGCATTGCTTTGACCGTCGAGGATGTAGACCAACCTCGCCGAGCATTCGGCACATGCCCGGTGCCGCCACAACTTCAGCTCACGAGAGGCAGGTGGCAGGGGTCCACATCATTTCATTGAAATGTGTTTTATGAACATTAGTTTTGCTGACACTGCAGTGTTTCGTGGAAGCTCGTTTTATGGGCACGTGCGACTGCATATTTTCTTTCATTAAATGGCTTAGACTGGATTACTGGCTCACTTTCATTCGCTGGAAGCATACTGAAACTAAAGCAGGTTCACTAGGGCAAAAAGAAATCCGCGGACCCTAATTCTAGGCTTCCAAGCATTCCGCGCTAAGCGCTGACACCACCCGCTCCACCTAGGTAAGCTTTAAAATAATCTCGGGCCCGAGCTTGCACAGCCTTTCAATGGAACAAACTGTCAATGAAATGTTGCAGTGTCCACGAAACGGTCTGTCAATGAAACAACGTTCGTTGAACTGATTGCTACCAAGGCGACAGTGCCTGAATCGACTTGTGCCATCTTGTGCACGTGTGAGGTAGTCACACGTGCATAATGACTAAAGCTTTCTCGATGCACTGCGGGAGCGGCGGCGTAACGAAACGTGCTGATGAGATCAATCTATCGATTTCTTTTATTTTTCGTTCGTTCGTTCCATTGATTTGAGCAACATACAACTCTTGACTGAGTGTCATAGCAGGAGTGGCACATCTTGAAGTACAGGGAAATAATGATCACTGGGAAAGTGGTCCAAGAAAATATATTGTTTAGGGCACGTGCAAAACTACTACAAAGTGTAAGGAAGCACGGCTCCCTCCGAATGCCTTTTTGGTAGAAGGCCTCAAGATACAGCAACTTGGGTGTCTGCTGAAGAAGTTCCGAAAAAACAATTTGAAAGTTTCTACGCGCTAAAAGAGGTCCTCTTCTGTTGTTTTTCTTCTCTTTCTTTTTCTGGCTGTGATTTTTTTTTTTTTTTAGGTGGGGGTCATTGAATTAATTGACGTTTCGTTAGACACAGTCTGCCGCCTTCCTTAATTCTGCATCTCTCAGGTTGACAGACTTTGATGTGGACACCAGGCAAAAATGAAATAATGAAAAATAAAGTGTCCCCTGTCCGCTCCTGTGTAAGCACTGCAGATTTGTCCGGCTGACGATTGCACCTAGCAGTCTCCACTAGTGGGCTGGACGGCTCATGTAGCTAGCAGGTATTTGTGTATAAGACGCACAATTTTCGGCGGTGCGTCTTATACACAGGTGCATCTAGTATACTAATTTTTTCTCAGAAACTTGTGAAAAGGGGGGGGGGGGGGGGGAGGTGCATATTAAACACCGGAAAATACGGTACTTGGGGAAGCTGTTTCGTCCACAAGCTTAATTTTGGGGGTCCCGGTTGATCGAGTGCATGTGTCTTGCTTTCGAGTGCCTTATTCTCACAATCAAATGCTACAGGGTATCATTAACAACCGCCTCAAAGAACAGAAATAACATGAATCGAAACATTGACCGAACGCGCTAAGAAGGACAGCAAACGTTTGGCTTCTGGCACGAGCGTCGAACTTCCAGGGGTTTCGTACACACCCGGTTCGGAGAGCGGTAAACTAAGTGCCGTTGGCACCGTCCAGTCAACACCACTTAGAATAATCGTAGCCCACGCGCTAAAATCTTGACGCGGTCGCGGCGAAATTGAGCGACTAACTGCCGGTGACTTTAGGTGGTGTTATTCCTGCCATCCTACCGCAAACATCAGTGATAACGACCAATCTCGACCGCCACAGGCACCCCTGGGAAACTGCGTTCAGGGCATGCTGGAGGCTGTGCGCACCAGAAAGGGCAAGCGGCCATTTGAGAACATGAAGATCCACTACGGCCTCCAGGACCTGTTCGAGGCCAGGCCCACGTCCATGCAGTACAGGGTGCGAGAGCTTTCCCTCTTGCCCGAGTTTGAACGCAAGTCGTACGTGGTGCACGCTCCGCGTCTCGGCGATTCGCAATTCCCCAACGTTTGGTGGTTGAGGACGTACCCTTTGTCGCCGGTAAATCTACGTACTTTTTACGTACAGCATGCGGCGCAGTCAGCGAGATCGTCGAGGGCGTTTGGCGTCTTCCCTATGGGTGTGTTGAGCGTGGGTGAACATTACCCGGCACCTCCACCGGAATGTCACAAATGAAAACGGTTGGCAGACGTAGAACCGAAAAAAAAAATCTTTAATGAGGCGAGCTTGTACCTACGAAATAAGACAAAAAGTATCTTGCGTCGGCGACGGAGGGGTGATTGTTCAATGCGGCACGTTACTGCCGCTTTTGTACATGCGGTACGTTCAGCAACGTTTAGAACCAGAAGGCTCAATGACGGCCAAGGATCGCTGGAACTTTCCAGAAGAACGCAAAATTATAAAAGTAAGACCCAGTCCGAGGGGGGTTCTAACCCCGTTTCTCCGCGTGGCAGCCGCCTGCGTTGCCCAACTTGTCCCTGCACGCTTCAATATGGGCATTTCTCCGCATTTTACTCGAACATTAATGGGCACAAAACTTTACCGCTTAGGTTGTTGCTTTGGATGAGGACTTTTCGCTGCATAGTTCTAGCTTTTATGGCAACTTCCAATTTTAAGAAAAAGGTGGGAAAAACTGGCGATTGCTCATTCGCACTAATAGTGTGCTCCGTGGTGCCGTGTCTCGTAGATCTGTCATGAGAGGGTGCTTTGGATTCTTTGCAGGAATGCAACTGGGGTTACACAGGAGGCTGCCTGGCTTTGGTTCCTGCCGCTGTTGGTGGCGGTACCACGTTGCTCTGCCATCCTTGTGGCGTCGATCTGAACAACCTAGGTGGGTGGCGAGAGACCATCTTTACGTACGGTCAGCCAATCTCGAGGTGCTCTAGAGAAGACGAGGATTATATCTTTGCTCACTTCGAGGCAATCTTTAAGGGGACATGTGCTGGGGAAAAGATTTTTTCTTTTATTATATACAATATTAAATGAAATTTTTACACTTTATGGCACTTAATCTTTTTTTTATAAATCTGCTACTACAGTCAAACTCATTTATAACGAACAGCAGGAAACGCTACAATCAGTTCGATATAGCAAGTAATTCGATATAGCAAAAACCATTTACAACGAATTTCCACAATGCGTTCGTTGTAAGGCCGAGAGCTTCTCTTTTTTTCTCAACTGTTCACTTCTGCCTTGTAACAACGCGCTGTAAAGTTGTTGTTGCTGTTGTTGTTTTTTTGCATACATGCAGTTTTTTTTTTTAAGCTTATATTTTTTTTCAATTGCTTCTCTTCGTAAGCAAACACTTTGGGATGAAAAGTTTTTTTTCATTGTTTTTTTTCTGTGCGTGCGTGCAAGTGTATTTTTTTAGCTTTCTCCCCTCTGAATTGCTTCTCTTTGCTCAATTTTGTTCGCAACGAGCTTTTGGAATTTTCTTTATTTCCTTCCTCTTTTTGGGGGCAAGGGAGAGGCTCGAAGAGGATTGGTTTGCACGTTTTTGGGAGCCTTCCCGGGGGAAAAAGTTCAATATAGCCAATATGTTGTTCATTATAAAAAGTTCTTTTTACATGCATTTATTTAAATTTTTGGCGATTGGATATTGACAATAATTCGCTGTACGTGGGTTTGTTCTAAGCGGGTTTACTGTAGACTTGATATAGCTTGTTTTTTAGGTTCTCAATGCAATGTACTGCTGAAAAAAAAAATTTTTGTGCACATTTGAGGCATGGTATCACACTTAAAGAAAGCCTAGTAAAAGAAACTAATTCGCTCCTTTTAAGCCACTGAGTGCAATCAAATACAAAAATAATGTGTGCAATGTTTCTTTCAATTTAAAATTATTAAAAATGGCAAAAAGTGTCATTTTAATGGGCTAACAAATGTTTCTTAGACTTTTCATAGCTATGAAAACATGCATTCTAACCAAACCCAGATTGTTGCATTCTACATATTCTAAGGTATATGCATGCCGAATTCGGTTGTGATCAAACAATATTAAGAACGTGACTTGTTCTGCACAAACTGTGAAGACTGCCCCAAATTAAATTTAAGAAAAAAACGGATTTGAATGTCACCATACATGTGTACCTATACATACTTTTTCTCGGTGCGGAAAATAATGTTTTGTTAATAAATTTCCGTGAGAAATTGAAGTTGCAGAAGACTACAGTGGGGGAGGAGACGGCTAGGCCTACTTGTCAACTTAAGTGTGATGGTGGGCAACGTCACAACTCGAAGAACCACGCAGAGAAAAATGGCTCAAATTCATGTCGTTCTGGGTTGCCTGGAGGTCTTCAAATATATATTTAACTAATTTCGCAATCATAACCGGCACTGATTATTTTTATACATCAGATATAAAGGTCGAAACATAATCAAACGCAATAAAACCCAAATCATATTTTTTGCGGTATATTACCGCTCTTTCTTAAAATACTGGGAGTGGGCCAAATGCATGCACAACTTCAAGACGTTACGAGGGGTGTCGTAGCAAAGCCGAAAGCGCTACAGTAAAATCTCGTTAATTTGAACCCGAGGGGGACCAACACTTTGTTTGAATAATGCAAAGTTTGAATTACCAGGAGTTGCCTCCCTAGAAACAAATGGGACGGGACCCGCATGTTAGTTTAAATTATCCGCAAGTTAGAATTGTTTGAATTAACAAGATCCCACTGCATATTCTGTATTTGAAAGCTGCTGGACCTCTTTAGACATACCCTTGGATCTGCACTTAAATTTTTTTAGGATCTGCACTTGAATTTTTTTAACCTAGCTTTTGAGCTACATATGGACCACTTTGAAAATTGTCAGGAATGTCAGGTCCCAAAAAATACAAGCAGTTTTTTTTTGTTTTTTTTTTTAATTGCAGCCATTTCGGAATTCTCCCAAAATGAGGACCCTGAGGGGCCCCTGGTTCAAAAGACGGGAACCGTTGTCCTCCAGAAACCCGAGGGCTCGGAGAGTCCCATCTTTCAAGTCTGCACTCGGAGGATTGAAGATGGTGAGCACAGATGGATGGATGGATGATAACAGCTGTATGCTGTTTATAATGGGCGGTTGCTTGCGCCACCTAGCCCCTCAAACCGAAAAAAAGCATCGGGGGCTTTGTTTTTGTGTTGCTTGAGGACAGAAGACAAGAGGGGCCATTGTTACTTGTACCTGACTTTGCTTACCAAAACTCTTTGGTTGGTGGGATATGGAGGTATTTGCCCATGGCAAAAAGTTAACACCCATCTCTTTCATGCTTCCTACATGCAAATGTATAGAATGTATGAAGAAAGAAAAACCTGTAAAATGAAGTTCTGGTGGAGGAAATTGAAACGGGAGAAGATCAAGGAATAGGGAAATTATGGGGATGCATGGGGAAGAAAATTACAGTGAAAGGGAGATGCAGGGAAGGTATGGATGGAGCATGGGGAGCAGAGATTTGATAATAAAGTTGTGAAATGGGCACGGCAGAAAAAAAATGGAGGAAATCGGTTGATGGGGAAGAATAGGGCTAGGAGAGTATAGGAGTGAGGACTAAATAAGTGAGGTTATGGTTGACTTTTAGGGCATAGGAGGGAGGACTAAACAGAAAAGGGCAGGGGTTCTCAAATGGGGGTCTGCAAACCCTTTGGGGTCCCCAAAGGCCTTCTTAGGGTCTCCGGAATCTTCACCCGGCCAATAACATATTTTTTTTGATGGTGACTGTCATACATGTGCACCAAATGGATAGGGTAGATTAGTCTATGTTTCAAAGCTTTAAAGTTAGCTTGCATGCATTTAGATTATTTTTATTTACCCTTTGGTCATTGTAATCTTCTATTATACCCCCTCCTCCCCGGTGGGAGGTCCTCCATCACTTCCACTGATCCGGAAGGGGACCAAAAACATTGGTGGCTAAGAACAACTGGAATAGGGCATTGGTTCCCAAACTGGGCTTCTAGCAGCACAGGAATTCCCCAGAGTGCCGCCCCGAGTTCCCCGAACTGCCGGATTCCTTTGACCATCCCTGCCTCTAAGTAAAGCACTCCATTTCCAGTTTAAAGGGAAGCTGTAGCGGTCTTGTATTTGAGGAAACACACTTAAATCGTCTTTATTTGACCTCCAGAATCTCCAATATCGAAATTTTTTTTTTTCATTTGGTCCATGGAGGTTGCAGAAAATCATTTTCGAAGTATTGTTGAAGCCCCTCGTTTCCGGAGCGTGCCGTCACAATAGGAGTTTTCGGAATCTCTGCTCTCGCGCATCTTCAGCGCCTATCTAAGCTGTGCACGCGCGCTCTTGCTATTTATAAAAAGGGCAGAAAAAGGCGTCGCGACTGGTGCCAGCGCGGGGGAATATACCTGGCAAGCTTGCAAGTGCACGTGCGGCCCTCGAGCAACACGCGCGTGGCGGCCAAAAGATCCCCTCGTGACGTAAAGACTGGTCGAAGTTTTTTTTCGTGCTTTCTCGCGTTTAGTTACATCTTCGGGGAAAACGGACGTGATGTTCAGATTCACAGGCCAAAACTACGCTATAATCAACCTCTATCTCATTTTTTTTTTAAGGAGTGTTTCAACTTCCCTTTAAGGACTGTTTTACTGTGTCTAAGCCACCCATTGATGCATAGCTATGGGCCAAACATTTTCTGGTATCTGCATTACCTTTTACTAGGTAGGATCCTAAACAGCTTTAGTGGACCGATGTCGGGACTGGAATGGGTCGCTCGACTATCAATCCTGATAACTCGGATTCCTCGATGTTGAAAAATTTGAAAGCTCCTGGGATAGGATATGGTTTACTAGGAGGGAATAGGAAGGAAGAATAAATGGGACGGGGTAAGGTTGACTGTTCTAATGCCAGTGATGAACCCCCCCACAGAAATATGTTGCTGCATTCGTCTGGAAGACCGGTGCCAGTATGTCCGCCTTTATGACTCGGTTGGGGAAGATCCCATGGTTCTCGCTGACTTCAGCTATGACGACACACTCTGCTTTGTCATGCCGAGGTATGTTGTTGGTATGCTTTGCTTGCCCGTTCAAAGGCAGTGACTATTAAGGTTCTGTTTCGAAAAGGCAAAGTTTGCTGTCACAATATACCTGGGCTGTCCTTCAAACAGCTGTTTTGTGTTCCTTCACCACTTTTAGATTTTTTGTGACATTGTTTTCAGTGCCACAAAGGCCCGTGATGTTCTGCTGTTTTCTTTAGCGTCTTATTTTTGTACGTGAAACATGTTCTCTGCACCCAACCTGCATTGATTCACGAGCATGTAAGGTGTTTCACTTTTCAGTGAGGGTTTATTTCAATGCGCGTTTGTCTCAAAGGCCTTCATCTAGATCTCAGTTTGTTTTGTTTTATGCTTTGTTCTGAGAAATGTTGAACATTCTTTGGGCCTCTTCATCACGAGAAGTCATTACAGCAATTAGGGTGTTGCGTTAAATGCCTCCCCTGTGACGTCGTGCTGATGTTTTCGCATTGCTCACGTGCGGTCATCGGCATTTGTTCACCATGGCATCATCACGTGGGCACCCCAATGATGTCATTTTATTCCCGTGATTGTGAGCGTGTTGGTCGTCATGTGACGGTGACATTATGTGACACTGTCGTGGTGCATGACGGGACCTGACGTCATGTCACATGATCATGTGACATGAGATGACGACACCATGACGTCACAGAGGACATTAAATGCCACGCATTTAGAGCACCTTTGGGGTATACCAAAGAGACGGTCCTTTTTATTATTTTATTCACTGCAGAAAGATCTCGATGCCAGCAAGTGATCTGGCTATGGTCGGGCGCCGGCGGTCTTCTTGCTTTGCAGCACCTATATTTTGGGCGAGCTTCTTTCCGTCACGCAAGCCGGAACCATCTTGCTGCAGAACTGCGAAGACAGGTGAGCATTGCCCCGAGATCGTTAAGGACTGCACGCCGTTCAGTCCTTGCTAAAATCTGCCGTCGTGTCAACTTCCTGGACGGTCACACCGCTGCTGCGATCTGCTTTGCTACTGTCCTCGGTGCTGGCGAGGGCCGTTCGGTACTCCCGGGAGTATTTTGGCATTTCTGCGCACAGTTGGAGGTCAAAAGTCAGTCTTACCCATTGGTTGCTAGCGTCCCCCACCCTTCATGGGGTTCTTACGCGAGTCCGCCCGATCGACGCCAGTTTGTCCACCGTAATCAAAATATGCGCATAATAAGTGACTGATTGCTAGTGCATGCCAAGTGGGGTCAGGGATTTGTTTGCACCGTCAAACAAACTCTTCAGTCGCAAACTGAACTTTTTGCAGTGTCTACTTTGTTGACTGGCTCATTCATTCGTAGCCTTTCTAAATGGATGAACGCTGTTGCGCAAGTAAGCTACACATAGGGCTTACCTTTTGGTGTTACGTATGTGGTGCAGTGGTAACGCCATCAGACGTCGGTGAGCGGAACGTTCGGGTGTTCAAGTACCCCGCGAATGCTGAGCACGCATCTCGTATTTCCCGTGCAGAGAGCCGACGTGGCAGGCGACGGCGTCGCACGAAGTGGAAAACTGCGACCAGTGGTGGTGCTGTGACTTTGGAAGTCATCCGCGGAGCATACTCTTCATGGACCACGTCGCCGTGTACGCTTTGGATGCACGGAGTTCCGTAAGGAACCTTCTATTCTCGTTCGCAATAAGGGTGCATGGAACCGTACCTCCTGCACTCACAACTTTCTTAAAGTCTCTCTGGCAAAGGTTTGATAATCAGTGATTTGTTTCAAAATTGATTCGACTCATTTGAGCTAGTAACAGAAATGAACTTAGTATTTCAAACTCCAGGAAGCCGCGAATTTGTTTTGAAGTATTGGAAGTTTGAATTATCAGAAATTAATCTAAATATGATGCAAAACAAAATTATGATTTGTTATATCGATGCCTACAGATACCAAGCAGATATTTTACGAATTTTTTTACACAGGCCTACTAATCGTAACTTGGTATGCCACAGATGAAGCATTGGTAAAATGTGTGAAATAACATTATTCATCCCTCAAAAATATTATCTATCTTGGACTTCTTAGACGGCACATGACACCTCAAACGAAACTTAAGTTTGCTCACCCAGCAAAAACGTCTATTGTGGACTACAGAAGGCTCGCGATAATTCAAACTCGGATATTTCTTACTTCTGGTCAATTCAAACAAATTTCAAAATTTTGGTTGTCCCGCTACGTTTTTAATGTATTCATAAGCCGTTTAATTTGAACGGCGTTTTCGTGCAATTCATACTTTTTGTTCTCGTGGCCCTGTTGAGTGCGCTTCTTCCTGAGCACCGGTGCACTGCAGAGAGGCAACGCCCACGGAGCTTGCTTCCGCGAGTGTTGCTTCTCTGCAGTGCACCGGTGCTCGGCGAGAAGCGCACTCGACGGGGCTCAAGCTGGCACAGATGAGCCGTGAAAACGGGCACCACGCAAACATTTCCATAGCAACTTGCGCGGACGCTACGATGATGATTCATGGCATTGGTCCACGTCACAGGCTCCGAACTAGTAGCGATTAAAACTGCCGCGCGGTGCCCGTTTTCATTGCTCCTATGTTCCCTGCTTAATAGTCCACATTAGGCAACTTCTTGGCCTGATAAACAAACTTGATAATGTTTTGAGTTGTCATGTGCTGTCTAAACGATCCACGATAGGCAACATTTTCGAGGGATATATAAAGTTACATCATACATTTCACAAATGTTTCTTGTGTGGCATACCTGCTTATGATCAGTAAGCCTTCTTCTCTTTGCTTCTGCTTTGTATGTGTAGCCACTCCTATGGCGAATCATCATTTTAGTTTGCAACATATTTGAATTTCTGTTAATTCAAACTTCTGATAATTCAAACAAAATTTGTGGCTTCCTGGGATTTGAATTGAAGTACACATGCAAAGGAAAATAAAACACTTTAAACAGCATGGGTGAATAAAGAATGTCATAAAATAAATTTACAATGAAAAGAAAAATATTTTAGAGCTATATTTATGGTGCGAAACGAACTTGTAGTTGGCGCCCTTGGGAACCCGCAGAAAAGTAACTGCTAGAGTCCTGTGACTGGCTGCTGTGGTCGCGTGGTGCTTGCGCTCTTTCGGGACCTTCCTATGGGCTCTGAAACTTCTTTATTAATCTTCGTTTTAAGTGCAATAAAAAGCAGATTAATAAGTAACTTCTAGAGCCCATAGGAAGCTCTCGAAAGAGCGCAAGCATCACGCGATAGACCTGCGCGCCGGTCAGAAATTGATGGCAGCAGTGCACCGGAGGGTTCCCTTCTGGCGGCAGCATGGAGAAAGGTGTTTAGCTGGTGGCACGCCACACTCGGCATGCAGGGGCGGGTTGGGGTTTCTGGGGACTTCAACAGCGGCGCTGAACGATTCCGGCGTAACTAGCGGCGGCGCACGGTTTTACCACGTGACAAGTGGCGGCTTCCATAGGTGCCAACCAAAATTTTTTTTAAACTTAAATATAGCTCTAAATATTTCCTTTTCGTCGTAAATTTATTTTATGACATTCTTCGCCCATCTGAACCGTCTAAATTTTCTTTTTTTTTTGCACATGCGGTTGGGTTTTACGTGTCTCCGCAATCGGTTGCCATCCTTAAAAATTGTGTACAATAAAAACACGTGCTGCCATTCCTGAGCGGCACCGCAAACTAAGTCCTGCACGAGCCTGGGTTGTCCAAAACAGACAAAGGGCGAGGTAGGATGTATGTGCTACCTCGCCCCCTGATAGCATGTATGTATGATATCAATGGATGTCTGTTGATATACAAGCACTATCATTCTTACATTGTGTTGTCTTTTTGTAGGAAATATAGTGCATAGTAGGGACATACAGATGTTCATACAACCAAAAGGACCACTCTCCACAAATGGGAATGCTGCTTTTACGTTTGGAGATCAGGAATTTTGTATCTACAACTAGACAAACCTCCGTACGATGTTTAGACTTCGATAAGGGTAGAAATCACATATTTCACTCTCTCCAGAAGATCCTAATAACAATGCTGCAAGGTCTGACACCATATTTGCTGCTTCGACACCTGCTCTGTTTTCTCTCTCGTTCACACTTCTCATTTCACGTTCGGTTGAAATCACCACCACGATCGGCACAACGGCCGATCATTGACGAAAAGAGAGTGCGATTGACGTAACTATGAGCGTTAGAGGATGGTACCGAGGTGCAACCTTTTTTCAATTTTTTTGTTCGGAATTTTAGTCGTCAGAATTATATGCTAAATCTTCAAAAGTCTGTTGGTCCTTTAGCTTGTTTCTACTTTTTGTGATATTTTACTAAGGCTACTTGGCATCTTCTAAAAGCCTGCATGTGCGATCATTCTTTTGCAATGCATCCGGCCACGAACTTCGTTTCAGGGCGCAAGGCGGCGCAAGCTGTGCAGCATTGAGAGGGACCCTTTCCTGAACGACAAGTTCACGCTGTTCAGGCAGAACCCTGTGAACCTTCACCAGGTGTACCTGGCCAGCTCGCTGATGCTATCGCTCTGGGACGAACGGTACCCCATGCAGCCCGTAAGCTCGCTTATACTTTTTTTGGGGGTGGCTTTTAAATTTCTGTTATACCGTATTTACTCGCATAATGAATGCACTTTTTTGCCCGAAAAATTTACACATACTTGGGGGGTGCATTCATTACGCGGGGTAAAATTTTTGCATTTACACACTTGGTGCAAATGTCATTTAGGTACCAGCATGACGCGGCAAGGTACAGTGGCACGTCTCCACTGATGGAGTCGCACCCACGGCTGGTCGGGGGCGTGCCACAGAAACCATGCTTTACAAATTGCGAACCTTTTTAGGGCGCTTTCGGCGTGTCTTTTGCCGAAGGAAAAGCGCCCTATGAAGCTCACTCGGCACAGAGAGCAACGCGACCGTTCTTAGGCCTAACCACTTTCACTCACTGTCCAAAAGCGGACCACAGACAGCGGCATGTTTGTTGACATCAATGCATCCGATAGGCCAAGAATGTCCGGGGCTCGGCAATTTCTCCACCCGAGCTTCGTCAAGTGTACGCGCCACTCGGTTTCACAGTTGACCTCTTCCGCGGCTATGCACTTGCAGCCATTTCAAGAGCGGCTTGGCTTGGTTTGGCTTGACTTGGCTTGACTTGGCCTGACCACTTGGTGGCAAAAGAAAATTGGCTTGGTGGCTAGCTAAGTTGGACGCAATTCGAGAGTTGCGGAGCCGAAAATTGGAGATGCGTTCATTATGCGAGGGGGAAAAAAAGTCAAAAATTGGTACTCGTTGGGGGGGTGTGCGTGCGTGCATGCGTGCATTCATTATGCGAGTAAATACGGTAATCACTGAAAGGAGGAAGCCGGCAGGCCTTGAGCGCGCACTCCGTGCCTTCGGCTGTGCATTGGCTTTGCATTGGCTGTGCATGCGTGCGCGAGGTTACACCCAAGCGTTGTCGAAGGTAGGAAGCTCTCCCTGGAGGCGCGACAACCGAGGTTCCTCCCCTCCTTTCTCACCCTATCAGTGTCTACAGCTAGTCCCTCTGTGTGCTGTGGCAATATTTTGAAACAAAATTCTAGCTTCTAGTTGTAGCCTCCATGCTTGCTCCTAAGGACGTCGCAGTAGCCTATTGGGAATTGTACTATATGGCATACGGTACTAGGGCCACTCAATGTTGCTAGTGTATATTTTGTTTTAGCTTGCCTTCAATGGATGAAAATAGAGCTTGGTGATCAGTGGCTTGCATCCATTGGAACATCAGCCGAACCAGCTAAGCTGAGGTATCTAAAAGATGAGTAATAGGCCAGCACATGTCACGAGCATCTTTCTAGTTTTTGTTTAGTTGATCTAAGCCAAGATGATTGTGAGTCCACAGAACGCCGCGCTAATGTGTACCTTGGCTTCACTTCATGGGAAGCTTGAGACTTGTACTGTCGGGCAACAGTGGGTAGGCACCTGGAAGTTTCTCTACTCTGTCAGTATCTATTGAACCTAATGTTTGCTCTGTACACGGTGTCAACTATTTTGTGTTACGTCAAGGCTAGCAGCGTAGCTTCTGCAGTGCTCCAACTCTGTCAAAGCTATAGTTGCTCAAGTGCTTGAAATGAGCCGCAAGACAAGGTCACGTGCTCTCTCAGCTGCCCGGGGTTGCATCACCGTGGAAGCTACGCAAGCCTCGACGATGTGGCGCACAATAGTTGATGCCGTCTATAGCCATGATCTGTTGCAGTATAAACAAGTTGCAATGCCCGGCTTACAGATGCTGACCTGGAATCACGGCCTGAAGTACTCTCCGACCTTCCTTGACGCCGTCGCCGCTCCCTGTGGACAAGGCAGCCCTCGTGACCTCTACTTGACCTTGGGGTCACAGAGGTCGAGGGAAGTTGCCGTGTTCAGCGTATCTCAGGAATCGATGTCGCTCCAGCCAGTTTCACTGCTTCCGCCTTGGCATCTTTCGAAGCCCTGCGATTTCTCGAACCAGCTGGTGTACCAGGGGTGCAAGATTGAGGCGGCCATCGCGAAACGTGTGACGGCCCCTCTCATTGGGGCGTGTGTTGTGACGTGTTCGGGCGGCAGTCTTTCGGCACTCCAGCTCACTTCGTTCGGCGATCTCTTTTGTCAGGTATGTCCCCCGCTGAATTTGTTGCAAAGGTTATCTTTTGGGCCTCTTCTAACTCAAGCGTGTCGGATATTGTTTTCCAGAGAAAAGTTATGGCTACTTGCATGTGCATAAGTTCTCAGAGTTATGGCTGGTTGGCTTTGAGCCTCTACCAGTTTCTAAATTCCGAAACAGCTGTTACATTAGTATTGTGACACTTTGCGACTTTACTACCTGTCACATGTCAGTAAAGTCACATTGTGACTTTACTGACAGGTATGTGACATTTGAAAGACACTTGTGTTACCATTCATGAGTCAGCAATTTTTATTCATCCTGTACGAGTACAGGGATAGGCAGTAGACGAGACAAGTGCCGAACTTCATTTTAACATTTATTAAAACGACATCCAGCAAAGGAGGCAACCATTCCATAACCGTGTCAACACGTGCTCAAAAAGGATTTTTTGCATGAATATAAAGGAACCAACTCGCCTGCATCGCCGACACTTTTGGCAAGGAGGGCTGGTAGGACTGCCAGAGAACTTTGGCAAGCGTACGAGATAAGAAGGGAGCATGAGGATAAATGCGTGAGCCAATCTTCGGTTATTTACACGAAAAAGGGCTCGCTCATTTGAGCACCTGTCGACACGATTATGGCGTGGTTGTTTTCTTCGTAGGGCGTAGTTCCAGTAAATGTTTAGTCAAAGTTGAGCGCTCTTCTCTTCTACGGCCTATCTCTGTCTTTGTTTATTGCACGCTGTATCATCAATTTTTTAGTATCTCTCCTATCAGAGGCTCCGAATGTTTACAATGTGGAGGACTGCCTATCTGTTTTGATTGCTAGCCCGGGACCGCCTCCTGTTTTCGGAAGTATTGATGCAGTTAGGCGGTACGAAGCCCGCAGACTTCTGCCCCGCTTTATCGATGCACATATAGGTAGAGCTTGGCACATAGGCATCAATGAACGACCCATTCTTCCTAAATCACCGCTTAAACTTAAAAGACACTTTTACTTCGGGGCAGGGGCAGTCGAGGAAATACGGGTGCTCAGCTAATTCGGGTTACTCTGAAGGACTTCCGAACTCCAGAGGAACCAGTTTGGGAACCCGTGTCGTCTGTATGATCGTCCGAGGAACGCTTATGCAAAGTAATCACGGACAAGAAACTATGTACAAGGCAACTAAGGTCACCGTCATTGTGTTTTCAGGACTTTGTAGTGGGCGGTGAGCACCTTGCCAGCAGGGGCAGTTGCAAGTTTGGCATGGGGAGCGATCTGATCCCGGTCTCGGAAATCCAAGAGTCCGTCCGGTCGTGGACGGAGCTCGCCAAAGTCGTTCCGATCCCTGAGGAGGAGGGCCATTTCATAGAGTTCAGGAGCATCTCAGGTTGCAAAGGTTGGTCTCCTCACTGGCAGTGTATGCCACCCGAAGTATACCTTAAGGCTGGTTCACACATTTGAGTGTAAAGGCTGTTTACGCACTTGTGTCGTCTTACTGCTGAGCTGTTGCGACCTCTCAGAACACGCTGGCGCCATGTGTGAGGTGGAACTGCATTTCACTAGAGCGATGGTTTTTGCAGTGTCTGCGAGATGTACGGTCTACGAGAAATGGTCATTTATAACATTGTGGAACATTTCTCGGACCAGTAAAGAAAGAACGATAGTAGGGGAAATACGGAGATCTCTTCCACGGCTACTCAACAGATTGCGTGTTCTCTGGTCGTACGAGATCGCAAGAGGTTTTGAGGCACTCGGCCGTAAGTAGTTGGAAGGGGGCTGCCACAGTTTTGTAATGCAGGGCAGTACAATACTGTTCTGGAAGTGCACAAGAGTACTTTTCTGCAATCCAGAGAGGTACTATGCTTCTCTCCAAGTGCAGAACGGTACTGCCAATCCTACGGTGGTGAAAATGCTTAAAAAGTATACAGAGATGCTTGGCGGTCCTGGTAATTTATTGAGACAGTAGAAAAATTATTTGTTGGCCTAGTTGGTTAAAGGAGCTGTGCAACGATATTCAATTGGAATGTTTTTCTCTTTACATGAGCTTACTGGCACACCTGGGACTCAAGGATACTCACACGCAACGCCATTGGCCAAGAAACCCCTTTGTTGCGGTGTAATTTCAAGGACAAAAGCGATCATTTTCATTCAATCTCTCCTTTGCAAAATTTGATGACGTAACTCGGGGATCGCAGTACACCCAAGTGACGATATTTGAATGCGGTTCATGGATTGGACCCGAGCATTGCGTGGGCACTCGACTTGGGCTCGTGACAATTGCTAGCTCGAGAAGTATTCGGGTAGTGACCCGTATCCAATCGCTGCAACGACGACAACAGCCGAGCCATAACAATGTCTGGAACTCAGCGCGTGTCCTGCGCTTTGCCAACCCCAGCGCGTGGCTATGATCAACACTGGCGGCATATAATCGGCTCCAGATCACGTGGCCGCTTGTTCTGGCTGCGAGTTGAGGGGGTGAACGCTGCTCGTTTTTCTTAAATTTTTTCTGGAACTTCTATTGCGTGGGGTGAAAAACGAACGCGTGTTTCATAGGTCATTAACGTTAGGGATCCGTTTTAAGCGGTATTTGTGCACAGTACAAAAATTGTTGCATCGCTCCTTTAAACATTACGAAAATAAAAAGCGCGAAAGACAAGGACAAGAGGCGCTTGTCCTGTGTAGTCTCCCTCTTGTTCTTGTCTTTCACGCTTCTTATTTTAGTAATTTATTGAAAGTAGGGCGCAGGAATTAGCAGAACCGCAAACCGGAAGATCTGAGGTGGACCCTAATAGACCTTTTGCTATATAACCCAGGCATCAAAGAGAATGCAGGAATTGGTGTTCCATGCGCCACACGCGCACGCCTTCCCCGTATAAAAGATTCGAAGTAAATAACCAAAATAAAGCGTTGAGGAACGCGCATGCAAGATGTCATTTGTTTTAGGTATTTGCTTTCGAAAAGTTACTACTGCTGATGCCAACACGTGGGGCGCGTGAAACACCAATCCCTGTATTCTCCTTGATGCTTGGGTAATATAGCAATAGGTCTATTAAAGCCACGAAACCATTTTTTTTTTCTTTATAGTTATAAATTTTTTAAATATTCAGTTTATGGGTTGTTTTACACAGGCTCATAATGCAGTGGAATCTTGTTACTTCAAACTCTCTTAATTCAAACTCGTGGATAATTCAAGCTAACATGCAGGTCCCTTTCTATGCGCCTCTATGGCTGGAAACTCCCGGTAATTCAAACTTTGCTGTATTCAAACAAAGATTTGGTCTTCATTGGGCTCATATTAACGAGATTCCACTGTATTCTCTTCCATCATGGTGAAAGCTACGGTGCGTGGAAGTGCATGTTTACAGTTTCAACCCATCTTGGGAAGTACGCTCCTATCTAATGACATGGAAATGGAATGCTTTGTCATTGTCCAAATGCTCACGCACATTATTTTTGTTAAAAGCAAAAGTTTGTTGTCACTGATTTGCCTCAAAATTGGTTCAGCAGAATAATAAACACATCTGAACAAATTTCTGAAATAATCATACTAATTTTTTTTTTTTTTTTACGAAGTTGTTGAATTTTTTTAATTTGTCCGAGAGGTTGGGGAGCCTCTCAGACCCACCCCACTGTAGAGTGTGTGAAGATTTGAATGTTGGTTTGGCATAGCCTTCATTTGCCGTTTTCTTAATAGCTATTTGGAATTTAGAGATAATCAAAAGCATGCCAGTAAGAGTAAAGCCCTGCTAAATCTCGAATGTCTTCAGTTAGGGTAGCTGAAAAACCCTCGGGAGCTCTGCTTTAAAGGTTACACAGAGCCAGATGCTGTGCACACTGCAGTGGACAGGAAGATCTGGGATTGGGGGCATTGTTTGTGCACTCGTTCATCTAAGCTCTTTGGAAGGGAGGATGGTGAGGCCACCTGAACCGTTCTACTTTTAGAGCGGCTCGGGCTACCGTACAACACCCACGAGACCACGGCGGACAAGACGCACCCCGAGGAACACGGCCACCACAGGTTTCGGCGCCCAGAGCTCGAAGAACTTGTGCTGAGAGCAAGGGCTGAGGTTTGTCAAATGTGTGTTTTGAGCTCCTATGGTCGTGTTCAAACTTTTAGAGCACAGCTCTTAAGCACCCGTTTACGGCTTGAGTGGCGTCACCATCGCTGTCGGCGTAACCGCACGGTGCATTATGGGACGTTTCCCATAATGACGTCACGAGGGTCATCAGTGATTTCACTCGTAACTGCATGCTGCATTAAGGGACGTTTCCCATAATGACATCACGAGGGTCACTTGTGAAGGTCACGACCTTCACGTGACCTTCAGTCGTGAAGGTCGCGACCTTCACGAGTGACGTCCCAAGGGAGGAGGAGGAGGGGCATACGCTCCTCTCCGTTCCATCCCCTCCTCTTTCTGAAGAGCTGCACTCAAATTTGGCATTGCGGGGAGTTGGAAACGTCTTTCATTTTTTAATTATGAAGAACCCTTATTTGCCTCGAATGCCAGCCTGGGAACCCCTCTAGGGGTCCGATCTTGGTGAACGCGAAAGCGAGGTCTAAATTTTCCCTTACGGAACAAGCGAAGATGGCATTCGTGAATGGTTCATCTGCTAGCGCGAGCAAAGAACGCGGTTCGTCTGCTACAAAGCATCATTCCCAGATGGAGATAAAATAAGAGAACACCGTGCATCGTCCAGTGACAGATTAGAAAAAAAGTTGATCGTCTGCTACAGACCGAGCGCAGCGCCGAAATGAGATCGGACATGGGCTGAAATAACAGAATACCATACGTCGTCTGCTAACAGACCGGAAAAAAAGTTGATTGTCTCTTATGAACCGAGCGCGGCAGCGAAGTGAGATTGGACGCGGGCTGAAATTACGATTGCCCACTGTTTCATGTCGGAAGCCGTCGACAACCCGCGCTTTGTTGGTAATATCTCAAGTAGTTCTGCTGCCGTACACAAGCTGACGTCAACCAGTAGATGAAGGAGTACCAAAGACAAGCGCTTCGGAGGCAGCGAGTCCTCTCTCGCTGGTTGTATGTTGGTGAGACGTTCTCACCAAAATATTGCCCGATTGTAAACTCGCAAAGGGCTCAAGAATATCAAGAATGTTAGACTCTTCCTCTCGGCGCTGATGAGATTGACCCCAAAATTATTTTCAGAAAGACACCAAATTTCCCAAATTGTTTTATAAAGTCATAATCTTTTTTTATATCTTTCTGATTAGCAAACTATTTTACTTGATTGGTGTCTGGTTGGAATTAACACAAACATTAAGTAACAGCTGCTCCTAGGGGAAGCTTTCCCTCAATGCATGCAAGAGTAGTGGGATACAATATACTGAAATGCGCCGTAGTTTGCTTCGTACTGGCGGTGGGTTTTCGGCGTTTATGCGCTGCCAGTCACGAGCACTACCTAGTGCATCATCGTGGTCGTTGTTGCTCGTCGCTTCAAACCATCTCGTATTCGCGAGCAACGTCAGTTGCTTATAGTTATGCATAACTATAAGCCAAATTGCTTGGCTTATAGTTATGCATAACTAAGTGGATCAGATCTGCTAAAATAGTGCTTAAACTGGAAAAACGCTTTACTTATGTGCAGGGACGGTCGAGACAATTGGGGGCACAAGGAACCCATTAGGGTATTGTGAGGGTAGCCGGTTATTCGTGGATCGCGGTGGTTAGTAAGTGTGCACGTCAGTCTGCCAATAAGACTGCACCCTCCACCCGTAACAGTTTTGCTTGTGTTGCGTGTCAGCTTATCAGGTTTATTATGTGTTAGTCTGTTTGCTATACAAATGTATCCTGTTATAACGAGAGTACTTAAGTAGCAGGGGCATACTGTTAATGACTTAATTTTCGCGAAAACCCAATTTTGCGAATCGCCTACAATTTGCGAAAAATAGGTCTCACGAACAATTCCGGTAAAATGTAAACACATTCGAATCTATATTGAGATCCTACCGTGTCGCGAAAATTAGAACCCGCCTATTATTAAAAAACTTCAGCTTTGACCTAAATCGCGAAACATTGAACCCGCAAAAAATAAGTCGTTTACAGTATGTCACAACAGGGTTTTATAGTGGTGCTATAGTCAGTGACAGGCTGAGAATTCAGCAGGAGCTCCTCATCCACAATGTGCTTGTTGCCTTCTACCACACTTTAGCTGCGCATGCAACGAATCATTATCAAAGGCAGAAGGTTCGCGTTAGCAGCAGCGCGTTGGCTGCATTCTTAACTTGTTACCGACTCTAGCGGGGATATGTGGACAACTTACTTTTGAAGCTGTTGAACTCTCACATTTGATAAAAAATGGAGCTGAGACTACTAGTTGCCTGTGTTAGGGAGAACAGACTGCAGCTGCTTTGATCATTGCCTTACCTAGAGACAAGGTATTCATACTACAAGGTCCGATCGAGAAAAGTAAACCCTACTTTTCGGCCCGCGTAAAAAAACTATGCATCGCAGAACGCTCAAACTCCGCCAGAATGTAACCCTAGCGGTCCAAGCAAGGTACCAATGTTTCAGCCCGATCCGATAACTTAACCAAAAGTTATAAGTGATTTTCTGAAAATTTCAATGGGAAAATGGAACCCATTTTTGCTTGTTTTCGGTTTCTGGTGTCATAGAGCCCCATGTGTTTGAAAACTCCGTCGGCGGCCATTTTCCTATTTTAAATTTTCAGAAAATCACTTATAACTTTTGATTAAGTTATCGGATTAGGCTGAAACTTTAGCGTCTTGCCTGGACTGCTAGGGTTACATTCTGGCGGAGTTTGAGCGTTCTGCGATGCATAGTATTTTTGAACGGGCCGAAAAGTAGGGTTTACTTTTCTCGATCGGACCCTGTAGTTCAAAAAGAGCTGACTCCCATCTTTGGTGGCGCTGTTCCTTTGAGTTTTAAGAACTAAACAAACGGCACTGCTGACATAAATAGCCGTATGTATAACGCCTTGTTTAAGTTCTGTTCTGTATCTCTTTGTACAGTGTATATCACGGGTCACTTTCGTCATCTGACGGGATCTCCAAGCAGGAAATATTCAAAAATATGCGGGTGAATGAACCGTTCTGTTCCATTCGATTAAGAATGGTTCAATCATTGCATATTTTCGAATATGAGTGCAGTGTATTTAGTGCACTTGATCACAGCATCAGTGCTTTCCGAAATAAGGCCGCTCTGACAGCTTCCTCGTTTGTTTTTCTGTAGAAACGGACAATAAGTTTCTCGGAATGGAGTCGCGCACTTGGCGACGAGGATATAGCCGAGTGTTCCGAGGACGAGAGCGAGGTCGACGATCTTTCCAAACTGCTTGGTGCCATCCATTTGACCAGCCTGGACAAGACCGGAATGCGATACCTGGAGAAATGGACGGAGACGGTGGGCTGCGTTTCTCGATCAAATTATTGCGTGCCTGCTCCGACGGCAGAAGAAAAGGAAGGTGTCTGAACAAAAGAAGTTTGCTCGGTGTTTGCACCTCTTCCACCAGGGGCTACATCTTTCACCAGGGGCTCTGTTGGTTTAGGGGCATCGTGCGGGGCCGTACCCAAGAACTGTTGGGGGGGAGGGGAGGGGAGGGGAGAAGAAGGAGGTTTCAGGGCACGCTGCAGCGATCTTGCCATGAAAGAAAAATGGGTGCGTTGCAAGATCCCAAGGAAACGATGCCAGATCCTGTTCCCTTCACTGAGCTGCATTGACCTCGATGTAGCTTTGCACCGTTTCTTTAGTGTCCACTGTGGATTGCCCCCCCCCTCCCCTCCCACACACACACACACACTCTTTCGCAAAAAGGTCTTCTTCCCCTTTTCTTTTTCCAGTTATATCTAAAACGTGGATTAGGGAGCTAGCTGGGAAATAGACGTAGGCCTGCGACGGTCTTGAACTGACCCAAGAGCCTAATCATTCCGCTTCCTCTTTAGAGATAATGTTTTGGTCCAGGGGTGCAAGTTTGTGCAGGGAGAATGTGGTCGCACGGTGTGGAGAGGAGGTGTCACGGAATGTTCCACACCGAGCTTAGAGGGGAGGGAGGAGTCAAAACCCTTAAGCCCTAGACCTTGAAGCCTTAGTAGCTAGGATTCCTTGAGTGGCTTTCATTGCTTTTCTAATACCCCTAGAGTGCCTCAGTGCTGCTGGGCTGGCAGCCCTCCCAGAGTGAGGACAACTCTGCCGTCTGCTAGCCAAGCCGCCATCTTGCCTGCCGCTCATATGTAGCCTTTTACGAGCTGTTTACACAGTTATTGACCATTACCACTTGTGAAATGAGGGATAACTTTGGGAACATGTAAATCGTGTGTTCTGTCAACTATGGAATTGTTTTTGGCGATGCATGTAATGATTATGCGAAAACATTGTAAAGATAACCCCGTCTAGGCCGCTTGGTTGCATTACCAAGTCGAGGGAGCTTCTACTTGGAATAATTTATCCCCATCTGAACGAGTGCTTCATAATTCAGCATTTTCACGGACACGAGCCGATCTCGTTTCACATATACGAGGTCACCAGATCGCGACAGGCGAAATGGTGGTGGCACTTGTCCTCCCAAAGGATGTCACCACTCTAGCAAGGCGCAGCCAGCATGCAACATTGAGGCACTATTAACTACCCCAGACGTGTCGTGCCATCTCACTGCATTTGTCAGAAATGCTAGCGACCCTTCTCTACACTTGCCAAATGGCAAGGCGGCGCTGTTCAGACACCTCTCGCTTCTTCCACCGTGCTCCGTTGTTTGCTGTTTAGCACGAGTTTCAGATTCAAGAGATTTGGGAGATGGCATTTTATGTTTCGTGTGTCTGTCTGCGTCAAAGAGCAAGACTAAGGGGAAAGCTCATGCGTTCAAAAATGGTTGCTGTTTGTCTGAAACGCAATACCGAGAGTGGTGCGAATCAAATCATACAGAATATGCGTGGTGTGTGCCAGCAAATCACTGAATGCTCAATGCTAAGTGCTCTATCAAGAAAGATATTTTTTTTAATGCTACTGGCAAGAAAAATGAGACTTAAATTAATTGTAGGTGTTTTTTCTACTGTGCATGCTAAGGTACGATGACCTTTAAATGGTTCTGTCACCGTAAGGCATCGTCACCACCCTTCACAAAGACCTACTCGCGCGAGGGCTAGGACCGCTCGCAAATAATAAACTTTGCAGAAAAGTTGGCCTGTGGGGTTTAGTTCTACTGTTCAGTGGATCAAGCGTCCCAAGTGGGAATCCTGAGGTTGATGAAATCTTTTTGGAAGCCTCACCACCCTAGATACAGGAGTCCTCATGTTGCTATAGATAGATAATGCCAAATTAAACCTTCACTTCGCTTTTTCTTTTGGTTTGCATTGTTTTGTGACTCCGTATATGAATATCTTGGATCAGTGTATGGATATATTGATTCACTACATGGACATATATATATATATATATGGATATATTGGAATAGCCTGCCTGAAACATTTGTAAATAGTGCAAATACAACTTTGTAGGAAACCTAGCCTCAAATTGGATGTCCTCATAAATTGTCGTAATTAAGCGTTCTTCCTAATATGTACCCATTCCTGCCTCGGCCAGTCGATGGCTGGCAGTACAAAATAAATAAAGAAAAAAATATAAATGCGTGCGGTTATAGTAATAAATACGTCGAGTAAAGGCCGTTTGACGCATTTGCTTTGAATGTAATGGACTGCATTGCGATTGCTCGTTGCCACTTCCATTCCGCCTATAACTAGGCCAAAGGTTGTTCAGCATTAGAGGAGAGATCAAATCTGCACACTATGTGCAGTTATGGCCTCTCGTAACACTTTCAGGTCCACAGTGAAAGAATGATGATTTTGGAGCTGTTCAGGGGCTATCCTATAGATGACGCCAGCACCTCGTCGTAAGCAGTCGCAAGTAGTCGCAGCGCCAATCGGTCATGCTCACAACCTGCCTTTAGCGTTGGAGTAAACCCTGGCGTTCAGAGGTGTTAATCTACTCCCCTTTCCCGCTTTCAGACACACGACGTAACTGACGAATGGCAGCTGCCCGAATCAACAGCAGACATCTCGTTTACGGGGCTTTCACAAAGTCCGAATCGGGAACCAAAGCAGCGGGCGAAGGTGCAGCCGACACATCCACCGGTCGACGCAATCACCATCCACGACGACGACGACGACTTGCACACTGGGTTTAGCCAGGAAGTGACGGGCTTCAGTATGGTGGAGGCGACAACCTCCCGCCATCGAGTCGAGGCGGACGCAGACTGGGTCGTGAACGAGGACGACGGCTTTCTCTCGTTAGTGGAGGCGCCTGTCGCCAGCGAAGCATCCCGCAGGCCCGGCAGATCCGGCAAACAGGCCTTGAAGAGGAAACGAGCGATCTCGGACGGGTTTTAATTACTACAGAGTTTGGCGTTGTAGTGTACATAAGTGCGAAGGGAATGGCGTCGTCTCTCCGCCAGATCGCGAGAATAGGTGAGGCCGGAAGGGGTCTTCACTTCGGGAACATGCTGAACCTGGTGAGTGATAGCTTGAGGACTGGCTATTGAGCGAAGACGACAACCTCTCTTTAATATTGCAGGCGTTGGTTGCCGGCGAAGCATCCTGCAGGCCTGGCAGAGCCAACGATTGGGGCTTAAGGAGAAAGTGAACTGCTTTGGATGGGTTTTAGCTACAGAGTTTGTTATATAGGTGTACATAAATGCGTGTGGGGTGGTACTGCCTTTTCCGGCAGATTGTAAGAATGGGTGAGGACAGAAGTGCCTTGGGACCATGTGGTGAGTGATAGCTCAAGAGGAGTCTACTCGTGAGTAAGAACTCGAAGCTTACGAACAACTGCAGGTACAGTGTAACCGCATATAACGTATGTCGCGGGAGTCACGAAAATCCGCACAATAAGCGGTGCCACGCTATAACCAAAACATCAGTTTTTCAGGCCAAAATACATGCCATGAGACAACTTACCTTTGTAAAAGAATTTATTTTATGTTAGATGAAAAATAAAGCTTAGTTTGAGGAAAGTCTTTATTTCACCAGACTAGTACAATTTGTCTCAAGTGTGTCACACATTTTGAAAGAAATGAGCGGCTTTTGCCTGGAGCAGCCTTTTAACGGCGTCGCGGGTTGCGGACGGACGTTGCGAGCGTTCAGGATGGCTAATCCTAATCACTTTTCTCCGGTGATGAAAACGCGTGAAAACTCGCATCCTTCATACGGTACGTGCCAGTAATACCTTCAACTTGAGCACACGCATGAAATGCGCCAAGTAAGAAATCCGGGCGATGTTCGAGGACACAAATGCTTTGAAATCATCACTGTAGTCGAAGTAAACAAACACGACGGCACGGGCGTTTCTGCCGTCTTGAGAGCGCCGCCACGACATCGCCGCACGAGTAGGTGGATCTTCCCTTCTAGTACGTGCTGGGTTATCATAGCAACACAACAAAAATTCACAGTCAAGGATAGCGCTTTTACGCGGAAAGATGAGTTTCCACCACGCCGTCTACGACCACGACCAACTACGATGACGATCACGACCGACGCCATGTTTGCGGCTAGAAGAAGCCGGCCCGTGACCGGCATGCAACGCGCGCAAACACTTCTCCTCGACCTGCGATTGGTTTGTCGTTGCGGTTGTTTTCCAATGCACGCACGTGAACGACACGTGCGTGCGTCCCTTCGTCGCTATGGCAACTGAAGCCTCTCTCTTCGCTTCTCCCCGCTTCTTCGAGCAATCTCCTTGCCCCGCGAGGGTGTTGTTGTGGCTCGCGCCGTTATCTAGTGTCGCACAGGGAAGCGTGCTCGCTGCTTTGGTTGTCGGTGCGGTTGGCGGGCTGTTCCAGAAACCGCACTATAACCGGTATTTCCTTTCGCGCACCTGCATTTTAAGCGGTATGTAATTACATGGGAGGCGAACCGGTGGTTTAAAAAAATCGCGTTATACCCGGTCCTGCACTATAAGCGGTTACGTTGTAAGTGGTCTATACTGTATGTTTTTTGTACAGATTAAGTTTATAATGAACAAAAGGCCCATAAAAAAAAAAAAAAAAAAAGAGGGCTATTTGTTAGTGCAGACGTGGCCTGTATAGGCTGACAGATTGGACATCTTGGAGTTGGCTGTGGTCATTACCTCATTCATTTTGTTATGTTTTTTTATTACAAAATAATAAGTATAGACAGTAATCTTAAGTTTAGTTTTCTGTTCATTTCAAACTTTTTGTGATGAGTGTGTTTTGTGACTTCAATAAGGCTGGGGCAATCGGAGTCTTCAGAGATTTTGAGTTTTGTGTTTGTGTCAAAAATTTGCTTGCATTGATCTTAGAAACAAAATGTGCTAAAGTGTGCAAAGAGACTTACGAGATCCTGCTACATTTCTCCAAGATGTGAGGGATTTTCATCAGCATTGCATCAGAGTGTCATCGGAACGTTACGGTAAACTTGTATGGACTTTGCTTTCGGTTGTCGCTTTGAGCAACATAATGTTCGATATTAACTTCATATCAAACGTGGAGCGTGCTCGAAAGTTTCCCGACATTTTATATTGTTCAGAATCTTTTCGGGCGAGCCCACTTGCTCCCTTGAGTTCGCTTCTCCTCGCACAATGGTGCACTGCGGAGAAGCGACATCCACAGAGCAGCCGCATGCTTTGGAGAAAAATGCTCCTCCAGAGCAAGGAAAACAAAAAAACGCCTGTCTTAAAAAAAAAAAAAGATATATATATGTATATATATAACGGGCATGGTGGCGGGAGGCCGTAGGCGTGGGTATATAACTGAAGAAAAAAACCTTAGTGAAAACAGCAACAACGGACGATTTATTCTTCGACGTTTCGGCCGGAGTCTGGCCTTCGTCAGGAAGAACTTTTACAGATGAACGCGGGTGGTATTTATACATTGCTACGGTCGAGTCCAAGTTTCTAAAAAGGCGGGATGATGGTTGGAGGTTCCAAAGAAGCGTAAAAGGAGTTCCAGATGGGCAAACGTTTATACAATGCTACGGTCGGGTCCGAATTTCAGCGGGGTGACGGTTGGAGCTTTCTTGAGAGGGGGCGTAGGGTAACCTTGTGTCCGGGCGGGCGGGGCTGACCTGGACGATAGCGTGCAATAGACGACAGACACACGCACAAACTAAAGTGCTGTCTCAAGAAAGAAACAAAAAAAGACAACGGCATTGTCATTTGTGTTGTTTTCTGGAGCATTCATGAGTTAGACCTGGAAGGGAACAATGTTAAACCTATAAATAAAAAGAAAGAATGAATATCAAAACCTGGAAATAAAAGAGAAAAGTTGATGGTCCAGTTCCGGCCACAAACACAGTACCACTGCTAACAATGAGGTCTGGGACCTGAAAATATGTCCCCTGATTGCTGTTGCTATTCGTCTGTTAGCATTTTATTCAGTGCCAGAGTACCGGGGCTTTCATTTATTCCTTGTTTAATAACGTTGAATCAGTAAATTGGATAGGATTCACGCTGTTCACGTTCGCGATTTGATTTAAATCCAGATTCTAGGAGCGTCACTGACAATTTATCAAATGAGTGTTCTGGGAGAGCGAGATGTTTGGATAGAGGCAGTGTCGGAAGATTTATGGCGTGAGATTTGTGATTATTAAAGCGCAGTCTAAATGCCGTTCTAGTCTGCCCTATTATTGCATTTTGCATACCGTACACTCGAATAAGTACACGACATTCGACGAGGCACATGTTAGGTGCCGTTTAATTTTCACTGAGAACTGCGAGTGCATGCTGCTGGCCGTGTTTGTGTGCTGCATCTGTTTACAGATCAGACATCCTGGGTGCATGCAAGGCCTACATTCGTTAGGTGGTAGCGATGATGAGGCCTACATTCGTGGTGGCGAAAAACTAAGAAGAACCCGCCGGAAATGTTATATTCTTGCATATTCAGAGGCCCAGAACTATGAAACAAGTTTCTCCTACCAAAATGTGAACAGGCCAAAAGACACGTCCCAAGAACGTAAAATGAGAAAAAGAAATTTTATGACGTGCTGAATTTGAACAATTTTAGAAATCTTCCCCCATGAGTTAATTTATTCCTCAACGTGGAAAAAACAATACATTCTTTTGTATTCTGCAGATGGTAATGATATGTACTGTCTCTGGTGTTAATATAAATGTGATACCTCAAACAATGTTGGCGAAAAAAATGACCAAGTTTAGGGCATAATTGCCCGTAGGTACTTGTTTGGATATTTCTTCGAAACTCGTCTTGAACAACAATTATCATATCTTAAGACGACACTTACCTAGGACCTTTTCATTTTAGTAGTTGCCTCACCGGCGGATAGAGGGTGCCGACGCACTCGGCGCCATTAGGTTGCTTCAATTTGGTTGGTTTCGGTTTGAACTTGCACGCGGTTATGTTGCTTTTTTACGGGGTTTTTGCTTAATTTGGTGATACAATTATTTCCCTTGTAGCACACAACCAATGAAACAGTGGTATTGAACCACTTTCAGGACTAAGAGGTGAATTTTATTTTAGCCTAAATTACGGGCTTTTTGACCAACTCCTTTGGTGTATCTGATTAAGGTCGGTTGCGAAACGCCTGACTGATGTAGAGGGAAGATTACCGTTATCTGCGGCCATGCCCAATGACACCAGTTTCTAGAAAAACAAACTAATAAAGAGTCTAACACGTGAATGTAAAGAAGCATATCGACAGTTTGATTAGCAATGTACTAAATCGGCCAGAACAGATGAACTCGCGAGTTTATTACTTACTGTTTGGTTTTCGTGGGCACCCAACCTTTAGTGAACTTCGCAGACTAAAAACGTATCGTGTGGTGACGCAGATAATTGATATAACCAATTAGTATTGTCTCTGCCATTTTTTTTCTTTTTTTTAACTCAGTACTTGACTATGTTTTGACAGGCCGAGTAGGAAATTTCTTAATTATCAACCCTTCTATAGTACTCAACCAGAATTTCACGATATTGGCCTTAGGAAATAAATTATTTTTATATGAACATTTGCTTACTCAAGAATAAGTGACAGTCCCGTCAAATTAAATCTGGAATTTGCCTTCTGTAAAATTGGCCAAATAAAATTAAAGGGTGCAGGAGGAGAAATACCTCGGAAAGTTTGGCTGGATTCTAGCGCTAGGCACCACTTCACGGACCTGTGTGAAAAAATATTTATTTGTTTGAACAGATTTGCTTTGTAAATTTCGGCGTTGCCAGCCACAAAAAGTAAACCTCTATTCGCCATCGACAATCCTGGACACAAGTAATTGTTATGCAGACGGCTTTTTTCTTTTTTTTCGCCGTCGATTGTTGCAGGCTCCAGATACAGGCAAAAAAATAAAACATTGTACGCAAAGAAAAAAAAAGGCGTTATTGCGCATGCGCCCAAGCTAAACCACGTTTTGGATTTGCAAATAGAAACAATGTTATTTCTTTGTGCACGCTAACCTAAAACTCGCTACTGTTAAGTGTCTGTGGTAGTTTCTTTTGCGGGAAGACTCAACCTTTGTGCTTGTATTAATTGAGTAAATGGCACTGGTTATCTAAACATAACCACTAAATCTATTATTGACTGTCGAAATGGGAGCGAGCGCAGTATACAATTTTTTAAGCTTCATAGGTATAAACCGACCAACCGAATGTTTACGTCACAAAAAAAAGATTGAGAATCTCAAACACAATTATGTGTGATATTATGAAAAAACAAATCGCCTGATGTTGACGTACCATTACTTTTAGCCTCAGATAAAATATGAGTTAAACATTCGTTGTCTATCCCCTCCGCGAGTTTCCTCACATAATCAAAAGAAACTGTTCTCGATATATTATGAATAAAAAGAACTATACTTTCAGGAAATACAGATAGACTCCTTGCGCTGACTATTCTTGACACCTTCCGATCCTAAATGCGCGATATAAATATATGCGCTTCTTACTGAGAATGTTCAGTCACTATTAGTAAACAAACCTCGATTTCGTAAGAGACTTTGAACCCTCGTGATGTTTTAGTCGTCTGTTTCCGAAGTAAGACAAGAAAGCGCAATGAAACGTGACGAAAAACACGAATACAATGCATCCGCCAAGGCGCAGAGGGGAGAGCGGAGCAGCAAGTTGAAGCAGCCTAATGGCTGCCGCGTTATGTGATTCCAAGATGGCAGCGCCCATGCGGAGGAGGATGAAAAGGTCGATACATAGATAATTCTTAAAAAGTTTAAAATCTCTACCATAAATAGCTTCAACTATAGCGCGCTTCAAATATGGCACGATCGATAATTTTCAAAAACCCGTCGTCCTTCCTCGCTCCTTCGGGAATTTATTTCTTTTAAAACCAAGCATGCCAGATGATTGAAATAAACAGCATTGTCTTTCGCAAGGAATGCAACACCACATGTAAAATTGCAAAAAAAAATTACGAATGTACCTCACTGCTTGAATCAAAATGAAACCGCCCGCCAGTCTTTCGAAGTTCGACGAACTTCGAACTGTTTGAGTGGGGGTTTGCCCCCCCACTCAAAAACAAGTTGGTACGCCACTGGGCGCACAGGTCTACCACGTGACCCGCGGCTGCTCCCGCGGGCGCCAGCTACAAATTCATTTTGCGCCTTAGGTCTGGCTCTAAAACTTTTTTTCTTCTTTGTAAATTCGTTTCACAACATTTTTTCCATCTAGGCTGTAGAAAAAAAAAAGGTTTTTTTCCTTTGCTTGAGTCTATGATGCACGTATCATAAATGTCTGAGTAAGCAAAGGATTCATCTCTTCTTCCAAGAGTGTGGTGTGGTCTGGCAACTTTCCCAACCTATCCGAAACCTACCGACTAAAGATTCGGTCAATTATCCGAACCTTTCCGAAACGTCAGATTCGGGTCCGAATCTTGGTTCGGAAAAAAGTCGGTCCCATCGCTACACAATACCCGTAAATGACAATCGTTCGTTTGTATTTTGAGCCCGATGGCTGTATTTTTCGACATAAACAGCCCACTCTGGCAAGCGCTCGACGAGCAGCCAGTGGAGAGCACGCCACATCCGGCGCAATCGTGACGTAGCTCGTCTCGAGACGAGCAAAGCTGTGGCGAGGCCGACGTCGAGAGGATGCCCTAGCCGTTCCAGCGAAGCGGTCGAATCACGCCAGCGATCGGGCCACCGCAACTAAAAAAATTGCATTGCGTGTATATGTTTGTACAGCCTTGATGTTGGTACGCCTCAACGGGGGCCCGTCCCCTAGCTGTAGATGAGATATTTAGCCAGTGCGGTACAACCGCTCACCTGTTTTTTTTTCAACGTGCATCACGCAGCAGTGATTACACGAACGCGTGCCAGTACGAAACTCGTACAGATTGAAGCGGGCGGGTATCAAACCCAGGCAGAGCTCCTTTTGTAAGGATTTTGAGCGACGGGTTAATCGTCTACAATCTTGCAGAGGGACAATAGCGACATCTGGGCAAATCTGGGACAGACACAAGTGTTCCGGTGAGACAAGAGTTGCTCTTCCACTTCTCCTCTTGTGCTGGCCGGAGAGCTGTCGGGATGAAGTCAGGTTTAAAGCAGTCATTGTCACTACCTGTCAAGGTTCCTAGACAAGCATTACAAACGAGGCTTTAGCGACATCCACCAGGTGCTCTTTGCTAATCGTTTAATTCGTTCTAAAATTCCTTTTCGTCTTTTTTAGTAAAATATTGGTGTGTCCGATGTGATACTGCTCCTTTAAACATGTGTAGACCAAAAAAATGAGCGCTGAAATTTCATTGCATATATCTAAGCGAAGCAAAAAAAAAAAAAATTACACTGCCTTTGTGTCAAACGGTGAACCTTGGCCCATGTACATCAAGCTTCACCGCTTTATGAGTCCGGGACCCATATCCAGATTTTCCGCCAGGGACGAGTCAATATCGCCACCCGGCTCCGAAATCCGCTTTCCGCTAGCACAGATCCGCAAGTGTAAACACGCCATTACACGAGCTAAGAGTAGTGGCTAACACGGGTGACCGCTTGAGTTAGTGGAACAGATTTGAAAAGGATGCTCAGTACTATTCCAGTCCTACCTTCTTTGGTCTCCATTGTAAGTTGATCCCCAATTTAAAAAAAAAAAAAGCTATGCCGAAAAAAAAAGAAAAACGTGATTCAATATTTGAAGAATGCGGTAGTCAAGGTCTAGTTCTTGTGCAGCTGTCAATCGAAAGAGCAGAGAATTTTGACTTCACTTGGGTTCCATCATGCTAAAAAGCAGTGTCACTTAACGCACAAGTGTAGGTTTTGCTAAAGTTTTGGCAAGTTCATAAACGTTGGGGGATGCTTTTCTAAAGGAAGACGCGGTAGCAGATATGCTGGTTTTTGGTGGTATTTTACACATTATACTTACAGGCAGAATAAATTATCGGGTGTAAAGGTGGGAGGGGAGATAAGCTTTAATACAACAAGTGTTGAGCAACAATTACTTTTTCAAGCGCTTTTTTTAGTACCCATTGTCAATAGGACCCACCCTGACCACAGCTTATGTCTAAAAAGAAGGCTATCTGTTCCTTTTGCACCAAATCTGTCATTACAAAAGGTAATGAATACTGTGCTCCAGTATCAAAGAGGACCCCACAGTCATTATCAAGAATAAGCTCATTTAGTGATGCAGCCACTTTTCCATTTTAGAGCGATGTGCTAACAGATGTTAGAGTCTGCTCCCAAAAGCGTCAGCAGTTGCTCCAAAGAAAAGTTTTGCCTGCTACACAAAAGGTCAAATGCCACTTCCCTCACTGTAATGAATTCACAAAATGGAAATGGTTGTACAATCAATGAATGTGAAGAAGAGTTCCAACAAGTTCAACAATGTCACGCTCAATCGCCGACCCAAAAGCGCACACAGACACACAACATGACACCCCGTCGGGCACTGAATGCATCCACGAAAGCCACGGTGCAGGCCGTTCCGTCTTGCACGAGCTCTTTTGGCGTGTCGACGTTAAGTTCGTAGCCACACAAAGACGACGACACCTTCTCACTACTCAGAGTGGTCCTCGAGTGTGTAGCACTGCAGTCCAAGCCGCCAACAAAGAGCTTGCCGAACTGGTCGAGCTCACTCTTGCCCTCTTGTGGACCCACGACTTCCTGCGGACAAAGGTGGCTACGATCGTCATGGATGTGGCGGCAGACCAGTCGAGGGGCAACTAGATGAAGCCGGCTGTCTCTCAAATCTTGTCCCAACCCTGCCGCTCTTTTAACTTTTTTGCCCTCACAGGTCAACGTTCTTAGATCTATCAGCTGACAAGCTCCACAAAGAGCGATATTCTAGAATGGTTCTTCTGTTGCCTGCACGTGAGCAAGTTCCTAGCATTTCCGGCGGCACCGCTTCCGCAGGCAATGGAGAGATTTCGAGCAACATTTTTTTTCCGTTAACTTTATGCTTACTATAAAATCTATAATAGCATCACTTTTCACCGCAGGCAATGTGCATTCAACGTTCTGCCGCTTTCACTCGTAAAGCGGGCACATAGAGTAGCCAGCGCCACGGAACAAGCATGCAACGAAAGGGTGCTTTTTGGCAGCTTGTCAACAGACTTTGACCATCGTTGCTTCTTCACCTTGAAATCTAGTAGAACCGACATCTCAGGCCCTCGCAGTACAGCGTACCATACATATATTCTCGAAAAACGGTCAGCCATTTCGCAACGAATCCTTCGTAACCGTAACCAATAAAGCCTGCATGTGCCCACTTTCTTCCAGAATATGCACAAAGCGAATTGTTGCGGGTTACAGATCAAAGTCCGATAGCAATTGCAGACTAATAAAAAGTCACTTCGCCAAGCTACGGTGAATGGAATGCTTCTCGAACGGCGTGTCCGGCGTCCCATTCAGACTATCCTTTTTAAAGTGGTGTCGAAGTGGCAACGAACGACAACGCAAAAGCCGTAGCGTCACGCTCATGATGAGAGGCTATGAGTGTCACTGTTGTAGCGGCATTAGAACTCCTGGCTGCCAAGGCTACCGTGGAACGTCAAGTTTGAGAGTTACCGGCGGCAGAACAGGTGTCTCCTGCACCCAGCCCCTCTGCTGCGCCACCGCTAGATCATGGCAGGCGACAGCGTGACACTTCCACGACGTCACCCGAGGAAAACCGAGGGACCCCGTTTGAGGATGCATACACCGGTCGAAGTTTCGTTCCAAGCACCGTACCGTCCCCTCCAAAAGCTAACCAAGGGAGCCCCTCACCCAAACCGGCAAGCCGTGCCGGCACGACGACGACTCGTTTTGGTTCAACTTCAGTTGCGGTTGCCACAACTTCGTCGCGACAACTGCTAAAACAACTATGTTGTAACAGCTGGCTGCTAGGACCGCTCGACCTCGTGGGATCGGACTAAATCTTCCTGAGGTTCGCTGACGGCAGAGGGTGCGTGCCGAAGTGGCCGCACCGGGAGATTCAGATCCACGAGGGCCCGATGTTGTTCGACTTTCCGCGAAGGTACCGCAGTCGGACCTAGAAACGACAAACGGATGGAGGCACATTAACTACGCAGCGCACAAACGCACGGGCGAGAGACCTAACTTTCCATTACGGAAGTGGGACTGAATGTCGGTGCTCGCACGGCAGATGAAGGCTAGGCATCTTTGGGGCTGATGTGCATGGTGAAGGCCAAGGTTGGGAGATGCTAGCTTCAGAAGCTGCTTCTACTGCCTTATAGTACCATATCTGCACGAATATAAGGCAACCACGAATATAACGTAAAAGCAAGTTTTTAAGCCCCTAGAAAAAAAAAAAGATTATTACAACAGTTGAGTTTGGTTATATCACACTCGGGTATTTCAAATTATTGTGTATATCAAACAGCCCAACATCCCCTTGAAAATCACATGTAATGCAATAGGAGTATCGAACTCTCATGGCAGAGACATCGCAGCTTACGGTCCAATTGCACCGGTGGCAAGCACATCGCTTGTATCGCAGGGCTGACAGACAGCCAAGCCAGCATACACTCGGTAAAAAAACACAAAACAATGAACCGTAAAAAAAAAAGTCGAGGATGGCAAGGGCACGCACGCGCACGCGTAGGGAAAGCAGGGAGTGCTTGCTGTCAAAACAATAGCCTGCGCCCTTTCCCCGAACACTGCTGATGCTGCGCAACTCCCTAGCCCCAAAATTAGCACAAAAAAAAATGTCTTCGGCAAGTCAGGTGTTGACAACAACAATTGTGCAATCGCACTTTGAACACCTTATCTTTGTTTACCTTTTCCTTTTGCCGTTATCGATTTGCCCATTTTTTATTTTTTTGCCTGTCTTTTGCTGCCTGAATTAAGTGAGCTTTCTCTTTCGTTACTTGCTTAACTTTTTTTATCATCTTTTTAATCGTTTCGCTTTTTCATTTTTTTTTCATTTTTTTTGTGTTTTGTTGTTTATGCTGTGGAGGTCCCGGCCAAGTGTGCGTGTAAGCCTGGCGGCGTTTGCGGTCTCCGCCAACTACGCTCTTCTGCATTTAGCGGCTCTTGGACGCTCTATTTGGTAATGCTCCCGTTTGTCGTGACCTTCGGTATTAGCAGATGCCAGGAAATTTACACTGGAGCTTAATTTAGCATATTTTTGAATATCAAATTGTTGATATACCAAACTATATTACGATCCCCTTTGAATTTGATATATCCGCGTTCGACTGTATTATAACGCAAATACAGTCAAACCCAGCTATATTAAACCCATTTACATAGAATTATCCCTTTAATCGCACACTTTTTGTGCACAGTAATGTTACAGTGATAATGTATAGCAAAAACTATGGTTACATATTTTTGGATATCAAAATATTGATGTATACCAAACTATTTTACGATCCCCTTGGAATTTGATATATCCGGGTTTGACTGTATCATAACGCAGATACAGTCAAACCCGACTATATCGAACCCGTTTACATAGAATTATCTCTTTTATCGCACAATTTTTGTGCACAGTATAATGTTACAGTGATAATGTATAGCAAAAACTATGGTTACATATTTTTGGATATCAAAATATTGATGTATACCAAACTATTTTACGATACCCTTTGAATTTGATATATCCGGGCTTGACAGTATTATAACGCAGATACAGTCAAACCCGACTATATCAAACCCATTTACATAGAATTATCTCTTTTATCGCACAATTTTTGTGCACAGTATAATGTTACAGTGATAATGTATAGCAAAAACTATGGTTACATATTTTTGGATATCAATATTTTGATGTATACCAAACTATTTTACGATCCCCTTTGAATTTGATATATCCGGGCTTGACAGTATTATAACGCAGATACAGTCAAACCCGACTATATCAAACCCGTTTACATAGAATTATCTCTTTTATCGCACAATTTTTGTGCACAGTATAATGTTACAGTGATAATGTATAGCAAAAACTATGGTTACATATTTTTGGATATCAAAATATTGATGTATACCAAACTATTTTACGATCCCCTTTGAATTTGATATATCCGGGCTTGACAGTATTATAACGCAGATACAGTCAAACCCGACTATATCAAACCCGTTTACATAGAATTATCTCTTTTATCGCACAATTTTTGTGCACAGTATAATGTTACAGTGATAATGTATAGCAAAAACTATGGTTACATATTTTTGGATATCAAAATATTGATGTATACCAAACTATTTTACGATCCCCTTTGAATTTGATATATCCGGGCTTGACAGTATTATAACGCAGATACAGTCAAACCCGACTATATCAAACCCGTTTACATAGAATTATCTCTTTTATCGCACAATTTTTGTGCACAGTATAATGTTACAGTGATAATGTATAGCAAAAACTATGGTTACATATTTTTGGATATCAAAATATTGATGTATACCAAACTATTTTACGATCCCCTTGGAATTTGATATATCCGGGTTTGACTGTATCATAACGCAGATACAGTCAAACCCGACTATATCGAACCCGTTTACATAGAATTATCTCTTTTATCGCACAATTTTTGTGCACAGTATAATGTTACAGTGATAATGTATAGCAAAAACTATGGTTACATATTTTTGGATATCAAAATATTGATGTATACCAAACTATTTTACGATACCCTTTGAATTTGATATATCCGGGCTTGACAGTATTATAACGCAGATACAGTCAAACCCGACTATATCAAACCCATTTACATAGAATTATCTCTTTTATCGCACAATTTTTGCGCACAGTATAATGTTACAGTGATAATGTATAGCAAAAACTATGGTTACATATTTTTGGATATCAATATTTTGATGTATACCAAACTATTTTACGATCCCCTTTGAATTTGATATATCCGGGCTTGACAGTATTATAACGCAGATACAGTCAAACCCGACTATATCAAACCCGTTTACATAGAATTATCTCTTTTATCGCACAATTTTTGTGCACAGTATAATGTTACAGTGATAATGTATAGCAAAAACTATGGTTACATATTTTTGGATATCAAAATATTGATGTATACCAAACTATTTTACGATCCCCTTTGAATTTGATATATCCGGGCTTGACAGTATTATAACGCAGATACAGTCAAACCCGACTATATCAAACCCGTTTACATAGAATTGTCTCTTTTATCGCACAATTTTTGTGCACAGTATAATGTTACAGTGATAATGTATAGCAAAAACTATGGTTACATATTTTTGGATATCAAAATATTGATGTATACCAAACTATTTTACGATCCCCTTTGAATTTGATATATCCGGGCTTGACAGTATTATAACGCAGATACAGTCAAACCCGACTATATCAAACCCGTTTACATAGAATTATCTCTTTTATCGCACAATTTTTGTGCACAGTATAATGTTACAGTGATAATGTATAGCAAAAACTATGGTTACATATTTTTGGATATCAAAATATTGATGTATACCAAACTATTTTACGATCCCCTTTGAATTTGATATATCCGGGCTTGACAGTATTATAACGCAGATACAGTCAAACCCGACTATATCAAACCCGTTTACATAGAATTATCTCTTTTATCGCACAATTTTTGTGCACAGTATAATGTTACAGTGATAATGTATAGCAAAAACTATGGTTACATATTTTTGGATATCAAAATATTGATGTATACCAAACTATTTTACGATCCCCTTTGAATTTGATATATCCGGGCTTGACAGTATTATAACGCAGATACAGTCAAACCCGACTATATCAAACCCGTTTACATAGAATTATCTCTTTTATCGCACAATTTTTGTGCACGGTATAATGTTACAGTGATAATGTATAGCAAAAACTATGGTTACATATTTTTGGATATCAAAATATTGATGTATACCAAACTATTTTACGATCCCCTTTGAATTTGATATATCCGGGCTTGACAGTATTATAACGCAGATACAGTCAAACCCGACTATATCAAACCCGTTTACATAGAATTATCTCTTTTATCGCACAATTTTTGTGCACAGTATAATGTTACAGTGATAATGTATAGCAAAAACTATGGTTACATATTTTTGGATATCAAAATATTGATGTATACCAAACTATTTTACGATCCCCTTGGAATTTGATATATCCGGGTTTGACTGTATCATAACGCAGATACAGTCAAACCCGACTATATCGAACCCGTTTACATAGAATTATCTCTTTTATCGCACAATTTTTGTGCACAGTATAATGTTACAGTGATAATGTATAGCAAAAACTATGGTTACATATTTTTGGATATCAAAATATTGATGTATACCAAACTATTTTACGATACCCTTTGAATTTGATATATCCGGGCTTGACAGTATTATAACGCAGATACAGTCAAACCCGACTATATCAAACCCATTTACATAGAATTATCTCTTTTATCGCACAATTTTTGTGCACAGTATAATGTTACAGTGATAATGTATAGCAAAAACTATGGTTACATATTTTTGGATATCAATATTTTGATGTATACCAAACTATTTTACGATCCCCATTGAATTTGATATATCCGGGCTTGACAGTATTATAACGCAGATACAGTCAAACCCGACTATATCAAACCCGTTTACATAGAATTATCTCTTTTATCGCACAATTTTTGTGCACAGTATAATGTTACAGTGATAATGTATAGCAAAAACTATGGTTACATATTTTTGGATATCAAAATATTGATGTATACCAAACTATTTTACGATCCCCTTTGAATTTGATATATCCGGGCTTGACAGTATTATAACGCAGATACAGTCAAACCCGACTATATCAAACCCGTTTACATAGAATTATCTCTTTTATCGCACAATTTTTGTGCACAGTATAATGTTACAGTGATAATGTATAGCAAAAACTATGGTTACATATTTTTGGATATCAAAATATTGATGTATACCAAACTATTTTACGATCCCCTTTGAATTTGATATATCCGGGCTTGACAGTATTATAACGCAGATACAGTCAAACCCGACTATATCAAACCCGTTTACATAGAATTATCTCTTTTATCGCACAATTTTTGTGCACAGTATAATGTTACAGTGATAATGTATAGCAAAAACTATGGTTACATATTTTTGGATATCAAAATATTGATGTATACCAAACTATTTTACGATCCCTTGAATTTGATATATCCGGGCTTGACAGTATTATAACGCAGATACAGTCAAACCCGACTATATCAAACCCGTTTACATAGAATTATCTCTTTTATCGCACAATTTTTGTGCATAGTATAATGTTACAGTGATAATGTATAGCAAAAACTATGGTTACATATTTTTGGATATCAAAATATTGATGTATACCAAACTACTTTACGATCCCCTTTGAATTTGATATATCCGGGCTTGACAGTATTATAACGCAGATACAGTCAAACCCGACTATATCAAACCCGTTTACATAGAATTATCTCTTTTATCGCACAATTTTTGTGCACAGTATAATGTTACAGTGATAATGTATAGCAAAAACTATGGTTACATATTTTTGGATATCAAAATATTGATGTATACCAAACTATTTTACGATCCCCTTTGAATTTGATATATCCGGGCTTGACAGTATTATAACGCAGATACAGTCAAACCCGACTATATCAAACCCGTTTACATAGAATTATCTCTTTTATCGCACAATTTTTGTGCACAGTATAATGTTACAGTGATAATGTATAGCAAAAACTATGGTTACATATTTTTGGATATCAAAATATTGATGTATACCAAACTATTTTACGATCCCCTTTGAATTAGATATATCCGGGCTTGACAGTATTATAACGCAAATACAGTCAAACCCGACTATATCAAACCCGTTTACATAGAATTATCTCTTTTATCGCACAATTTTTGTGCACAGTATAATGTTACAGTGATAATGTATAGCAAAAACTATGGTTACATATTTTTGGATATCAAAATATTGATGTATACCAAACTATTTTACGATCCCCTTTGAATTTGATATATCCGGGCTTGACAGTATTATAACGCAGATACAGTCAAACCCGACTATATCAAACCCGTTTACATAGAATTATCTCTTTTATCGCACAATTTTTGCGCACAGTATAATGTTACAGTGATAATGTATAGCAAAAACTATGGTTACATATTTTTGGATATCAAAATATTGATGTATACCAAACTATTTTACGATCCCCTTTGAATTTGATATATCCGGGCTTGACAGTATTATAACGCAGATACAGTCAAACCCGACTATATCAAACCCGTTTACATAGAATTATCTCTTTTATCGCACAATTTTTGCGCACAGTATAATGTTACAGTGATAATGTATAGCAAAAACTATGGTTACATATTTTTGGATATCAAAATATTGATGTATACCAAACTATTTTACGATCCCCTTTGAATTTGATATATCCGGGCTTGACAGTATTATAACGCAGATACGGTCAAACCCGACTATATCAAACCCGTTTACATAGAATTATCTCTTTTATCGCACAATTTTTGTGCACAGTATAATGTTACAGTGATAATGTATAGCAAAAACTATGGTTACATATTTTTGGATATCAAAATATTGATGTATACCAAACTATTTTACGATCCCCTTTGAATTTGATATATCCGGGCTTGACAGTATTATAACGCAGATACAGTCAAACCCGACTATATCAAACCCGTTTACATAGAATTATCTCTTTTATCGCACAATTTTTGCGCACAGTATAATGTTACAGTGATAATGTATAGCAAAAACTATGGTTACATATTTTTGGATATCAAAATATTGATGTATACCAAACTATTTTACGATCCCCTTTGAATTTGATATATCCGGGCTTGACAGTATTATAACGCAGATACAGTCAAACCCGACTATATCGAACCCGTTTACATAGAATTATCTCTTTTATCGCACAATTTTTGCGCACAGTATAATGTTACAGTGATAATGTATAGCAAAAACTATGGTTACATATTTTTGGATATCAATATTTTGATGTATACCAAACTTTATTACGATCCCCTTTGAATTTGATATATCCGGGCTTGACAGTATTATAACGCAGATACAGTCAAACCCGACTATATCAAACCCGTTTACATAGAATTATCTCTTTTATCGCACAATTTTTGCGCACAGTATAATGTTACAGTGATAATGTATAGCAAAAACTATGGTTACATATTTTTGGATATCAAAATATTGATGTATACCAAACTATTTTACGATCCCCTTTGAATTTGATATATCCGGGCTTGACAGTATTATAACGCAGATACGGTCAAACCCGACTATATCGAACCCGTTTACATAGAATTATCTCTTTTATCGCACAATTTTTGTGCACAGTAATGTTAGTGATAATATATAGCAAAAACTACGGTTACATCGAACAAAAATAGCAGCCGCTACCGATACATCGAACTGCCAAGAGCACCGTTACGGTCTGCAAGCTGGCTTTCCCCCAACGCGAGCGGCCGCATTGGGGGAAAGCCAGCTTAAAAAGCACGCCGGCTTTTTCTTTTTTTTTTTTTTTTTTTTTGTGCGGCTACAATAACTTTTTGGGAGAAAAGAAAAAAATCTCTTTTGCGGAGGGAGCGGGAGAGGGTGTTTCATGCTCTCTCCCCACTCTGTCCGCAAAAGAGAATATTTTTTATTTCGAGTGGTTGACGCGGCCACCTGGAAAAAAAAAGCCAGCTTGCTCTGCTAGCTGGCTTTCCCCTACGCTGCCATTTGCCTTAAGCCATAGAGAGACGAAAAAAAGAAACCTCGTTAGTGCATCGTTAACAAACCAACAAAAAGAGGCCTCTGCTTTCACCTACATGAACAAGAAATGTGCCTTTTTGTCAGAATGTTTCCTCGTTGGTTGCCATCTTGTTTGTTGCCCTTAAAACAGAACCACAGTCACCCGACTTTCACCAAAAGTTGGGCGGGCACTTCTTGGGCAGTCTACAAAACTAAAGAGAAACGAAAACGTCGACAGCAGCATTTGCAACGCGAAAATCTCGCACTGACATCACCGAAAACGTTGCACCCAAGATATCCGAGAGACTCACCGGAACCAGGAAGCCACATTGGCACGACGCCCGGGTTTTGGGACTCCGCCGCCAGGAAAGACTGCACCTCCGCGACCGGCAGAGTCGTCACCACGGGCTGCATCGCGATGCCGTGCTCCACCTTGCGGAAGTAGATGACCTTCACCTGCGGCTGTGCTTTGTCCGAGACGAAGGGGAAGACCCGCCGCGGTGGCCGAGCCAGGACGGAATACGAGCCAATGGGATTCACGGGGACTGCATCTTGCTGGAACTCCTTCGCAGCTGCCGCATCCAGGCCTACAAAGAACGGGTGGATGGCACGCGCATCACGCCATGTACAATGTGCGTCGGGGCGCTATTGGGCGTAAAGAAATCAATACAGTCCAACGCCTTGATAACAAACGCCTCTACTACGAAAACGCCTGTTTAGTGAAGTAAAATAAAGTTCCGGCCAATCTCCCATGCGTTTAATGAGTTTCCCGAACTACTAGAACGAATTCCTGTTAAAAAAATATTTTCGTTTAACGAAGCAATTTTACGACCCCACGAAGCAAAAATGACTGATATAAAGAAATTTCTATGTGAAAAGTAATTGATTTTACGAAATTGTCAAAGTACGTAAATGTTAAGCTAGAGAAGAGAAATACTGCGGTAGCGGCAACAGCTGAAACCACCCCCCCTGCGCAGTGCATTCTCGGTTTTGGGTTTAAACAAATTATTAGTCTATGACCTCGCATCTAGATGGCGCTACGTGACTATGTCCTTGCATACAGGCTTTTTATGCAGCAACATAGTCAGGAAGCGCCATCTAGACACGAGGTTGTACACTAACAAATTATTCAGACTCAAGACCGAGAACGTGCGGCACTGCTTTAGGGGAAGTGGCATGACGAAGCTGGTGCCGCCGCCTTCATTTTGTGTGGCCACATACACTTTTTTTTTTGCTCACACCGTCGAATACGCGCCACTCTGCTCCATGATGAGTTTCTTTTTAACGTTCCATCGGCACAGTGCACACACTCGTTTTTTTTATTTTGCATGTACGTCAATGCATTTGACAAGATTACATAAAAAGGAATATTTTTATGCCGTCTTGGCATTTGTTTGTCCGACGCGCCGAGCTTCGTCAGATTTTTAAGGATCCCAATTTCGCTCGGAGTCCCAAACTGTTCCGCCTTGGAGCAATGATGCGCGGTCGAGGAAGCGATCTGCAACTCTACCCGCGATGTCAAAATCTAAGCGAAGTCAGTAGAGCCACAGAGGAAGAAACGCGCCCTTGTTTTCGTGCAAGACAGACGTGTAAAAGCTTCGGTCAGCTCGATCGAAAGCAGCACGGCCATCTTGACAGCCTCCTCCAAAGGACACTTGGAGGCGCTTGCCACCGCCCAATTTAGGAAAAGCCACACTTACACAGTTGGCGAATGCCTTTCCTATGTTATGGGGGGTCGATGTCGGTAGTTTAGCGATCGTTATGATTCATATTGAGGCAAGTTTGGTGCGTGGAAGTTTGGACAGCGGGAGATTAGTCTGCAGCAAGGAGTGCCTGCTGTCTCGGCTCTAGAAGACAAACTTTCCCAGTCTCGGTACTGGTGATACGACCGCTATCATGGTGTCTTTAAAATGCGTCCAGCAGCGGTGCGTACACAAACCCGTGCCAATACAATTTTCGTTTAGAGAAACAAAAAGAGGGGATGGTCGAGCCCAAGGTGCCTGGAGTTTGCAGCGCGAGCTTTCGCCCCACGTGTTCAGCGCTGCGACGTGCGAGCAGATTCTACCACCGTTCCCCCTTTTGATAAGTGAATCGTCGAAGTGCATAACCTTAATTCTGATGTCGCTCCTACTATATTTGGCACTATACGGTTTCCTGAAACACCTCAAATGTTGCGCAGATACGTCAATATAAGAAAATTCAAATTCGGTTTCGCACGATTTTTTGTGCTCAACTACTACAACCCAGTTAACGCAGTTATAACTTTACTACAAAAAATTTTGCCAGTCCCGCGGACTTTGTTACAAAGGTATTTGACTGCGTGAAAAAGCCAACGAACGAAATGCAATTAATCTTTCCACGAGAGTGTATTCAGGTGGTGCATTTTTCATACTCAAACTTGGCGAGGGTAGGTTTTGAGGGGAAAAAGTGCAAGAAAAGAAAACCCTGTCATTTCCTATGCGCGAGAGGAAAGCAAGACGCAAAGCATCCTATTGATGCTGCCACTTGCACAAGTACCACACATGCTGTAATCTGTTTCGTGTGCTCATCTCCAAGAAGAAGCTTTCAAGTCTTTACGCCATGCAGTGCCACGCGTGCCAAGTGGCATCAGCTGGATGCTGGGAAAGTAGCGCCATTGCCTTCCCCGCCTGGTAGACGGACACAAATGGATACTAACACAGAAACGACTGAAACCACGCAAGGCGATTAGCTGATACGTTTCTGTTGACATGGCAATTTCCATTTTGGTCCTTCCAAATTTTCGACGCATCACAAGTTTTGTTTTTAATAATTGGCACCAAGATTGCTATGGAGCATCGTCCCATTGAAAGCGTTCCTAGCCAGTATAAGCGTCTTTGGCGCCGTGCATGCAATGAACTGATCAATCGTGCTTATCTCCACCGATTTCTGACAGGGATGCCATTCTTCTTGAATATTTTAAGACAGAAAATTATTTATTGATGCCACCAAGCGTTGATGCCACACATAGTAATGGCGCGAGGATGTGCCCTAGTTTCGCGAGTGCCTGTGTAACGTGATCTCGGTGTACGAGAAATACCTTCGAAAGGCAACGCGCAGCCGGGAGTTAGGGTCAGCTCGCCAAGGTCAAAAAGGTCGAAGAGAAACTGCTCACCGCCCGAACCAAAATGGCAACCGTACTGACGGTGCCCCTTTCCCGGGATTTGGTGACTTTGCTAGAAACCAGACGTTCGCAATGGCGACGTGTCGCGCAAAAAGCTATTGGCGATTTTCGTCGAACGTTTTTTTAACCCTTTTTCACGGCTCGGTTTTAGAGAGCCAGGCACCGTGAAAGATCACGTTCGCCTAAAAAGAAGCTGGCAAGCGAACAAGCCGCGACAACTTTCTGGAAGTCGCCAAGGGTTGCCGAAAGGATGAGAAAGACGGGACATCAGCAGCAAGCGCTCTATGCCTTCCTAGGCACCATCGAAGGCGGGAATCTCGCACCGAAGGCGGAACGACCGAAACTCATCCCTGACATTCCCATTCGACCAGTGACCGTCGGAAGCTCTACGTCTCGAAAGCAATCGAATTACGAGGTCAACTGTAGTCTTTGCTGCGATCCAAGTCGGCACAAAATGGAGTACACGAGCGATTCCTTCGCCACAGTGGGCGTAAAGGCTGAATCTCACGGCCATGAACAAAAGCTAAATTCGGAACAATAACATAAAATGAAGCGTAGCTACGTACCTGTCTCAGAGGAAAGCGACGGATCGTCGACTTCCGTCGGATCTTGAGGCTCTGTGCACAAAGGTGGTTCCAACATTCAGAATGGCACCCAGCCGTGAAATGACATAGAGACAACAGACCAATCTTGACGGCCACCGCTGCGTTGCCACGTTGTTGGGCTTCTTCGGAAACCAGCGGCTCTGCAAAGGACGAGGTGGAATTCAACCTGTTGCCGACGGTTGAATGTCAAAATTGCTAATCTGATGAAATACAGACCTGGATCCGTGTGGAACGTAACCTTTGTCACGTCCATGGGATCTGGTAGTACACCTGGCGGGGAAAACAGTATGAGACGAAACATAACATTTTGACGACATGTTCCCATTACAGAAAGAAATGTCATCGAGAAGATACCTTTCGGAAGAGCTGGCACTGGGTTCCCAGGTTTCCAAACTTCCTCATAACATTCTGGCTCTGGGAGTGAAGAAGAAACCGAGACCATTTCTAATAAAGGTAACGCTTTGTAAGGCCCAGAGTAAAAAAAACAAAACAAAAAAACAAGCACCAATTTTAGGACAGACCTGATTTAATGGATACAAGATGGCAGCTAGGCTCTTCGTCTTGCTCAACATATTCCGGTGGCTCTGCAAATGCAGCGACAGAACATCAACAGATTAGCTTATGCTATATAACAACGCAAAAACAATACTATTAAGAACGGTCCCAAGGAATGCTTTAGGTTATGCCGAAATGTAAAGAAATAAAGCTAGAACAAACTGCGCCATAATCTTTCATACATTAAGAAATACCGTGAAATGTGCCAACGAAGAGGGCAATTCTGCTCAATCCTTTATAGATCTGGGGGTTACAAAGTACTTTGGAGCAGTCAGCTCTTTTAAAATACAGGTTTTTATTTTTGTACTGTGTATAAAAAGATAATGGTTCAATAATCACACAAACTAGCTATTGTAGAAATGAATGGAAACATATAGGTAGATCACATTTTTCTTAATTATATAGAATCGAAGCATATACACTGCATTAATTTCTACAAAAGAAGACAGCTCTACAATGCCTAGCGTTTTCATGAGCAGATTAGAAATTGGGTATTCTACTAGTATAACCCTAACTCGGCCAAATTTAAAAAAAAAATATTTTTCGTGCCATAACTTTATATGACGTGGCTTTCTGCGAGTACATTTCTAACAATGAGACTCACAGTTTTCCATCTTTTTGTAAATTATTCTGGCTCCTGAAGTTATAATGTTATTGGATATACAATGACCGGGTTAAAAAAAAGAGCTATAGGACTGCAAACATCTCGGAAGAGCTGTACCAGAGCACTTTGTTTGTGGTCCTTCTGTTTCACCTTAGAAACCTCAAAAGTTTGAAGTCCCTTTCCTGCTCCGTTTTAACCCGAGACAAGCTACAACACCATGCATGTAAACTGGTCATCTGGCAACACACCCGTTTTGATAGTCACAGCTGCCATCGTGCCATTGCCACTGGAACCGTCCACCCCTGGAAGAGAAGATGCCAAGAGGCTACAATTACTAAAAAGTTACACACTGAAGATTATGCTGCCATTAAAGAAGTACTACTCCCATTCTTTGAGCTACCCCAACTAACTATATATGTTCCGATTCACATGCCTTTACCCTTTCTGGTATGCTATTTAGTACCGTGAAATTCGGAATAGTTATTGTGAAATCAGCAAGTGGAAATGATGCCCATACCAACATTCGAATATACCCCCGCTTTTCAATGCCCAGACGTCAAGGGAAGGCAGGCTTGCAGGTCGAGCGGGCAGTAAAAAAATGGACTCTACCAAGCAGTTATTACGTGCTGCAGCGTGGGTGCACGAACAAGCTTCCAAAGCATTCATTTGAGAAACTGCTTGTAATCAGTTGGCGACACAGTCTACAGCCCCGAGAGTGAACCCCTGCCTTCCGATGACGTCAATTTTTCATGGTTGCCAATGCGAGCACCAAATTGTAAAGTCAAAAACTTAACGGAAAAAAAAACAAAAAACAATTGGCACAATATTTGGGTTACTATTTCAGCTATGCTTGTTGGTGTGTTCAGCACATTTTCAGGCATTTTGGGGAGTATGAAGGAAACGCCGAAGAACCCCTTCAACACCACAGAAGAGCTTTGCCAACATTAATAACGAAATGATCACTCTGATGGCAATGTGCGTTTTCAGATAAGATTGAACAACCATGTCCGGTGACCATTTTTAATTTTCAGGAAAAAAAATATACTTTGCTGGCACCACGCCCAAAAAGGTTAAACCAATCCTTGTTTAAAAAAAAAACTTTCAGCCTTTCCACTTTGGTGAAGAAGGAAGAGCAGCGGAGCTGTAGCTTCTGTTCTCGGTGGTGGCCTTCCAGCCGAGCGATCTGCTCTTCTTTTGCATGGGAATCTGAAGCGCTCGACGCAATCTAACTTTAGGCGATAGCAGCCTCACAACGGTTACGAAACCATTCGCGCTGCTGCGCACTTCGCCACTCATTCCGTTCCCACTCTTCTTCCCCCGAGCGAGCGACGGCAGCAAGCGGACAACCGGCAAACACAACACTCTGGACAGCTACCACCATCTATGAGTGACGGCGGCAACCAGAGTTTTCGGTCGACATTTCTTTGCAGGGAACACGATCCTGGGGAAACTAGCCCTTAACAGCTCCGCTGTAAAAAAAAAAATTTGCCTTTGCAACGCGCGATATGCAAAACATGTGCGCGTTTTGCATATCGCGCGATGTTGCCATTTCGGGTGGCTTCCCCTGAAAAATTGTTCTGGCTACGGGTCTAGAAATATTTACTGACAAATTAGGCATTGGAAGGATTCACAAAAAGTATTAATCACCGACTATAAGGTCGTTATTTTGTGAAATAAATTCACAAATACGGCACATTGCAGAATAACGCTCGGGATTAAAGATTTTTTTCTCCGTATCTATAGAAGTTAAGGTCTTCAAACAGTGCCAGAGTATTGCCCTGTACATAGTTCATCTTTGCATGAAATATTGTTGTCCTGGTTAGCGGGAGATATTTACGAAAATTTTTCACACAGGGGCAGTCAACTAAATATACTATATTTTGAAAATCGTTTAAAAAAAGGACATCTTCAATATTCTTTAAACTCTCCGAAATTAATGTTTACAATATGTAATATAGTCCGTTGCCACTCAAGAAGGTAGGGCGAGAATAAGACGGGCTGGGGAGGAGGAAGCAGACGGAACGCTGGACAAAAGAGGGGGGAAACCTTCTTTCTTTAGCATTCCGTCTGCTTCCTCCTGCCTGGTCTTCCTTTCCTTCGCCCTACCTTCTTAAGTTGCCACGGACTATGACAGATTCTGCGAAAACATAACGCAATATTTGTGTGGCTTTGAAGTTGCGAAGCGAGAAATATGGCCAAATTGATGCTGACGTGGTTGCCATAAATGGGGCATGCAAATACCCATTCTTTATAATTTCATTATTATTAGAAAGCGTAAAAGTGCTACATGGTAGTCAAGAAAAGACGAATTGACAGCACAGAGGTGGACGGTAGATTTGAAGGGAACATTCCTAATACATGTTCGTACAACCGACCCAAAAATGCCCATGGGCCGGAGCGATCGAGGTGCAACACCCTGTAACATGAATCGCGGTGCTTGTTTCAACAGCCGGCGTACAGCGTTTCCGTCTATGCGACGTAAAGGAAGCAACCGGAACGATTTTGCAAACAGATCAGCCTACAACCTTGGCGGTAACATGATATAGGAGGTAGGACACGGCAGAACCTGAACCTGCGCCGCCTGTGAGCGACAATAGATTCGCCACCATGGAGGGCCGCATAACGCCAAAAAAACAAAAATACTGCAAAAAAAAGAATTCCAGTTGTTGACTGAGATTGTTTGTATTGGGCGTTTTCAGATAGCATCGAACGACCATGTCGGGTCGACATTTTTTTATTTTTACCGAACGACATATTTTACTTGTGCCACCGCAAAAACATATTCAAACATTTTTTGTGGAAAATAAAATTTCTCGAGGAAAAAAGTAACAAAGTTGCTGTCGGTATACGAGCATGTTTTTGCGACTTGCATGAAGCCGTCCTTTTGGATATTTATTAAAGAAAAACTGCTGTTGTCTTATGTTTAATAATTTTTGTGCAAAAACTGTACATAAAATAAAAGGAGGTACTAAACATGTATCATCGATGTATCATCGATTACTAAGCGATTCAGAGCTTTATGGATACGGATTTTAAAACATTGGAAATTGAAATATTTTAACATGTTTTGGACGCGTTTGTTTAATATTCACATAAATTGTCATTGAAATGGAAAATGACTACCTTCCTGAAAAAATTCACTGAAATGTAGACAGATTACCAATTTTGCAATTGGAAAATCGGTTTAAAATGAAGGCCGCCTTAATTTTTCTTCTACTTTTCACAGATCAAAGCTCATATAATCTGTCCTATCAGGCCCTTCAAAAATGCTTTGCAATATTTTTGTATTTTTTAATTTACAGAGTGCTAAATATACAGAACTGCCGTAACGGGAGTACAGAAAGACAGGACGTTGCCGATTTCAAACAAGGGCAAGCAAGGAGTCGAAAAATCTAGGAAGTCTGTGATGGGGGTTCATGAAAGATAAGAATTCATACAAAAGATTACAGGTGAGTTCGAAACTGAAGTTTGAAACGACCGAAACTCATCCTCGACATTCCCGCTCGACCAGCAAACATAGGAACGGGGGCTCTACGCCTCAAAAGCAATAGAGTTACGAGGTTACCTGCAGTCTTTGCTGTGACCCGACTCGGCATAAAATGGTGTACATGAGTGATCCCTTCACCGCGGTGAGCGTGAAGGCTGAATCTCACGGCCTTAAAAAAAAACACCTAAATTGGGGAAAATAACATAAAATGAAGCGTAGCTACGCACCTGTCTCCGCGGGAAGTGCCGGATCGTCGACTTCTGTCGGATTGTGAGGCTCTGCGCACAAAGGTGGTTCCAACATTCAGAATGGCACCCAGCCGTGAAATGACATAGAGACAACAGACCAATCTTGACGGCCACCGCTGCGTTGCCACGTTGTTGGGCTTCTTCGGAAACCAGCGGCTCTGCAAAGGACGAGGTCGAATTCAACCTGTTGCCGACAGTTGAATGTCAAAATTGCTAATCTAATGAAATACACACCTGGATTCGTGTGGAACGTAACCTTTGTCAGGTCCATGTGATCTGGTGGTTCACCTGGCGGGAAGAACAATACGACGCCAGACGTAACATTTTGACGACATGTTTTCATTACGGAAAGAAATGTTATCGAGAAGATACCTTTCGTAAGAGCTGGCACTGGGTTCCCAGGTTGCCAGACTTCCTCGTAACATTCTGGCTCTGGGAGTGAAGAAAACGAGATCATTTTTAATAAAGGTAATGTTAAGGCCCAGAGTAAAACAAAACAAGCACATAATTTAGGACAGACCTGATTTAACGGACACAAGATGGCAGCTAGGCTCTTCGTCCTGCTCGACATATTCTGGTGGCTCTGCAAATGCAGGGACGGAACAGTAACCCATCAGCTTATGTTAAAACACCTTGAAAACAATACAGTAAACTTTTGTTAATTTGACCGACAGTACCTTGAAATTTGGTAGAATTATCCGAATGATTGAATAAAAAAAGGACATATTAAACGGTTAAAATTAAACTTCCTTTTATAGTCCAAGTACTCACGGATGGTCTGCCATCTGCGCTTAGAATGCGTGTTCAAAAAGCATGCTCCGAAGAGCAATGTAACTAAACGTCACGTCACCAAAAAAAATTGCAAAGTAAAATAAAAAACAAAACAAAAAACAATGAAGAAATTAATTTTTACGAGCCGACTTTGGCGCCGGGCAGCCAGACCGTCGGTGACAGAGAAAAATAACAAAAAAAAAAAAAAAGGAAAAGAGAATCCGCGCTTTTCGGCGCGCAAGATGGACCGCACACGATGCTACAGAAAAAGCGCTTTGAGAGTGCGCACTGTCTGCGCGCCCACGTGTTATGTTCTCCACACTACTTCACACCAGATTGGTTGTGCTGGCTCGTATCATTCGCTACGGTCCATCTCAATGGCGTAGAGGAGCAGGCACATATCTGCATACATTCCGTTTTGCAGCAAAAGGCCCGTGTTTCGCCGTACGTTGGTGGTTTCTCTACCGTGGTGCCGTGCAACGTGAGCCCGGGACGAATTATCTGATGCGGAGTCTTCCCCAGTTTGAACTATCAAACTTTTCCTCGCATAGAAATGTATGGGCGCTCGCCGGGACTTTCGAACACGATCGAAGAAAACGAAAAGTTGAATTAACCCAGGTCGAACTAACGAAAGTTTACTGAACTATTAAGAGATCCTAAAAGAAGGCTTAGCTTGAGATGCAACGAGATGTATGGCTTCTGCCCAGATACAAAAGAAAGAGGTACACCCGCTGGCAATATGAAAGTGAACACCTTACCCGGTTTCTTGCCTGTTTTACGGCTCCCTAAAGCTATACTAACTCTCAACGCCTCAAATGGTACGTGGCTTGGAGTCTAAACTTTGCGTTCTAGCCCTCTTCTGGAACAGAGCTTGTTCCAAAACTTGCAGGAGGGTCAAAAACAAGAAGAGGGCTGTTCACCTTCATATCGCTCACGGGTGTATATGCCAAAGCTTAACAGCTACGATGGAGAAGCCCTGAATGCGCTTTACGGTACAGATTCGTCTGGCGTCGCACTCCGCTCGAGGAGGAGGAGGAAAGAGGGAGGGAGAGGAGGAAAGAAGGAAGGAGAGGAGGAATAGAGAGAGAGAGGAGCAGGGGGTGAGGAGGAAACTGTGAAAAAGCCCCCTGAAAGTTTGTTGTGGAAAAAAAAAAAAAGAAGGAACTTGGGGTAGGATACGTCCCCCGGCGATTTTTTGTGGGTACTTCGTTGTGGGGAAGCAGACGATTTGGAATGCGATATCTTCTTTTCACGTGCTTAGGGCGTTCTAGCAGATTTAGAAACTCTGTTTCTGGATGTTTGACTAAACACTGGTCGCTTTTACAGATAATTAATTGGGTTAATATATTTAATACCCTCGGCTCAGCGCACCGTGGCGATTTGCGAGCGGAATAGGGACAGTCCCTTTCACATAAGTTTGGGAAACAAATTTTTACCCAGGATTGACCCAGTCCCGAAAAAAAAAAACTATAATTCACGTTGCGAAATACAACCCAGATTCCAAATGCTAACGGCGCAACGTGGCGAGTTGTCAGCAGAATACGAACAATCCCTTTAAGATAAGTTTGGGAAACCAATTTTACCCAGGATTGACCCAGTTTCGCAAAAAAACTACAAATCACGAATACAAAATCAAAACCATTAATCTAGTACGTTCTTGAAAACCTGAGAAATAGCCGCAATGTGAAGAGCGCACGCTCCTTGCTTCTGAAAGTCGTTGTCTGCTTCCCCACAACAAACTACCCACAAAAAAAAAAAAAAAATCGCAGGGGGACCTTTTTGACCGCAACTCCCCTTCTTTTTTTTTCCCCAACAAATTTTCCGGGGGCCCCTTCCCAGTTTTCTCCTCACCCCCTCCTCTTCTCTCTCTCTATTCCTCCTCCCCTTCCTTCTTTCCTCCTCTGCGATCCTCCTCTCCCTCCTTCTTTCCTCCTCCTCCTCGAGCGGAGTGCGACGCCAGACGAATCAGTACCCGCTTTACTAACAATAATTTCAAGAATGGTTCCAAGGAACACTTTAGGTTACGCCAAAGTGTAAGGAAATAAAGCTAGAACAAACTGTGCTCTAATTTTTCCAACATTAAGAAATACCGTGAAATGTGCCAAGGAAGAGGGCAACTGTGCTCAATCCTTTATAGATATGGGGGTTACAAATATCTTGGGAGCAGCCAGCTTTACAATTTTTTTTTTGTACTTTGTATAAAAAGATAGTTGGTGCAATAATCGCACAAACTAGCTATTGGAGAGATGAACTGGAAACATAGAGATCACATATTTCTTAATTATATACAATTGAAGCATGAAATAAACTGCCTTGTTTTACTTTAATATACTATGAAGAAACATTAAATTATTAATGCCTAGTATTTTCAGAACCAGATTAGAACTTGGGTATCATACTACGGCAGAATAATTGTTGCTACTAACTCTGATTTGGCAAAATTTTTAAAATATTCTTTGTGCCACAACTTTATAAAATGCGGCTTGCTGCAAGTACATTTCTCAAAATGAAACTCACAGTTTCTCATCTTTTCGTTAATTATTGCGGCTCCTGAAGTTGTAGTGTTGCTGAACGGCAACAACGATCTGGTTTAAAAAAAAGAGCCGTTTGACTGCAAACTTTTCAGGCCCTCCCACTGCATGTTGTCTGTAGTCCTTCCATTTCACCGTAGAAACATCGCATGTCGGCAGTCCTTTTCCTGCTCCGTTTTAACCCGAAAAAAGCTACTACACACTGCATGTACACTGGTCATCTGGCAACACACCCGTCTTGATAGTAACAGCTGCCATCGTGCCATTGCCGCTGGAATCATCCACCCCTGGAAGAGAAGATGGCAAGAGGCTACAATTCATAAAAAGTTGCGCACTGGAGATTATCGTGCCATTAAAAGAGTACTCCAGTTATTCTTTGAGTTACCCCAACTAACTACAGTCGAGCCCGGTTATATATCACACCCAGGTAATTCGAATTATTGTTTATATCCAACAGTTCAAACATCCCCTTGAAAATCACATGTAATTGTATAGGAGTGTTGCTTTTCTGTATCGAACTCCCATGGCAGGGACACTGGATATAGCGAACAAAACACGGCGGCCCCTGGCGTTTCCTGCGGTCGGATTGCGCCCGTGGGGAGCACGTAGCTCGCATTGCAAAGCTGGCAGACTGCCAAGGCACCATACGCGCAGGTCGCACGGGGATACGCAGCGAGAAATTCGAATATACCCGCGCTTCTTAATGCCCAGATGTCGGGAGAAGGCAGGCTTGCAGGTCGAGCGGACAATCCAAAAATGGACTATGCTGAGCACTTGCTACGTGCTGCTGCGTGGGCGCACAAACAAAATTACAAAGCCTACATCCGACACCATGAAACTGCTTGTAATCAGATGGTGACAAAGTCTGCAGCCCTGAGAGTGAACCCCTGCCTTCTGCTGACGTCACTTTGTCATCGTTGCCAATACGAGGACCAAATCGTAAATTCAAAAACTTAGCAAAAAATATATTTTGACTTGATATTTCGGTAAGTATTTCAGGGATGTTTGTATGTGTGTTTAGCATATTTTCAGGCAAGTCGGTGACTATGAAGAAAACACCGAGTACCCCTTTCTCACCACAGAACAGTTTTCCCATCATTAATAATGAAAGGATCACACGGACGGCAATGTGCCAATGTACTTTGACAAATGTCAGTCTCTCAGTGTCCAAGCAACAACATCCCAATAACTACCACTAACGTCGACCCATCAGACTGTCATCCATACAAGATGCGCATGCTAGTCCAGTGTTCGCCGAAACAGTTCCACACTGCCAGGTGGCAAAGTCATAGCACACATCCGAGACGAAACACGCGAGACATGATCAATAAAGCAAAATATATATATATAAAAAAAAAATTGTAAACAAGTCATCAATGACATAATTGTGCATCCAGCCTGTCCCACAGCCCACAAAACAGCCATTGTGTGGGCTCGAAAGTAAACATTTGAAAAAAATTTTTCCGGTTAGAGAAACAATAAATGAAGGACAACAATGAACCCTATCCCAAAAACAGGGACCGTTTCGAGGCCTGCTCGACTCTTTTTCGGAGGCAACTTGGCGACGGCCGTCGAGGTGCCTAGGGCGAAGAAATACACGCTCGTCTCAAACGAAGAAAAAAAAAAAGGAAGAGCAAACCCTCTGTGCCAATCTAAAAAAGAATGGGTATATACGAGCCCCTTTATCCACCGTGTTGCCCGTCGTCGAGCCAGAGACTGCCAGCACCAGCAACCATGAGCGGGTATGCAGCCTCGCTCCACCCCGTGCTTCTGCGTACCCTACGATGAAGCGCTGGCAGGCGTGCTAGCCAAAGAAAAAATCAACACGGCCTACGAGTCGACCTCCACGCTAGAACGGCTCCAGCCCCAACAAAAGAATGGTTTGCCGAAAAAGAAAAAAAAGAAAAGGCAAGATAAGATTTTTTGCGAGGACAAACCAGCCACCTACGTCGGCAAGACGCAGGACTTCGACAAAAGACTGTGCCGACGAAGGAACGACGCACAAATTTCACCACGAGCGCAGCGCAATCGTTGAGCGCCGCGACTTTGAAGACCACTGGATTGCTTTCGACGCCGCCGGCGCCGTCAACGCAAAGACTAACCTCCGCATAAACTTTTCGTAGAATCCCGGCACGGTTGAACGACGCCAGGAAACAAATGGGTGCCTCGGCGCTCTACCCACAGCCTAAGTCGACGGGCTTTGCCCCGTAGCTGAAAGATATAAAGATACTGCTCTTCAACAACCGTCGCCCGTCACCCCCGAAGAAAAACCCAGTAGGCCTCGAAATGTGGGGTTCCAGGTTTTAGGATTTGGTCGGTTGTCATTCTTTTACGTACCTGTCCCCACAGGAACCTCCTCGATGCAAACTTCCGTCCCGTCTTGCGGCTCTGCACACACAAGTGGTTCCAAGGTTTAGAATGGAACCTAGTCATGAAACACCACAAAGACAACGGACCAATCTTAACGGCCACCACCACGCCATCGTGTCGTTGGGTCGCTTCGGAAACCTGCGGCTCTGCAGAAGGAGACCACGTCCAACAGATTGCCGGCGATTGAACCTCAAAAGTGTTAGGTTAATGGAGTACAGACCTGCATTCATGTGGAATGTGACCTTCGTCGTATCCATGTAATCTGGCAATTCGGCGGGTAGAAGGAAAGAACAAAAAATGATGTAAGACGCGACATTTAGATGACGGGATCTTGCGGTAAAACACCGGAGGAATGCCCACCCCCTTTCGCCGAAAATTCGGTTAATCTAGACATGGGCACTTGTCCAATCAAATCGGGCGCTTAACGTACCAGGTGTGATCAAAATGTTCTGGGACCAATTTTGTAGCACGAAAAAAGAGGGCAGCACAGTGTTAATCATGCAGCAGTCGAAGGCAGGGACCTTTCTGCGTCATTATGCCAAAGGGTGTCACTCTGTGAACATTTGAAACTGCGCTACGCGAGTTTGTTTGACCACATGCACGAGCGCAATGGCGATCTTTCCATAGACCGCAGGCCAAAGTGAGAGCAAACGTCAGTTTTACGTCAAACTCGGCAAATCTAAGACAGAAACCTCAGAAATTATTTAAAAGGCTTATGTCAAAAAGCAGCCAGGTGTGCAAGTGTTTTGAGTGGCACTCGTGCCACAGGAATGGCAGAAGGCCGTCGTAGTCAAGGAGGGGTCGAATAAGGTTACCCTACCGCTCTTTGACTTCCAGCAATGTTCTGCCGTTCCTGAAGCATGTGTGCCACTTCCGTTTTATGTTTGTCGAGTCTGACGCAGAATTGATGCTCGCTCTCATTCTGGTCTGCAGTCTATGGTCAAATTGTGACCGTGCACGTGGTCACAAAAACTCGTGTAGTGCAGCTCCAAACGTTCGCAGAGCGACGCCTTTTGGTATAACGAAACACAAAGGTCCCTTCCTTCGACTGCTGCGTGAGTGTCACTGTGCTGCCCTCTTTTCTTACGTTACGAAATCAGTCCCGGAACTTTTTGATAACACTTCGTAGAAAATCGCAGAATTCCGAAGTTTGAATTCCGAAGTTTCGGAAATGTTCATTGTGAACTCAGCGGGCGGTTCCGCGGCATTTTACGGTAGGTACAAAAAGAAGCGTTATCGGCAACCTACCTTTGGTAAGAGCAGGCACTAGGCTGTGAGGTTTCCAATCTACCCCATAGAGTTCCGACTCTGCGAGCGTAAAAGAAAGCAATATTTTTTTAACAAAAATCGTTTAGAAATTCAATACGCCCTAAAAACAGGCATAAATTCAATGACAGACCCGACTTCACGGACGCAAGATGGCTGCCAGGCTCTTCGTCTTGTTCGACATAATCTTGTGGTTCTGCAAGTGGAGCGATGAGACGCCGAAGTTTTAGCTCGCACTAAAACGCAATGAAAAGACTACTACGACACGCTAAAAGGTGGCCCAGCTTAATATGTCTGAGTTATGCCAAGGAGTCTGAGTTATGCTGAGTTTGCCCAGCCTTCAGCTGTCCTGCTTGCAATGTGAGGAACCTACCTTCGACAACACTTTGGCATATTGTGCACGTCGAGCATGCGCGCATGCAGACAAAGCACAGCCCAGACAAAGGCTGGGCAAAAGAAATGCCCTGCCCTTTGCACTTTATCCGTGACCATAGCGAAAATGGAGCTTACAGGGGGCGTTTTAGGTCATGCCGGAATGTATGCAAAAAAAGCTAGAAAACTTGGAAGGGTTATGCTCATATGTCACTTACATTTAGCATTTTCTGTTTCAATCTTTTTCTACTTAGCCTTCCGTATAACATGCTCTTTAAAAAAAAAGCCTCGAAGGAGGCGAAGCAAAAGCTAGCCCAAACTCCTTGACGAGGCTCCGGCCCTCTGCAGTGCCACGACACATTAGCAGTTGCAGCGTGTATGTAATGGCTATTGTGACATGTAATTTGTGTGAATCCTCACCCTTCTAGAAATAGTGACTAGCGGCTTTTTGTCCCGGTGTAAATGAATATAGATATCCTCAAACTATAATGGTGTCCAATTGTAAGAATTTGTGTTAGAAAAATGGAGCCACACAAGCGCAGAAATCGAAGCCGCAGATGCACTGGATCACTTCTCGTAGGACGAGTAACTTCTCAAAATTACTTATCGTTCCCACTCCCCAGACTGATGAAGATATGCCTAGAAGTGGGTGCAACAGTCCGTTCTATATGGGTCGTGTTTGATCGTATGAACCTCAAAAGTTAGCAGCAGTTTTCACGCCACGTTTTCACCCAACATGAGCTGCTACATAGTGTGCAAAGTGCTCATGCAGCAACAAACCTGTCTTGATAGTGTTGGCTGAAATGGTACTCTCATCACTGGATCCACCCCAGCCTGCAAAAAGAGATGGCAAGAGACTTTGTGAACACAGAGTGACCCCCTGGAAATTAAGATGCTGTTAGGGGCCACTTCTGAGCACACAAGTGCTCTGCCACCAGTGTTGGGTAGAGCACATCTAAAACATACTTTTTACGTGAAGTACAAAGTAAATGGGAGCTTATGCGCTTCAAGTACGGTAGCAAGTACACAGAGTGCAACATACTTGAAGTAAACTACTATAAATACAATGTACTTTCAAAGTAACTTTATAACACAATCTTTTGTGATGTCACTATATTCCCATAGTTTTTGTGATGCACCTGGGGCATTGCCCCAGGTCCATCAGTAATTTTCAGAAACGGCGGCAAGTATTGAATAATGTCAAGTGGGTGCAGATACTAGCTGTTTTACTCTCACTGAGAAACTATTTAACAGAACAAACTCATAAGGCGCTTGTATCTGTCTTATAGCTGCCGTGACTTCACCGAGAGAGATGAACAGACGACATCTTGAAAGACGACAGCGCGTTTTCACGCAACAATATGCCATTTTGTTCTTTTCGAACTTCAGGAATGTGCTTTGAAGTCGGGAGTTGTATTTACCTCGGAAACTATCAGAATAAATGAAAGACGTTTACCACTTCCTGTAACGCCAAATTAGAGCGCAGCTCTTGAGGAGGAGGAGGGGAGGGTATGCCCCTCCTCCCTCCCCTCTGTCACGTGATGTCACATGACCCTTGTGACGTCATATGACCCTTGTGACATCTTGTGACCCCGCGTGGCCCTTGTGACGTCACGTGACCTTCGTGACGTCACGTGACGTCACGTGACCCTTGTGACGTCTCGTGACCCTCGTGACGTCACGAGGGTCATGCGACGTCACGGTTACGCCGACAGCGACACCGATGCCGCTCAAGCTGGATACAAGCGCCTAAGAGCTGCGCTTTAAAAAAAAAAATACTTGAAATGAAATACAAGTACATACTCGGAGAATATACTTCAAGTGAAGTACATGTTTGCTGAACCTTCGTGAAGTAGTACTTGAAAGGGATACTGAATCGAAACTTTATATTTACAGGAAACAACAAGGAATAGGTCCCCGAACAGGATCAGTTAAACCTGTTAATGGTAACTGCATGCTTGTATCTTGAGCAGATGGCTATATTTTTTTCCTTCTAAATAACGGGAGCTTGGCGAGCGCTTCAAAAGCAGCCACCGAGGAGCGTGATGGATCTTAGGAGATCCGGCGTGCCCTCGACGCCTTTAGGTCATGCAGGGCCAAGTGTACGCTGGTTATGAGCTTTGCCACTTGGACTCGCTCTGTAGAAGTACCTGAGGCGGGTAGCATATCACTGGAATATTGCGGAGCGGTGATGACCAACCAGTTCTACGAGAGTGCGAGGACTAAGACATCACTTCTGTCCATGATGACTGACAAGCAATACGGACTAGAGCCATATTTGTGCGACTGCCTGCCCCAACTTCGTCGTCGTCCGCAACAGGTGACAGAGCTCATTCATGAAACAATCTTACAACAAAACTCAAGAACAAATCCGTATTCACGAAGCAAAATGATGTTGCTGTTGCTGATCTATGTCGGTATCTTTCAAACAATGGCTCAATTACTCTCGCTGAGGGAAATTTTAAAGGTTTCCAAAACTTCCTCAATAACTTCTTTTTTTGGCTTAGATTTTTTTAAATTTTGCATATTTTTTTGTGCATTTAATTCGGTTCAAACTGTTTTCTTGTTTGCTTCTATTAAATATTGGTGTTTGTGAAGTCCTACTTCAATTGCTTCAGGTTGAAGCAGAGAGATGAGCTCTGATATTTGGTTTCCATACCGCTAAGTACAATGTACTTAAAGTACTTTCCAACACTGTCCGCCACCCTTATCAATGATATTCGGCTATCTTTGCATAGCACACCTCAAGAATGTTTTTTTTAATTAATCAAAAGGTTAGGTTTCTTAGATGCAAGCTATGCAAGTCATGCACTTCATCTGAAGCGTCTTTCAGGAATGATAAACTGAGCTACCGCCATTATTAATGAAATGATCCAATTGACACTAACATTCTTATGGAGTTATGGGTATTTTCAGAAGCCATGAAGATAAGTGATGAAGTCTTCTAGAGTACAAGGCACAGACCCTTCAATAACCAGTAACGCCAAGCCCTCAAACTATCGGCCACACAGGCCAAAGACGTCAAAGTGAAAACTCACCTGGTCCATCATCCGGCAGTATGCTTTCGCTTTCTTGCACTTCAAAGTCATCCTGCACATCTGAGACAAAACATTCAAAGCATGATAAATGATATTTGCATTAAAAAAAAGAAAATATATATACATCTATATTTATATATATATAATGAAATAGTAAACAAGTTGCTGTTGGGACCAGCATGCATCTGGCCTGACAGATGACCCACACAACAGTAATTTCCTAAGTTCTTTTCAGAAGCCTCCCTGTCTAAGTTATGAAAAGAAAAAAAAGCTTTAAATTAAGGAGCAAAAAATGGTGTGCTAATGGCAACAAGGAATGGCTTTATATTTACAACCTTTCTAAAAAGCAAAAGAAAAAAACAGGTTACTTTAAAAGCTTGGTAATGCATTGACTTCACATTACGCCAACAAAGAAAAAAAATGGATTAGAGTTTCGACAACAGTTTTTTGCCAAAATATGTTTTCCAGTGGTTGGGTTTCGTGTGCCAAGGAAAAGTTTAAAAGAAGGGATCGATGGAAAGGTTCATTTTTAAATATTTGGCAGAAGCATGTACAGTGCTTGCAAGCTGCTCAAATGTAAAAGCATTGAATGAAAATATTGAAGGCGAACGTTGTCACCTCTCATACGGTTTCACTTTGCGCAGCCCCTTAAACGACATTCTGACTTTTTCAGATGCAGAACCGGCGGTACTTCACAGAGCTTCTCCGTCGGATGTAAGCTCTCTCTCTCTGAATTAAATTCTGAGAAGCGTTAAAAGTTTGAACTGGAAAGACCGGCACTTCAACTGCCACTACCGCCAGAGCCGCCGACAAGCGAAGTCACCATCTCGCGTGTATCATGTGCGCAGAGCTTCTAATTACTTTAGGAACGAATCAAATATGATTAAAAAGTCAAACAAATCAAATAAGATAGCCAGTCACAGAAAATACACAAATATATGTATTGAATGAAATTATAAAACTTTGTCTCCAAATGACTGCAAATTCGCTTGCTTTCCTTCAGAAATGCCTGGCCAGTGGAGCAAAGTTCCAAGGAGTCTAGGCTATCAGGTGCGCAGATTTGTTTGGCCAGCACTTTCCAATTGTTTTGCGCACAAACCAAATCGGTCTCAAACCCCGGTCCACGTAGACAGTGAACGCACTTCCCTTCCCGACGGATAGTTTTTAAAGCGCTTCGGGCGCACGTCGGCCGCAGCCTGCTCCGACGGACGAGGAACTGCCCCCGAAGTCGACACGTCTTGCTGCGGCTTCCCAATGTGACAAAGCGTGGGCTTGCATTCTGTAAATTTGGCCTCAACGTTGAAGGACTGCGAAGCACTGGCCAGATGTTTACGGTTCACGTACCAACCGTTTTGGTTGTACTTGAAAAGAGTGTGTTGCGGTCCCTTCCGTGTAATGCAGACGACGCGTAATCCGCGTCGCACAAATGGCGCCGCTTCGCCTTCAAAACGCGACGGCAGGAACAGAGGGACACACGGACAGAGGACAAATTTCCAAGGTTTAGTTCAGTCGGAACAGGAGGTATTCCCAGGACGTCAATCTGCCGTTTTTGTTGTCGAATGTCAGCGCGATCAGACTTGTGCACAGAGAAACGGAGGGAAGAGCAGACGAGAGCACACAGAGACGTCGGAACGCAGAGCTCCGCTTTTAATGGTTAGTGGGTACACCCAAACCTAGCTGCTCTTGTCACCACTGCCCTCGTCGAATGAGAGAGAGATAAATGCTGGACGATGGCCTTCTGACGCATTCAACGAGTGCAGTGCTCGCGCAGTGCCCCACGTGCTCTTGTCTCCTCCTCTATCCCAGTTTCTCGGTGCACAAGCTTCCGTCAACCACACACGTGAGGATGTCACATGAATCCTTAAAAGGCTCAACTTCATCCGGACAAGTCGGAACGCGAAATATTTCTCGCGAGAACCTCGGACCAGGAAGCAGCCGGTGACAGGAGAGGGTCCATACCATTGGCACTCTTCTCCTTTTCCCTGCTAGTCCTCCTCGGGGCTATCTGGAACTGATCCGGGCCAAAGTGTCCCTGAAGAAAATAAAATAAACTTTCAGCCTCTCCACTCTGGTGAAAATGGAAGACCAGTGAAGCCATACTCTGTCACACGTGACGCCGAACGGGTTCTCCATGAGCTCCCTCCGGAACCTCGCCGTCGCACCCGGGAACTGCTCAGCCGGCGTGGCGTCCTGTCGTCGCCGGGCCTCGCGCTTCCGCTTGGCTTCCCTGGCACGATCCTCGTCCGTGGCGTTGGCCCGCCGGCGCCGGTTACACTCCCGGTTCTGTTCTCGGCGGCGTTCCAGGCGAGCGATCTTCTCTTCTTTCGCAAGGGATTCGGATGCAGTGGAACTCGAGGCGATAGCAGCTTTGTGGCGTTTGTTGCGCAGCCATTCGCGCTGCTGCGCACGTCGCCGCTCCTTGCGCTCTTCCTCCGAACAAACGTAGACACGCGGCCGACCCATCGCGCGTCCAAAGCGAGCGATCTGCCCTTTTCTCGCAAGGAATTTTGAACCACTGGGCGCAGTGGAAGACGAGGCAATAATGGCTTCGCGGAGTTTGTTGCGCTGCCATTCGAGCTGCAGCGCACGTCGCCGCTCCTTGCGCTCCTCCTCTTCTTGCTCGGAATAAAGGCGACGCGGCCGACCCATCGTGACTCCAAAGGGCGACTGATAAGAGTGCTAGCACGATCTTGACGTCACGGGACACAGGACACACACGATATGCAGGTGAGACGATGACGTTTCATTCTAGTAGGGCCGCGCAAATCACGGGACGTGCTCGATGGCACAAACATAGGTGGCCACTCACGCCGGGGAAGAAGGTGAAGCTCCATTACAGCACAATGGACCGGCTAGCCTCCGTTGCCGACAGCGTTCGGGAAGAGACGGCATGGAACACAATGGGCAACTCTCCTCGTCGTACGAGACTGAGGGTGACGGTGAACAGATTCGAGTTTGGTGTTGCCAAGCCGCTTGTCCGCGAAAACGATATTGGGAGAACTGGCTCTAAACAGCTTCGCTGTAAAAAATTGCGAACGACCATGCAAAGTGGATTGCGATCAACAGTCAACAGCGGCAGCTGTTGCGTAGTCGCAAGGTGTGATTTAAAATAAATACCCTTTGCTGACGTGCTTTAGAGTAATTGCTTTACGAGCTCCTCTTTTAGTAGTATAGTTGTAGGTGTGCTTTTATAAAATGTGCTCTTCGGCGAGAAAACAACACCGAGACGCGCTTCTAATGTGATGGTCGCCGCAGCGGAGGGAACGACGAAGTCTGGATCCTGCCACCTCCATGTCCTCCCGCAGATCCTCGTCTGTGGCTCGTCAGAGACACTTTCTCTTTTCCTTTTCCATGCAAACACGGGGGTCTTAGTGCCTTCTGCACTTACACACTGCCTCTCATGCGTGATATTCAGGGTCCTGCGCCTTTTGCTGTTGTCGTGCAGCTGCGGCCCTCAGTAGACTCTGCTCGGCACGACGCGCTTGCCCTTCCCGCTCCTTGGATGGAGCGAATTTTGCGTGGTCTGGCCGTGTCTGGGGAAGGACCGATCTGTCGTTGCCCAGGGCTGCGCATTTTCTTTGTAGGCGCGTGGGAGAACCTTTCAGAACACCGAAGTGGTAGCAACTGTTGTTTCAGGGCTGCTCCTGTGTGGGGGGTGGTGAGGGAGGGAGGGAGAGAGGGAAGCGAGGGCGTTAGCGTGTCTCGCCATAACCGTCACGGTTGTGCGAGAGGCGACAGAAACGGGAAAAAGATCCCAACGTGAGAACGAGTTATTACCCTACATACGTCACTCCCAAAAAACGCGAGACTGCAACGTAAGGGCCGAAGAACAAAGTGTGCAAAAAGACACGAGCAAAAAGTCAAAACGATGCGAGGGAATCCACTCTCTGTCGTCCATTACATTGTCTACGAAAAGAACATCCACGGTTGCATGGCGCACCATAAACGAAGGATCCAAAACAATGCGCATCAAATGCTACAGACCACTACAATGAAGGCCATCCTTGCAGCATTAAAAGGGCACTGACACGTCAAAATCATTATTTTTCATTATCCGAAACGATTGAAAACGATGCCAGGACATTACCCTCAAAATTTAAAACCTGGGAATTTAGTATTTGTGAAGCAAAAAAAACAAGATCCAAATGCCGAATTTGAAGTTCTTGCACGATCCGCGCCAGTGCAGTGACGTCAAATATCAAGCCGTCCAGCAAGTCGAGTTTCTGCGATGCCTCCGAACCGCCGCCACTCGAAGTGCCATGTTTGCCGGCGTCCCGCGGACAACCGGCTACGAGCAGACGACGCTTGACTTTCGGGATTGAAGTCCTTTTATGGACCTTCCAGCTATCTCAAATTCTTTGAAACGGTGCGAGGACGAAGAGAAGGCGCAGTAGACGTTTGTGAGCGACGCAAGGGGCCACGTCGCGTCGGTTCTGCGTGAAAGGCTGCCCCAGCGGAGTCACAACTGAAACTACGACACACAGACACCAAACCCAGTTGTTTTGACCGTTTGACGATTTCCATCTCGAAGTCGGACAAGTCGTCGGGCACCTAAAAAGACAACTTCGTCCGATTCCCCGACTCACCGATCATCCTCTCCTACATGCATCGAGCGCCGCCATGTTTTCTCAAGGAGAGTAAAAAGCCAGGAGGCGACATCACTTCGAACTCCGATTTTCGGTATTTCAAAAAGAAGGGCCGTAGGGTGTTCGGAATTGCGAAAAAGAACATGTTTTACGAATGCCGCTATTAAATGTTATAGAGGTGTCGCTTAAAAAGCTTCTAAATTGTATAATATTTGACGTCACAATTCAAAAGAAGTGAGGAGGTGAAGAGCGGGAGAGAAACGCGCCAAAAACAAAAGGGCGCACGTGCACGTGGGGAAATTTTGCTTCGAGTTGCAGTATTTTTTTCTGTGTTTGACTAGGGCTTGCATTGCTTTAGACAAAAAAAAACACAATTTTTGGGGTGTCAGTGCCCCTCTTTAAAGGACATAATGGATGATACGCCGCCAAATTCGGCAGTAACTATCTTCACGGACTCGCAAGACGTAACGAAGACCGGCAAATGCGCCACGAAATCAGCCCTACAATAGACAAAGTCTAAGCAACATTGATGGTCTCCATTTCTTAGGCACGAGGCGTAGGATTGGACCAGGGCCCTCGCCAAAGGCTGACGTAGCACCAGTTTCCTGTACATGCTCAGAGTATGTGATCGAGCAATGGCAGACAGGCGATGGCGTGGATTTTCAAAAAGGGTCTATTAAAAACATCCTAAAATTGACCATATCAATGAAGACCAAAAGCATTTATACAGACGAACCCCCAGACACGAGGGAACAGGCGGCAACAAGATCGCCAACGGTGCTGCGAGGGCAAACATCCGTCTCCTCCTTCAAAGCGCCGACGTTGGCAAGTGTCTCGGTCCCTGCGTCGACGGACCGGGGACTCGGACCACCAGCACCGTAAGACCCCGTCGGACGGATAGCGGAGGTTAAGGGCCAACTCGAGGAACGAAAAGTAGAACGACACAAGGGAGAAGGAAACCCTATTCCCAGAGGTCTCAGAAGGTACCAGACGGTACCCCTCAGAGACTCGGGACGGAAAGTGCCGTCAAACCGGCCTGAAAGAGGAAGTAAAGAGATGCCACAAGTTTACGCAAAAAATCCCAACTTTATTCCTACACGGACAACACGCCCATACTGAAAGGAGCAGACGGTACCCAACGTGACTCGTCTCATGCAAATGTGGTGCCACTTGAAGTACTAGCGGGAAGACGCCAAGACAGACCAAGGCAACTCCAACGACATGGTTGCACCCGACTGGTGACATCAGCTGTAGATGCACGATCCTAGACTTTGTACCTGCCTGCCTGAAGGGGACGAAGCTCGGGAGAGAAACCCTTTAAACACCCACCAACCTAAAAGTTTTTAAGCAAACTTTCACTATCTGCCCTTGTTACACCGCTGTCCCTACTGTTCTCTAACATTCAGAGTAGAGTACGAAATCAATAAATGTTCCGCTACTCCACTGCAGGGCTGAGGGGGCTAGCCTCCTTCGCGGAGTGACACAACTGAGCTAAACATTGACCCTTCCCTAGCGTGAAGTCACGTGCAAGACAACAAGAACACTATTCCCACGAAGGTGAAATTTGGAGGATTTGCGTGCCAAAGCAACGACGGTCATCTGGCCCACCCTAAAGGAAGGTCGAGGGTTAATTTGGACCACCCGGGAATCTTTTCACGTGCAACCGAAATCTCGGCAATAAGCCTCAGTCCGATAGCGGTCCCATCCCCACGAAGCGTGTACGCACCTCGCGCGTCGACAGTCGGGACGGAGTTCTCGGTGCGCACTCCATTCGCGAAACGCCGCGAGCACACTCGGGAGTACGGAGATGGGCAAAAGTCTTTCCGATTTACCGACGGGACCCGCTGACGCCGGAGTTCCTTGTCATGCGGAAAGCGATGAAGCTTCAAAACATTGCACCCGCCTGTGCGCGCTGTGTGCCATTTGACGCTTCCGGTAGTTGTTCGTTCGTACTAGTTCGTACAACCTAGAACCGCGCGATGGTATCCCGATGACATCCAATCTACAGAAGGAGAAACGAACCTGCGGACAAAGTACGCGAAGGAGAAAAATACCTGCAAGCTAAGCGGCTAAGCACTCACGAGTCACAACCGCAACATCGCAACACGAACCATCCCTATTCGCGCTATTCGCACTGGCTCGAAACCAAGGCGGACGGATGGGACGGATAGTGGTTGATTCTATTGATGGAACGAATCTTTATCCGAATCGAGATTCGGAGCCGATTCTCCAGCGGTTCGGAAAAGGTCGGATAGATTTGGAGCGTTGCCGTTGTTGCCAGATCACGTTGATGAGTGTTTCAGTTTTTGTGATATTCTAACTTCTACAAACTGCCCAAAATAATATTGTAATATAATATAATAGTAGTAAATAAAATGTTCCGTTTTGTTTACATTATTTTGGATGTTTGTCGAGAACGGTATCGCGGCGGGAAAATTGGTTTCGGTTCGCGATTACGACCAAGATAGGCATGCTTGGTGCACGCAGGGGGGTAAAGGTGGGTGAGGAGGAGTGGCAAATCCCGTGCGCCGACATCCTGGGTCCCGAGTGAACGAACGCAAAAGAGAGCGACAGAACACGAGAGAAAGAAAGCAACGTTGCCATGGTAACGCGAAGAGTGAAAACTCTCAGCAATATAAACAGTAATAATTTAACGTTGTAAACTAAATTATGAGCTATTCTAACGCTTATAAAAAAGCAATAAACTCATTACGCTGCATTAACTTCCCTTCTGTCGAAATCTCGGAAATCTGGTGGTTGCGCAGTTTCGTATTCCTCAACCGTGCCCAGCCGCGCCTCACCGGCGAAGCCGGGTATATGGTTTAGTTTAGCGTTAACGCGAGGCCGTACTAGAGCACTGCACGGGCCCGGGCCAGCCCGAAAGCCCGAGCCCGGCCCGGCCCGCGGGCCGGGCTCGGGCCGGGTAGCACGTATTTTCTCGGGCCCGGGCCGGGCTCGGGCTTGAACAAAAAAGTTCTCGGGCCGCGCCGGCCCGGGCCGTCCCGGGTCGTGCCTGGGCAATCTTGTGCCGTAAATCATAAATTGTTGTTGATAGCAAGAAGTTTGCTCATTAATATTTTAGGTTCATTGAATACAATAAAAAGCGAAGTGCAAATTCACTACAGCGTCGTTAAAAATAGTAACTAAAAGACGTCTTGAAGCTAGAAAGCCTTCAAGCTTTTTCCGTGTGAGCGAGGGTTGTGTTATAAATTTAAACAAAATAAAGTCCCAGTCATATGCTTGTCAACCTGTCTGATTCATCGCTCTCAAAAATATCTAGTTCGCTATTAGGAAGATTTAGAAAAACGTACGCAAGCGCTTTGGGTACCGTAAAAATAGCGTTGCGATGTAAAACTTATGGCGATGCTAATTTTAGCTTGCCCAAGGTGCATGAGTACGTTATTCTAAGACTCCCTTATTGCACAGAGCGCGACACTATATTAGCGCGAACAAGCGATCGTCGTGTTTTTATGTTTATCTTATAGAATCAAAACGCTGTTTTCAAAACTATTAGTGTCTTTAGAAGTGTTCATCTGGGCCACAGACCTAAGCGGTATACTTTGGTGCCTACTAACACCATTTCGAAGTAAAATTCGAAAAAAGAGCTAACGTCGTGTTCGCGGTATCAGTGTCGCGCAGTGTACATAGTCCGTTCCGCGCTTGCACGTTTTGGGAAAAACCATCTTGAAAAAAACGTTTTAAGGGGTTAAGTAGGAATATATTAAACTTAAGCTTGCCTGAAAGGGTTGTATATTTTAAGAACGCGTTGACGTGTAAAGCTACTTCAGAACATATTCTTAAACAGAAAAGGTGCGCCGACCAGGCTTAGAACGATGGAGACTTTTTGCGAAGAGGTTGCGATGTGCAGGGCCTTATAAAAGTAGGTTGAAACGGGACGCGTTCAAATGCAAAGGCTGTTTCGGAAACTGGTTCAAATAAGGAGGGCGTTTAGGGAATGGGTCGAAACAGGACTAATTCAAACGAGAAGGGCGTTTAGGGAACTGGTCGAAACGGGACGGGTTCATATGGGAAGGGTGTTTAAAGAATGGGTCGAAACAGGACGGGTTCAAATGGGGAGCTCGTTTCGGGAACGGGTCGAAACAGAACGGGTTCAAACGGAAATGAGTTGTTTCGGGCTACAGCCATCGGGCCGGGTCGGGCGGGGCCTTGAAATTAGCAATTCTGTCGGGCTCGGGCCGGGCCCGGGCCGTGTCTCTTCCGGGCCGGGTCGGGCCGGGCCTAGAAATTAAAAATTCTGTCGGGCTCGGGCCGGGCCCGGGCCGTGTCTCTACCGGGCCGGGTCGGGCCGGGCCTAGAAATTCCGGCCCGTGCAGTGCTCTAGGCCGTACATCTGCGCGCTATGCAAAAAGAAAGCTTCGAAAGGAACGCGAATATCTTTCCACCGGTAAGTTCGTGGATTGTTGAAGTTCACGAAACTGCCCTGATGATGTAACCGTGTTTGGGACCCAGAAGGTCTGCCTGCATGATCCGCCGCTTGCGGCAGCCAGAATGTATGGGAAAATGGCGGACCTTTTCCTCTAGAGTTAGTATGTATGATCTCTATGGGTGCACGTGGAAGAAATACGTTTTCATCGCCGCAAGAGATCGATGCCGTACGTGCTGTTCGCTACAATTAGACTAAAATAATTTACATTCCCATGATATACTCTTTTATGCCAAATGTGTTATTAGATGTGTCAAAATTGAAAAAAAAAAAAAAAAAAAAAAAAAAGATTGGCTGTAGCAGAACTTTATGCATCAAATGGAAATCAGAAACAGAAAATCTATTTCGGCTTGTTCCCTGTCAACGCTTCCGTTTATCAACATGGTCCTACACACATTTTTAACATTATGTTCTCTTTCGACCGCTGTGAGTTGCAGGCTTTTTGCCTTTGTGTAGCTGCCTTCACTAAAAACAAATCTGCGGCAACCCTTTCGCATTGACAGAGCGATTTGAAAATAATTACAGTATTTTCTATTGAAACTTTTGGCGGGCAATTTTCCTTACAATATTCTGCCACCAAGGGGAGAGGCACAACGCAGCATGCGCCTCGGTTTTGCTGCAAGAAGGACGGTCGCTTCCCGCAATGCTTGGATAGAAAATGGCGTACCATTGCGATTCACCCGATACCAGCGACCTCCGCGCTTTCCCGTGCCCCGTTGTTCGGCAGCACCATGAGTTGCGGTGTGAATTTTACGACAGTACGAAATGCGGGACATTTTGAAGATTTGAAAATTTCTTGCGGGATGCGAAACAGTCCCGCGAGTCGCGGGACAAGTGGTCACCCTAGTTTGCAGCCCTTTTGACTTCTCTTGCCCTTCTTATGTAAAACGGTCCGCCGCGCGACGCCAGTCTTTCTTCGTGTGTTTGGATGTCGGCGTCTTCTCCGCAATAAGCCGTAGTATCTGCACTCCCAGTACGGATTATGTTGGTCTCTAATCCGCACTCCGAGAGCAGGAGTGCGGATTGCGTGCAGAGGCGCGGACGCTGTGGCGGAGGTACGAAGCGTATGAATTGTGTGCCGGATTTTCTTTGTCTACACTCCGCGTGTGACGTGATTTTGTCGCGGGAAACTTTCGACGCAGTGGTTTAGAAGTTGTCAACTTTGCCTTGGGACACTGCCACGTCGGCAGCCTCGACAGTCTACGGAAATATTAGTGGTTCTGGTTGTATACTGAAACCCAGTAAACAACTCAAGTTGCAAAGATGCAACTTACCTGAGGTAAAAGTAAAAAAATAAAAAGGCTTAACTCATATGGAAACGCAGCGAAGCCACTGGTTTCCAAACCACAGGGCGCCCTATTTTTTGATGACCGGTGGCTTCGCTGCGTTTCCATAAGAGTTAAGCCTTTTTCTTTCTTTACTTTTTCCTCAAGCAGGTTCGTTGTTTGCAAATTTTATAGAGAAAATGCACCATCTGTGGGCAACGCTGCACAAAATCGTAGCGCGATAGGTTAAGAAACCGATGTTTGCGGTCAATTTAAAGAGCCTGGCCGCTATTTGAAACACCGCATAAATGAAACATAAGTAGGGTTCTGCGTTTTCGGTTTCTATTTTTTCAAAATTCGGCGTACTTTTTTCGGTGTTTATTTTAAAATTCAATTTTCGGTTTTTTTCGGCGTATATTTATGCCCGCAAAAAATTTATCGGCTTTTTTCGGTGAATATAAAATAAACACCAACGGACACCGGATCAGATGATCCTTGTACGTAGCTCTGATATTTGTGATCACTCAAAGAATAACGGCACAGATACATTGAAAAAGAAATGGACACTTCATTTGGCAAATGTGTGCAACTGTAAAAGAAACAAGAAAAAAACGCAGAAGTACAAACAACTCAGATATGAAGCCTATGGCCCAAAAACATGGAACCTCACCTTCTGTACATCAGGAATACGTGATCTCATTATAGTACACACAAACATGTACTTACCCAGGTTCTCCTTCTTGATCCACACTATTTCTTTCCTGTTAATATATGACCCTGAGCTTCGAGAACACCCTCTCAACGTATATAACACTGGACGCTGGCAGGCTGAGGAGATGACGCGCTGCCTGAGCCAAAATCGCCGAAAGAGACACGGTGCGACGTTTTGAAGCACGTACGACACAACATGCAGAGCTTGCATCCAGTCAGTCTTCCTCACAACGAGTTTGAAAACACGCTCGCCACGGCTCTGCGGTACGACTGGACGGTGAAAGTGACCTTTTCCGGTTAAAACTGAATTAAAAAAAATGGATTCGACGAAATTTTATCGGTTTTTATCGGTTTAAATCGAAACTGCCGAACTTAAAAACTGACCTTTTCCGGTTAAAACCGAATTTCCGAAAATGAATTCGGCGTACTTTTATCGGATTTTATCGGTTTAAACCGAAAACTCCGAACCCTAAACATAAGCAAGAAAGTGAAATATGATCAGGTCTAGCCTGGGATGCTCGTTCCACCCCAGCCTTGACCTGCTTGGCAATTCGTTTTGTGTTGCACTGTCTCTGTCTGCTCACCCTGGTTCACACACTTGCTTTTTCTTGCGATCTATGAGGTGGCCCTGGAACTGCATTTCACTAGAGCGAAGATTTTGCGGTATTTTAAAAATTAATTATCGTGCTCTCTGCGAGGAGTGTTTCTTCATA